CCAGCAGTGTATGAGCAATTCATTTTCTCCATATCCTTATCAGCATTTGCTCTTGTCACTGTTTTTTTTATTTAGTTATTCTGAAAGGTATGCAGTGATACCTCTTTGTGCTGTTAATTTGCGTTTCTCAAATGAACAATAGTGCTGAACACTTTTTATGTTCTTGCTATCCATGTGTCTTCTTTGGTGAAATGTCTCTGTGTGTCTTTTGTTCAGTTTTTTTAATTGGATTGTTTTTTAACTATTGAGTTTTGAATTTTCTTTCTATATTCTAGATGTGAGTCCTTTGTCAGAAATATATAACCTTAACTTACTTGATTCTACTTTAATTAGTACTTTCACTACTTCCTGGAAAATGAAAGGAACTTAATACGTTTCAACTGCATTTACCCTACTCCTGTCTTTTGTGTAGTTACTAATGTAGCTTAATTCTACACATATTTAAAACTTCAAAATTTTAGAATAAGTGTTTTAAGCAATTTCTATTGATTTACTTACATTTTCAAACTCTTTTGTGCTCTTCAGTTTTTTCTTTTTCTGCATTAGGGAAAATCCATCAGGGATCCTTTCCTTTCTGCCTAAAATTTTATTTTGGAATCTCTTTTGCACAAATCTGAGACAGAGCCTTGTGTGGGAGGATTTGTGTGGGAGAGGTGTTTTGAAAATGCTAGGTTGTTGGGGTTTTTTGATTTGAATTTTAAAATTCTGTTATTGTCCGTCTTTCATTGATTCACTTGAGAAGTCAGATGCCAGCTTCATCCTTGTTTGAAGATGAAGTCCCTTCTTGCTCTGGTGCCTTGTAAGATCTTCCCTCTGTCTTGGCTTTCTGCTGCTCTGCTGTGCTACGCTGTGGTAGTCGACCTCCAGGGTCGACACCAATAATCTCTGCTTTCTGATATTCACGCTCTAGTGTGATACCTTCTTGAATGTGGGCTGGGCGTACTGATTTACTTATGAATATAACATGGCAGAAGTTAGGGTTTCCTTTTGATCTTTTAAAGTTTTTTTGAAACAGCTTTTTAAGCAAATTTTCTAATTGATCTCAGTGGAAGGGCTACTCTGATACAGCTGTTTCCACAGAGTGAGCATAACTGTATATAGAGCTAAAGAGAATTTTTGTTTTCTTGGGAAGCTGTTACAGAAGCAGCAGTTCTCTTAGTACACCTCCAAGTGAGTTACTTGCTGGATAAAAGGATGCCATTCTTTTCTCCTGTAATGCTGTTGACTGATGCCCAGAGCACTTAACGCTTGTTTATTCAGATTTTTTTGGTCTGTTTGCTTCTTTAAGTGTACATTTATCAAAAAGTCATCTTAGAGCTATTTATGCTGATCGAATTTATCTTTATATTTATATCGCTTTATTGTGTTATATAAAATTTATGGCAAAAGGTATTTTTGTATGAAAACTTACTTAAATTCTTTACAGAGACTACATAAGTGAATTGATAAAGTCATTATTGGTGAGTTGGTTGTGTTAGGTGAAACTGAAACATTGAGGAAAGACCTCATAAAAATGTAGTAGGTTTCTGTAATGAAATTGTCCCTCAAGTGTCCAGATTCTTGCTCCACCTTTTAAAGAGGCTAAATTTGAAAAAGAATTCCATATTATATGAATGTGGTTTATAGAAGAAAGAAGGTAGGGACCTCCTGTACATCAAAATATTTGTGAATGACTATATATGTTTTCAGTAAAATCCATAAATTAGTAAGTGAATATATGTTTGTTACTGAGAACATAAAAAAACTTTCTAGAATGAAATAGCCAGAAGTTAAACAGAAAACAGATAATTATTTTGTGACTCTTGCTCATTTACTAGCAGCTTCCATAAATTATGCAGATTGTTTATCTGTATATAAAAATCACTAGATAGTGGTGTTTTCTTCTGTTTATTTTATATTCTGTAAACCAAGACGGGAGTCAGGTTCTTTTTATTAAACATTTATACTGTGTCTGCTATGAACAGACCTACCAAGGCAAGAAGATTTATTCCCATTCTTCAAGATTATAGTCTAAAAGGGCATTTTAATAAAGCTGTGGCAGAATCAGAAAGTGCCTTTGTGCTTTTTCCGATGGGTATAAAATTTAAGATTTAAAAACTAGCCTTTTGTATGATGATGTAATTAAATTAGTTTTTACATTGTGATCTCCTCGTTTACATGTATGTAGACCTCAGTGGCCGGGAAGAGATAGGAGGAGTCATTGGTGAAACCTTTAACATATTTGGAGAAGATAATTGATATTCAATGTCATATAACTTCATATGTATATATAACTTTACTCTTGAAATGCCTTCATGCCTTATCTTACATAATATCGGAGCTTCTACTTCTTATGAATAGACTCTTTGTTCTTACAATGTTATTTCTTCATTCTGGCTTACTGTAGCAAAACTCGAAATATTTTTTCCCTGTGCAGACATACCATAGGCATTAGGTCCTGGTGTGTGGGATCTTCAACCTGTCACAACTTTCACAATTACGCCATCTGCTTCAACCTGAAACAGTGTATCTTCTGCTGGCAGACTTATTTAAGTTGTCATGCTCAGGTTAAAAAAAAAAATCAAGTTTGGCATAAGAAACTTGCTTTTGAAAAAATAATAATTGATCGTGCCTGCTTTAGATTTTAAAATAAGCATTTGAAAGGATTCCCTAAAGCCTCTTCCTCAGACACACTGATCTCTTTTTCATCTGTGGTTGTAGATAGCCAATATGATGGTGAATTATTGGTAACCTTGGTAACTTACTAAATTTTCTGTTTTATTTTTACAGACAGGTAACAAACTCTTAGGCCTAGATTGGTGACATATTGTGAAATATTTTGATTGCTTCTGTCAGTGGAAGCCATTTACTGGAGTTGATACTAAGCGTTTGTTTGCTCTGTGTGTAACACAAAGATTATAGGAACACCATGATGAAAAAAAGCTAGGTCATAATCTACGTACTACATGTGTGAGTGTGTAATTTTGTTATCTTTAGAATGGAAATAGTGATTCTTGGAGAGTTGTTGGGGAAATTAGATCAAAGTAGGTCCTTCAAAAATGAATACACATTTATTCTGCAAATGTATATTAAATGCCACCTCTGTGCAAAACAGTCCTGGAGAATGAGAATATAACAGAGAATGAAAGGTCAGTTTCCTCCACTGAAGAAGTCTGCGTTCTAGCCTGTCTCCACTGATAGGGATGGAAGCTCTGTGACAGCAGCATGCATGCAGGTGATAATAAGCACCATGAAGGAGAACAGGGCAGGGTAAGCTCACGCAGCTAATGGTGGGGTGCTGTCTTGGTTAGAGTAGTCAGGGAGGGCTTCCTTGAGGTGGCGCTGAGTGCCCTGGGAAGAAGTAAAGAAGTGAAGACATAAGCATGTGAACACTTAGGGGAAGGATGGACGTGGCTGCTAGAGAGGGCAGCTGGGCAGTTTGAGGAACAGTGAAGTGGGCAGTGTAGCTGGAGCTGTGTGAGCGAAGGATGAAGTGCTGGGAGGTGAGTTCAGAGAGTGATCCAAAAACATCATTGGTGTAACCTTACTTATGATTAATTGTAAATAAAAAGCTATATTCCAGAGACCTTATAGAAATTTGAAATTAGGATTGACTGTTTATACTGTTTTAATGATTATTTAGCTCTAACTAAATATTGTTAATTGTTATATTTCTTATTATTCATGTATTAATAAATTATAATGGTATTACATATAAACATTGATATTTAATGTATTATTTAATAATAAATATTTATATATTATTATTAGATTATTTTTCTCTGTATAACAGGCACAAGTAATTATAGAATACTTTTCAAAAATGGAAAGACCTTTTTTTTGTTGTTGTTTACTAATATCATCGTACCTGGAGCTAACCGTACTGTGAGGTTTGAGGGCACAGTCCTTCAGACTGGGAGCTCTGCCCAGGACTTGTGCCACCAACAGCCAGGAGTTAAGCTCCAAATACAGAGTTGGAAGAAAGAGTCCACATAAGACCACCCTCTCTTCTGATACCAGCTGTGCATTTAGGGAGGTCTCCAAAACCACCGTCAGGTTCAACAGTTCACTAGAAGGACCAGTGGAACTTACTGAAAGCCATTATACTATTGGTTATGGTCTTTAGCAGGGATAGGATACAGGTTAAAAATTAGCCGAAGAAAGAGCCGCACAGTGCTATCTGGGAGGATTCCAAATGTGAAGCTTCCATTTTCCTCTGGAAGTGTTCCCTTCCCCAGGTCCTGCTGTGACAGTATGCGTGTGGTGTTGCCAGCCCAGAAAGCTCACCTGAGCTTGACTTTCGGAGTTTTTATTGGGACATGATTTCATGGGCATGACTGATTGCCCATGTGATTTAACTTAGTGTCAGCATCTGTGCTGAGACCACTTGGCCTCAGGGCCCACCAAGAATGACAAAGACATTTCTATCGTCTGGGAAATTCCGAAGGTTTAGAAATTACTTCCTAGGAGCTAAGGACAGAGGCCAGGCCTCTCTTTGGGAGAGATTGAATTCTTTACTGTGTAAATTGTTACAAAAATTCAAGCATTGTAGAAATTATGTAAATGGCCCCCTGGAATCCCATCCCTTGAGGACACCTAGTATTCTGTTGGTTGGTTCGTATGTTCCAGATGTTTAACGCACATGTCAGCATATTTTGAATGTACAATGAATTATACTATACTTATTGTTCAATAACTAGGCTTTTTCGCTTAAGAGAGTGTGCATGGATGTGCGTGTTTTTGTGTGTTTTAATGAGTACCCTGAAGTTGAACACAGGAGATAATTAATCTTTAAAACTTTTTTCACCTAAATATACTGCTGCTTCGAACATCTTAGTACGTATATTTTTGTGTATTTTTCTAATTTTTCTCCTTGAAATAAATCTTTTGAAATAGAGTTGCTAAATAAAAGGGTATGGACATTTTGAAATTTTGTATGTACTTCATTATTACCCCTCTTGGGATGGTTTTTGTGAATTAGTTTATGGAATGTCAAAATTGTTAATCTCCATTACTCTTAGGTAAACATTGCAACTTCAGCAATTTCAAACGTCGAATGTGCCCATATTCCACATCTCAGCCCAACTTTAATTCCTACGCTGCAAAATGAGTCGTTTTTATTGTCTCCAAATAATGGGAATCTGGAAGTTCTTACAGGGTTGGGTACTTCACACATCAATGGGAAACCTGCTTGTGATGAATTTGATCAACTGATCAAAAATATGGCCCAGGTAAGAGCATTTCTTCATGTTAGTTGTGATAAGAAGGTATTATATCTTAAGAGTGTAATCTGGTCCTGGATAATTTGAAGACTATTTATATATTTACTTTATATATGTTAAATATACACATCAGATATTATATATTATGTTAAATATATTTTAAAGTACTTTGTTTATGAAGACATAATATCTGAAAAAAATGGAATGAAAAAGACATAAATTTTGTATGAGCTTGGGTGGTTCCGAGATTTTTCTATTCCTTTTTTATAGTATATCATTTTACACTGAGCTTTATATATTATGTTCCAGAAATATTCTTGAGGATAAATAAAATGTCTCATTCTGGGTGATGAGTGACAAAGATTATCTTAAGAAAAATATTTTTATTTTTGTCTATTTTTAAAGACAGAATAATGCCACTAATAAGATGACTGTGAGTGCAGTGATTGGCATTTAATGACCATTTTTGCTTCTTTTCCTGAGCAGGGTCGCCACATTGAAGTTTTCGAACTCCTCAAACCTCCCTGTGGAGGCCTTGGGTTTAGTGTTGTGGGACTAAGGAGTGAGAACCGGGGAGAACTGGGAATATTTGTGCAGGAGATCCAGGAGGGCAGTGTGGCTCACAGGTGAGGCTGTCTCCTCTGCTTCTGACACCACAGTCAGAAGGTGTTGATTAGCTTGGGAGAATTTCGAGAAACAAAAATGAATAAAAACAGACAAAAAACTGAATGTAACCTGCTGTTAACTAGTTTTTAGAAATCATGAAATCATTAACATTATTATGGTAAAAAAAAGAAAGTCCTTTGAAAGGAGAGTCCTTTTTAAATGTTATAACTAAACATTTTTTAATAAGGAAAGAAAAATTTGAGCAGGACTTTATTCTCACTGTTATTAAATGTGCTCTTTTGATTTGATTTTAAATTACAGTGTAGAAAAGTATACACATGACCTATGATAATTTGAGCTATGTTTTATTAATGTACTCAAAGCAGCAAGTAAGTATATGCATCTCTGCTTTCATTTGTGGAAGATAAGGACACCTCACATATGTTGTTGTATAGATTGAGTGGGTAGCTGAAAAGTAGACTTTTACCTGGGAGGGGTTGATTAGGGGTGGGTCAACTGGATCCAGTCCACATACATTGTCTCTTCCGGTTTTATTGAGATATAACCAACATACAGCACTGTGTAAGTCCAAGGTGTACAGCATAATGATTGGGCTTAACATCGTGGAATGATTATCACAATAGGCTTAGTGAACATCATCTCATATAGATACAAAATGAAATAAATAGAAAAAACATTTTAAAAAGTAGAACAGGAGAACAGTTACCAAGTGTGGGTGTCAGAAAACAGAATGAAAAAAACCGTGAAATGCACGCCAAAGAAGCTGTCATTTTCTTGAGAGCTGTCAGTTATCTTTTACCTCCTTTTTCAATCTTAGAGATGGAAGGTTGAAGGAAACTGATCAGATCCTTGCTATTAATGGACAGGCACTTGATCAGACAATTACACATCAGCAGGCCATCAGCATCCTGCAGAAAGCCAAGGATAATGTCCAGCTGGTTATCGCCAGAGGCTCATTGCCGCAGCTGGTCAGCCCCATAGTTTCCCGTTCTCCATCTGTGGCCAGCACAATTTCAGCTCACTCGAATCCGGTGAGTACATTAGATTTTTAAAGAGGAGCAGAACATATTTTTCTAGGTCTCTTTGGTTTTGTACAGGTTCTTTGTACTTCTTGGATTTTTGCTTTTTTGTTCTTTTCTCTCTCCTTAGCCTAGAATACTTTTTTATGTTATTATGATTAAGTTTCTGACTTCTAAAAAAGCTTTTTCTTTCTTTATTTTTTTTAACTTGACATCATTCCTTAAAAGAAAATTAGTTCCTTAAAAATTGACTCTATCTGTAAACAAATGTAATCTCGATTTTGCTTCGTTAAGTTGTTAACAGTTAGCTGTCAGGGACTTTAAGTCATCTCATTAGGAATCCTGTGTATCAGGATTTATGCAGAAAAAATTCTTAATAGCTAGTAGGCTTTTTTTTCCTTTTTCCTTGATCTTTTTTTTTTTAAGTTCTGTAAAGAATCTTGCAAATTGCTGTCTGCCTTTACCTGGTTAAATGCGGCAAATTGGTAATTTCAGGAATGATGATACCATTAGCAGTGACGGTCTGTTGAAAGGGAAGTGCACCAAATGAAAGGGACACTGTTAAGGCTCAGTATTATGTCTCAGCTCTTTAATTATTTAATACTAGTCACAAAATAATATTCACAAGAATTTCAACTGAGAAAAATTTCAGTTTTCCTTCAGATTCATATGGGAGCTTTGTTTTCAGGTTCACTGGCAGCATGTGGAAACTATTGAATTGGTGAATGACGGTTCTGGTCTGGGATTTGGCATCGTAGGAGGAAAAGCAACTGGCGTGATTGTGAAGACCATCCTGCCTGGAGGAGTGGCTGATCAAGTAAGCTGCTCCAGCAGGTCTTTTATGCTGTTTTGTTACAAAATTCGGCTTCATCCTTTACGTGTTAGAAGAATCGGGCCTTAGATAATGTCAAAGAAGCTGACATTGGAACATTCTGTTTTGCTGGGCTGTTTGTAAAGTGTTTTTTCTTAGACATGGGGAGAAAAACATTTGAAAAGAGACTTTGACTTCAATTACAGATACAGACAGTGATCACAGATCAAAGCCCAGGGGGTTGTTTTGATCATCGTAGAGGTAGCTATCCCTTATTTTATGATCCTATATCAGATTTGTAAGCCTCGGTAGCTGTTGTATAGCCACAAGGCATCATGGGGAAAAGAATACATCATCACTGGAGGAAAAAGCAAGATTCATCTTATCTATCCCTTTAGTGATGGGTCACTGGTGTCACCTTTTATATGGAGCACAGCCTGTTTTTATGTAGAGAAGTTCATTAAAGCATTGCCATTTATGCTGTGTAACATTGTTAGAATATATGTGAGAAAATGTAAAATTACTGATTATGGTTTATATTTTAATTTGACAAGTTCTGCTAGTCTCTTTTTTGCTTTGGTTATAACATTTTATTTATAAAACTGTTTGCTTTTGCATTTATATTTGAACTTACTTAGAAAGCCAGGTTTATCAAGTATTTTTCATATTCATAAGTGAAAGGCAGATTTATGGGCAACCTTATCCACAGAGGTATATATGACATAATACCATAGTATGCACAGTTTCTTCCTTCCATGATATGCCCGTATCAAGCAGTATCCAGTGAAATTTCTCTAATTGACCAGCTTGCAATAAATAAGCTTAATCTTCTATATAGAGCTGTACGGTACATTACTGTAGGTACTTGCCATATGTCACTTTTTAAAATTCAAATTTGAATTAATTAAAATGGAATAAAATTACCAACTCAGTTCCTCAGTTTGGCTAGCTGTATTTCAAGTGCTCTACAGTCACATGTTCCTTGTAGCTGCCATGTTGGACAGTGCAGAACATTTTCATCATTGCAGAAGGTTCTAGTGGACAGTGTTTGTATGGAGGCTTGTAAGAATGCTGTTCACTTCCCTCAATCTGTCTAAATTTACATCTCACAAGGATTTCATCTGCAAATGAGTTCTTCAGGGATATTTATAATCGAAATGGCAAGGCAGAAGATTGTGGTATTCACTCAGTGCTTTTTTGTGGTTCATACCATATTCTGAGTAATACATATTTGTATGGTGAGTTATACTTCATCTCTCCTAAATGGCAGTTTCTCTTTTTTTGTATATCTCAAAAATTTCATAGAAAGGCTAATATTTTTTTGCGTTAAGTGGGTAGAAAACAATCTGAAAAGCTCATATTGACTATTGAGTTTAAGAATATTTGTGAATTTCCTTGACTTCTGTCACATTGAATGATGTTAGGATGCTTCAAAAGACAGTTAACATTACAACCACATGTTTACTGTACCATGATTGGTAATTCATATCATGGCTTTATTTGGTTATTATTCCCGTTCCCTCATTTAGGATTTTTCTGATGAAGTTAATAATAGTAGAAGCCTGATTAATCAGACCCTTTTTACTTAGCATGGGCGATTGTGCAGTGGTGACCACATTCTAAAGATTGGTGACACAGATCTAGCAGGAATGAGCAGCGAGCAAGTAGCCCAAGTCCTCCGACAGTGTGGAAATAGAGTCAAGCTGATGATCGCACGAGGTGCCATAGAAGAGCCTACAGCATCCACCTCTCTGGGTGTCACGCTGTCCTCATCCTCCTCTTCGACGCCAGAGATGCGAGTAAGTCAATAAAAACAGTTAATGGGGAAGTCAGACTGTAGCACTTAGATGACAGTGATGTTTATTTATAAACTAGACTTATTAATGTTCGTATATTAATGCTAAAGAATGAAACAAAATTCAAATGTACAGATGTTTCAGCACTAATTATTAATTAGGAACAAGTGTTTAACAGGTGAAAGGTTGCTTAAAAATCCTTGTTCACTATTTTACATTTTTCTCTAAGCAGCACTTTTATGAGGATAATGTTTTGAAATATGGATAAAATTTTAAAGAATTATTTGCTACTAATACCTGAAATGTTTAGTTGTTTCTCTCATTTGGAAGCGTCTCTGTAAGGTGGGCTGTAAATTCCAGTCATTCTCTTTCAACGACTTTCTTTTTTTAGTGTCTTTTTTGTGGTGGGAATGGATGAATAAAGCATACTATCAGTGTTATTGTTTTAAGGTAGAACTGTTATCAGATTTGTAATGAGAAGTCGCTATTCTTGACCCAGTTATATAATTTTTTAAACCAAAGTTATACTTTGAGGTTTGTAACAGAAGCTTTATTCATAGGCATAGCAGTCCATCTTTGTTCTTAACTTGATATGAAAAACTGGAACATTTCAAAATTATTAGAATGTGATGATTATCTCAAATAGCTCAGGTCACAGGACTATAGTGTATGAAATATCAACAAAATGATTTTCCCCAGAAATTTCTTAAATATTTAAGAAGAGAATTACACTCAATTTCTAGACGAGCTTTATAGCAAATGCAAGTTTTGCATTCCTTTCTCATAGATCTAAAAACATCTCTGTGCTTTTTTCTATTACAGTTTTTTTTCCTAACACAGTTGCTACAAATTCTTTTTTTAATATCCTAACCTCCTCCACAAACCCTTGAAAACTCTATTAGAACACTTAAAATTTCCATGATTCTGTTGTTTTTAGGGTTGAGTTTGGTTGCTATTTTTTACAGGGAGAAAGAAGGAAAGAAAGAAAGCCTGTTTATGAAAGTATTTAAATGGCATTCTTTTGTGGTAAACAAAACATTTTATTCAGCAATATATAAATGAATGCAATACCGAAAACCACTTGATGTAATTGAAAGCTTAGAAGAATATCTATTCTGTGCATATCATCATTTCTGAAGCTTGTGCCCCTTTTAAAACCATTCGATAGTCAAATTGCCACCCTCTAAAATAGCACTCGCATAAGTCTTATTAAAAATAGAAAACACATTTGTTTCAATTGAAGCAGATTTCATCCTGTCATTTTCTTGTAATTATCTAAACTTTAAACTTTTGCTAAGTTTGCACAGATAATTATATGCAATGAAAGAAAAAAATCAAACTTTACTATAGAATTAAATCTCATTTAGGTGGACTATCAGTGAGACATAGTCAGAGTGTGCTTAAACTAGATCAGAAAGTGTTACCAGCCAACCCCAACCTGCATGTCCTTTTGAACCACAGGATTCGTTCTGTTGTGATCTTCCAGGGGTTCCTGTGGAATCTGCTGACACCATGCTAGTATATAATGCCAACAGCTTGTTGCTGACTTATTACATTAGTCCACTCATGCTTAATTCAGAACCCTACGGTCCAATATATAATAACAGTGATGCATATTAGAGAAACATGCTTTCAGCTATCATTCTACGAATGAAGGAAATCAATTGTGGAAGGCATGCTTTCCTTAAAAAAAGCTTTTCATGTTAAATTCTGAATTTATAAAGCAAATACAATTTTAATTAGCTCTTTGGTACATTTCACTGGTTTTGAAAATAATCATCAGTCTGCTAGTCATATATCTAGAAGACAGATTCATATTCATGGTGTTAGAATCAGCTACCAACTTAAGTTGGTAATAACAACATGTCCTGAGTGGACACTGTGGCCCCTACACTCTAGGAGGGATTGACATACTGTGCAGCATTTAATGCAAGGACTCTGCAACCAGCTCGTCTGCATCTGAATTCTGCCTGTGCTAGATTGCTTCCTGTTTGTTCTTGGGAAAGTTTATGTTGCTCGGTTTCCCCAGAGAAAAATTGACAGTAATTGTACCCACCTCCTAGGCTTATTCTAAAGAGTAAATGAGTTGGGACATGTCAAGTACCTGTTATATAAAAACTGCTCCGTAAATGTTAGCTGGACTTGTTTGTATCCCTGATGGACAGCTTAGTAAAGTGATGCTTAGAAAAATTCAGTGGCAAAGCTAGGTTTGAACTTGTTGATGTGAATTCAAAACATGAGTTATTTCAACTGTATTACATCCTGACTCCTTCAAAAATGAAGATGAGCCATCTCTGAAAGTAGAATTTGTCAATAAGAAACTATATGAGTTTTTACATTTTGTGTACACAAACAGTTACGTATTTATCTGAAGAGGGTGGGGTTCAGCTTTACTGCTGACATTCATTTTTAGTAAAAATGTCATGCTCAATCATCTGGTCAAGATTGAAGGAGTAACTCCTGTTATAATTCTCTAAAAGAGTTTTCTGACACTCAGCTGTATCATATTATTCCTAAACAAAGGTTGTGGCTTTAAAAAGCTTATCTTGTTTGTTTACATGTTTATTTCTCTGTATATTTATTTATAAATTTTATTTCAGGTTGATGCTTCTACTCAGAAAAGTGAAGAAAATGAGACATTTGATGTAGAACTCACGAAAAACGTCCAAGGATTAGGAATTACCATTGCTGGTTACATTGGAGATAAAAAATTAGGTAGTTTTTAAACATGAGTATTTTATTTCTTTTATCTTGGCAATTACCTCAAATATCATTGTCTTATGAAATGTTGAATCAACATAATGTATTTTCTGATTTTTGGATAAACTGAAAACTTCCTTAGGAATAATTTAATGCTAGTGACTAATACTATTTTTCAGACAAAACCATTGTCTTACTCTGTAGGTGATATTTCTCCTAGTGGTTTTGTTTGTGTGGTTTGTTGACTTGTGTCTATTTAAAGTTAGGACTTTAAATTTGGAGAATGGAGGATGGATACTCTTTTGAGTGTGCTTTATGAATAGTAAAACAAAACATTTCTATTACTTCTAATCTTAGAACCTTCAGGAATCTTTGTAAAGAGCATTACAAAGAGCAGTGCTGTTGAACATGATGGAAGAATCCAAATTGGAGACCAAATTATAGCAGTAAGTAACACGTGTTATTTAATGACAGCTTCGTTAATTTTCATGGTCAGAAATGCATTCTCCTAGTTTACTTGGTTTTGAGAACTGCAGGTAGCTCTGTACTAATTTAAGCTTGCTTTGGTGATTTAAGGCTGTCATTCCAGTTACTCATTTTATTATTTTGTGGCAGTAAGAGCATTGGATAGAACATATACTGATCTCAATTCTAAAGGTGGGACTCTTTCTTGAATAAATTCTGATATATCTGATTTCTGGTTTTAATGAGGTTGTTACATTAATAATCATATTTATATTTTAGTTGCAGATGCTCCAAAGCTAAAGACCAAATGTTACAACCGTTAGTATACTTGAATCTGAATTTGGGATGTGTGCATTTTTGTTTTTTACATCAGCAGAATGATACTCTGATGGTTGTCACCATGACCAGGGCTTGTTTTAGCTGTAAGAGTATAAAGAATAGTAATTAAAAAAAAATCCAACCTCTCTTCTCTTACTTAGATCAAGCTCATCATTGTTATCCTAGTAACATTAGTATGTTTTGACCATGTGGCTATTCAAGGTAGTGTAAAAAAATCCAGCTCTCATTTCAGTATTCAGTAGAAACCGGACTACCCTAAGTGCTTCTCGGAGCACACATCCAAGAGACCCTGCATCAAGGGCTTTCTGATGAAGTAAGTTTAGGAAAAACTGCATGTGATAATGGTTCCTTAAGAATTCACATTGCACGTTGAAAAATCAAAGACTGACGAGTTCTGCAATAAAGAAACTTGTTTAACTCTTTCGCTTCACAGTTTCTAAAACTTTTGTAATCATGGATTATTTCTTTCCTCAAACATATACTAATATTCTTTGGAATACATTTTGGGGAATGCTGATTTATCTTAGTATGTATTTGTTTGTGTGTACTTAATCTCTGTTGTTTCCTTTGGCATCATAGTAAGGATGTAGAATGTTACGATAGAAGAGTCCTCGTGCATTGCAGCTTTACTCACAGCAGCTAAGATGAGAAGGTGACCCCGATGTCCACCTAGGGACGAGTGGATAAACAAAACCTGCATAGATAAGCCTTGAGAACATTATGCCCAGTAAAAAAAAAAAGCCGGGCACAGAAAGACAAATACTATGTGTTTCCACCTAGATGAGGCATCTGAAGTAGTCAAACTTACAGAAACAGAAAGTAGAACAGTTACTGTGAGTGACTGGATAGAGGGGGAAATGAACTGCTCAGTGGGTGTAGAGTTTCAGTTTTGCAAGATGATAATGTTCTGGAGGTCTGTTGTATAGCAGTGTGAATGTACTTAACACTACTCCAAATGGGTAAGGTGGTTAATTCTATGTTACATGTTTTCTACATCATTTAAAAAAAGGTAGAGATGTACTTTATCTCTGCCCTTTGCTTCTCCATTGTAATTCCCTGACTCTTCTTGGGCTTAGTTCTAGAAAACTCCTAACTACATCTGTTCAGCTCCTGAAATCTGCTCTGAAGACCACATGTGCCTGCCACCTAAGGTGGCTGTGTTCTGGAAAAGAGCTTTCCCTGTTGTATCTCCATTTTAACATACAATGAAAATTAACTGCATTTTTATTTTGGAGGAAAAGGAGGTAGAGAGAGGGAATGAATCCATATCTGATAAAGAATTACATATTGAAAACATAGGTAATGTACTCCCTCCCCCATGCTATGTATTTTAATCCAGTAGAAAGCTTTTTTAAAAACTCAGCTTTATTGAGATAGAACTCACAGAAAATACAGTTCATCCATTTAAAGTATGTAATTCAGAAGCTTTTAGCATCCTCACAGCTGTGCATCCATTATCACAACCAACTTTGGAACATTTTCTTTATCTTTTAAAGAGACCCACACCCATTAGCAGTTACGCCTTCATTCCCCCATCCTCCCAGCCCTAGACAAACATCAGCCTACTTTCTGTCTCTGTAGACTTGCCTGTTCTGGACATTTCTTATAAATTGAATCATTCAGTAGGTGGTTCTTTGTGATTTGCTCTTATGTTTAGCATAAGGTTTTCAAGCTTCATCTGTGTTGCAGCATGTATCAGTTCTTAATATCTTTTTATAGCTGAATAATATTCCATTGTGTAGGCATACTACATTTTATTTATCCATTCATCAGTTGATAGACATTTGGATTGTTTCCACTTTTGGGCTATTATGGACAATGCCACTATCAATATTCATATGCAAGTTTTTGGTGGATGTATATTTTCATTTCTCTCGAGTATATACTTAGGAGTATGGAATTGCTGGATCATATAACTCTATGTTTAACCATTCAGCAAGAACCGGGATTCCTTTACCTACAAAACTGGGATAAGGTAACATCCCTTGTGTGATTTTTAGGACAATCGAATGAGTAATTTATTTAAGATACCTAGTATACTTGGCATGTAAGTACATTTTAAATAATGAAGCAGGTATTTATTGAGAGCCTGAAATGATGCACATTTAAAGTGTCTCATAGAAACTTCCTTTCAAGCTTGTTGTTTTCATTCTGATATAAATGGAGTCTCAAATGTAATTTTGCCAAGGCCTGGTCAGTACTGAAGGAAATTGTTGGCTCAGAAGTGGAAGCTCCGTTCTTCTGAAGTCTTTTCTTGTTTTCAATAAAATCACTTGTCTTTGCTCTCATCAGTGTTCTGATTTTCAGGTTTTAGCTGCCCTCTCTTACTTCAAAGTTAGAGGCGTCTCAGACTCCCAGAGAAAATCATGCAGTACTTTTGATCATGCATTCATTTTGTGCAACACACCACCATCTTGTGGGCTTTGGAGATTTGAGTAATAAAGGTCTTCACACTAGTTGCATTTTCACAACTGCTGTCTTTTTTTTTTTTTTTTTCAATTTTGTCTTGGCAGCAGCTGTTGAAACTATGCTCTGTTTTAATTTTGTAATTGTTGAGATGGTAAGAAAATTAAGAAATTGTTCCTTACTATCTGAGGAAGTATTGTTTTAAAACATGAAACTTTTGTTATAAGATTCCTGCTTTACAAATTGTACTCTGTTGACCCCTAGGGTTTCACTGTAGACATTACAGGAGAGGAGAGAGAGCAAATGGGACTTTTTTTCTTTTTTTTGGCACATTATATGTTGGTATTCTATGTAAGAATTATTTAGTAAAAGGACTCTGTTTTTCTTTTTCAAGTTAACTAAACTGGTCATTAGATAAAATTACATGCTCATTCCGAGTAGAAGTTTCTCCAGGTTACTGGTGTGAGGAGTTGTCTTCTTCCATGGTTTCCAGTTTTATTACACTATTTTTTCTGTTATTATATTTTTATTATTCTGTCCAAAAGGGTATCAACAAGGTAGAGGTGGGAGGAAAGAGGAGAGAGATACCTGTGTGTAAGTTGCCATTTAGCTCAGAAGTATCATACGAGATTACATAACTTGCAAAGCATAAAGTGGATCATTTAGATCAGAGGTCTCTAGATTTTTTGACTCAATACCTCCATCAGTTTTTATATATATATATATATATATATATATATATATATATATATACTCTTCCTTTCTCCTTCCTCTTTTCTCTCCTCTGTATATTCTTACATGACATATTTTATATATATTATGTTTTGTTTTATATATGTATTAATAAATGTATTGTCTCATATTAATGTATATATGTTTATATATAAAACAAGTGAGATTTCAAAATATGTTTGATTTAAAATTTTATTATAATCTTCCAGAAGCCTCTGCAGTGAGGGTACTTCATCTGGGAGACCACTGATCTAGGTCTAGTGTAATCCCCATTCACTGAGTAAATATTTGAATGCCTAATGTGGTCAGCACTGTGCTTAGAAAAGCATGACACTTACACAGCCATTCTAGCCATTGCAGTTTGAAAGGAATATCAATGGCTTTGAATTTCAACATTTAATTTATTGTTCCACTTTTCCAAAATGTTTTCAGTGTAATTTTATGAATTTAAAAATAAGGTGTTATAATCTTCATTTATTTATTCCACAATAGAATTTGATTTACAAATAAATCTTTGACATGTGAGCCAGTTCCCATCTGTGAATAGCTCCTATGTGAACAGCACCGTATTTAGATGACACACTGCCTGTCCTCTTGGAGATTGCAGTCATAAACCATGTAATGACAGAGAATGTAAAATGAAATTTCTGTTAAGTGCTATGAAGGAGAAATGGTGAGCAGGACTTTGACTATAGTCAGGGACATGGAGATAGTTTAATTGTGGAAGTAGCTGTTGAACTGAGACGTAAAGCAATTGTAGGTGTTTTCTAAGTGAACAGATGAGAAAGCACGTTGGCTGGAGTGGACTGTCGAGAGCCTAGACTGAGGGAACAGGACTTGCACAGACCTCCTGGCTGAAGGGGGAGCTGTAGGTCAGGGGAATGGAAATGGTCGTCTGGGGCTGGAGGGCACAATGGGCATTGTGCAGGATGAGGTCAGTGATAGGCGGTGGGGACAGTTGACACCATTCTAAGCCATGTTGAGAATTTGGAGCATTGTCCTAAGGAGTGTTCTATGGGAGGCACTGTTGGGTGACAGGATCATGTCTGTGGTTTGGAGAGATCACAGGGGCATCTTCAAGTATTTTGACATTTGTGAACTAGAAAAAGGGAAAAGCACATATATTTTTTGAAGAGGCCAAGAAATAAGAAGGAAGATGGTTTTGTCTTCTTTCTTTCTTGAAAGCCAGTCTAAATATGATTCTGGAATTGGTCAGCACTCTCAGTGACCACTTTCTTCCCTGTCTTCCCTAGTACCTCTCTATCCGGCAAGTCCTGCTTTCCAAACCTGGCTGTGCATTAGGGTCACCTGAGAAACATACAAACATATTTTAAATGGTATATCCTTGGCCCCACCGTAGAACTGCTGGCTCATTTCTAGACGTGAGACCCTTTATTTGGTACTAAAACAAACGAAACACTCCCTAGTGATTCCAGTGCATCTGAGCGAGTGCTGGTCCCCAGACAGGTGTTAGCGCCTTCCCCAGTCAGGGGACTACTCATTCCCAGTTCCCTTCTCACTGACAAGCAGTAACCATGCATTTGATGAGTTGGTAATACAAATATCCATTTATTTCTCAGTTTATTTCTCAACACATCATCTTCCTATCATAGGTAGATGGCACAAACCTTCAGGGTTTTACCAATCAGCAAGCAGTAGAGGTGTTGCGACACACAGGACAGACTGTGCACCTGACACTAATGAGGAGAGGAGCGAAGCAGGAAGCTGAGCTCACCGCGGGGGAGGACGTCACAAAAAGCACGGTCGCGTCTCCCATTAATGCCAGTGTAAGCAAAGGTGAGGCCACAGTAACCTGGTTTTCGGTTAGATTCTGACATCATTTTGATTTTTTTCTTCTAATTCTGAAATTATTTAAAGGATAGTTTTTAGTCTTAACTATTCGTTATGAACCAAGTAAAAAGGGAGTTTAATCAAGTTGGGATTAACTAGACCAGTGACGCGTCCGTTGGCTGTGGAATGGGCTCTGAGTAAAGCGGATTTCTCTCCCGTTCATGCAGCCACCACTTCTCATTTGGAAACATGTGCAGTTTACCTTTCTGCCCTCGCCTTACTTTTGGGTGTCATTGCCACGTTTTCCCTTCAGAGGTGAACTGTTCTGCCTAGATGATGTGTGTGAGCCCCAGGACGTTTCTACACGCCCAGCCTTTCCTCGAAGGAATCAGCTTCAGTTCCACGTTTAGGCTTGGCTAGCTGGGATGGGACAGCGTGAGACGCGTAGTTACATGTTCAGAAATGTCCTTCTTAAGCTGTTTGTACATGAGTATCTGAAAATTCCTGAAATCCCCCTGCAGCTCACTGAGGTAAGGGTTCATTGGTAGAAGTCAGGCTGTTGGTTTGCAGGTGCTGTTTCATTTCTGACTGTTGACCATCCTGGTATTTATTCATTTCTGACTGTTGACCATCCTGGTATTTATGCCGTCTGCGAGACAGGGAGGCATGTCGCATTAACAGGAGCACTTTCCTTTAAGTACACGCGGTTGTTGAAGCGTTTACCTACAAAAAGCAAACTCCCATCTAGATGTTCAGATAAATAAAATGGGGTTTGAAAAATTCAAGTGCTCTATTATATTACAGACATTAACTCCTAAAATCTTATCTTTAAGAAAATTATGAAGAAGATGAAGGTTCTTTATCTTCAGTGAGAGGTGCCAGTACATTACAAACTGAAGAAGAAGGCAAACACCTGGAGCCAGGTTATTATATTCTTTACTATTTTTTTAGAGAAATGATTTTTATAAATGTGATTCTGACTCTAGATACATTGTAAATTACTAAAAAAAACTTTCAGAAAAGAGATTATTGTAAGTCCTTATTTATAGATGTGATTAATTATTCTAGTAGTTTAAAATAGTTTGTGTATAGCTGGCAGATTTTCTTGCTGAGCCAGTCTTTTTTTTCCTTCTACTTTTTAACGAGACCTTTAGGAATCATTCAGTTACATACATGGTTTTGTTCCAATCCCCTTAGTTCTTAAGATAGAGCCAACATGTCTCTTGAGCAAGTCATGATAAAGTTATAAAGTGTTTTTAAAATAAACACAAGAGAATCTTTAAAGCAAAAGCCCTTAGGAATGAAACTCTCCATATTTGGGGGTCTTTTTCTTCTAAATTTTTCAAAATTTTGAAAGGAGTTATACAGAGAAATGATTACATCTTTCTGAGATTTCTCTCATTATAAACCTAGAATTCATCAAACTTTTAAAAAATTGTTTAGAGCGGCATTGTGTTCGATGTAGTGATGCCAGAATCTTGCTGCCGTCTTTTTAGTCTGAAACTGTTATGTCCTTCCCTCACCTGTCCTGTTGCTATAGGTGTTTGATAATTAAATCTGCTGGAAAAAATCCAAGGCTCATCTTCCTTACGTGAATTCTGCCCTTTACTAAATATTTATATTGAGACCTTGATGTTCTTTAAGATATTTACTCCTTTATTATTAAAGGTTTTATTTTTCTGCTGAAAATTGCGATTTACCCTTATATTTTAAAGAAATATTTATGTTTGCAGTGATTCCCAGGAGTGAAATGTGTAGGATTCACAGATGTTAGTCAGATTCTGCCATTTTTACACTAATAGGTGTAGTAGAAATTATTTAGGATTAACTCAATATCAGAAGTAGTGGGAAAGGATAAAAATGTTTCAAACCATGAAACTTGAGATAGTAAGAGGGGATGAGTGTGGGGAATCATCTTGAAGGCTCAGCCATCTGTGTTGCTGTGGTGAATGTGCATATGCCTGTGGCGGGGTGGTTGGAGAGCGTGTAGGCTTGTAATCAGGGTTCCCACATTCTTTTTAAAACAAAAATAAGGAAAATTTCTTAATGTTCTTAATGCATCTATCTTAATGCTGGTCCTCAGACAGAGCATGAAACATTGTTACCTCTTCCACAAAATTTGACTCACTGTGTGAACCTGGACAAATCATTTGACTTCTCAGTAACATCAGAAGACTGGGCTTGATGATGTGGGGGATATACCTGAAGTCTAGTTTTGAGGCAGCTGGGAAAGAGGTCGACTTGAGGGTTGTGTTATTGTAGGCTGTGTGTATGAATCCAAATCTTAGACTGTTGTTACCAGCCGCTGACAGATTCCCTGCTTCCTCAAATCCAAATCCCACCCTGCGTGAACCACTGCCCACCTGTGTAAACACAGCAGATGCAGAGAAAGGGGCTGTGGGAAGAGGTGGACTCGGCTGACCCTCCTCTTTCTAACCCTCATCAGGTTGAAGGTTTCCTGTCATCTGTGTTCACCCCTGCACAGTTATCCCTCTTTGAACTGAACACACCTTTGAAGAGAAAACACTCATTTAGGAAGCTAGTCTCCAGATTTTTCAAAAAATATGTATTTTATTGTTTCCAGTTTCTCAAGGAGAAAAAAAAATCATTTTATTAATTTAAAGCATAACAAACCTGAAAAATAAGCCTGGAGGAAAAGCTCATTCATTTCACTAATGAGGAGGCAGCAAATGAGAAATCAAATTTTGGAATACTCTTTAAATTTGAAATTTGAATGCTAAAAGTGATACTGAAAATCACATTTAGAGAGTAGCGTCTTGTAGAGGTTTGTTTTTTTTTTCTTTAGAAGACAACCTTTATGAGTAAAGCTATGATGACATGGGAATCTTTGAATATGACTTGGAAATTTTTCTCAATCAGTTTATTTTAGCTAAACCGTTTTAAATCAATATTGTTTGCATAATTTGCTTAGTGATTTTCTTTTCTATTTTTTTCATTTCCCTTTGGCCAATTAGTAGGATTGCAATTATAGGATTTTAATACATGTTTTCTGTTTTTCATTGTTTCTTATTATTTATATTTTCTTATTGTACATGCAGTCACATATATTATTTGTTAATTCCTTGTTTGTTATTGCTAAGGTGTAGCCTGCTCCCTTCTTTACTGTGTAGAACCAAGTGGAAATGAAAGAGATTAACATAGAAGACAGCATGGCTTTTTACTGTAGAATCACTGAGGGACAACCGAGTGAATTCTGGAGCTTAGAGTCCTCGTTCTTTTAAATAAAAGTTAGGTAATGTATGGATACTTCAATGGAAATATAGTTAAGACCGAAAAGATCTCTCTTAAAAGAGAACAGTGTTGGAATGTATAGATGATAGAGTTCTAAACTGAATGATTAAAATGTGTAGAGAAATAAGAGTAACTCATATATTGGTTGGAGAGTCAGACTTGATGTGGCAAACAGGTTCTGATCACAGGGTCCCTGATACAGAACATTAAGACACGGAGGCTTTTGTCGAACGTCACTGACTTAATCGTGTTGACTCTTTCAGGGTATCCGTTACTGTCAGCTGAGATGGGAGAAATACAAGACGTGCGGCAACAGGAAGCGGCCCTGCTGACAAAGTGGCAAAGGATTATGGGGATTAATTATGAAATAGTGGTAGGTCAGCTTACCCTTCTAAAAAGTTAGCTGTGTAACTTTTTTTTTGATGAGTTTATTTATTTATTTATTAACATTTTTTATTGATTTATAATCATTTTGCAATGTTGTGTCAAATTCCAGTGTAGAGCACAATTTTTCAGTCATACATGGGCATATATTCATTGTCACATTTTTTTCTCTGTGAGCTAACGTAAGATCTTGTGTATATTTCCCTGTGCTATACAGTTTAATCCTGTGTAACTTTTTAACTGTATTTGAGCAGGAAGTTCATGACAGTAATAAAGGTGACTGTCATAAAGAGTCCTCGAGAATGTAGCACGTGCCCAGGGTTTTTTTCAAATACCTAAATGTGCTGATTCAGATGTTAATAAATCCAAGTTGGAGAAAGTCGGATTAACCAAGGAACTAAAATAAATTGGATGAAAGTTGTAGAACTTACAATCCATCAGTATCTCTGGCAGTGGTGTATATTATATAGACACTGGGAAGGGTTTTTCTGATTCTTGTACCTGGGGAGTCCGGTGGAAGGAGGCAGAATAGAATGACAGAATTTTGTTAAAAATAAAACTGAAATTGTCATGACCTGTGTACAGACTTGTGAAAGGGCTTTTTCCCACTCCCTCTTTGTCACTCTTCTGCATTTCTCTCCGGAAGGCATTTTATTCTGCATGCTTTTTTCATAGCACTTACGCCATCGTGAGTGTTTTATGTTTATTAACGGTTTGCACACCTAATGTAGCAATTGTAATCTGCTGTCCTAAAAAGATGTTTAACAAAATTGACATAAATTACAAATCTTTAGATATATATCAACAGATTTCAGGGATTTCAAATGGAAAAATAAAATACTAGGTTAGGTAGAATTTTTCATATTTCTTGTAATATTCAAGTAACTCTAGGTAAGAAGAGATAAAAGACAACAGATAATGATTTAAGATTAATAATAACCAGCATTTATTGAGTACTTTGTGCCAGGCAGTGTTCTTAGTGTTTTTTATATCCTCAGAACAAGATTTTTTTTTAAGTGATCAAGTTAGTTAATAGTTAGATAGTATTTGAGCAAGTTCAGCTGCTATGACCATTTTAAATTGAATCAAGGAACCATACAACAAGGTCCAGCTTAACTGTGGTTAATTTAACATGAAAAGAGAGTTGGAGGATTCCTTCTCCGGGGTAGGGGTGGCGTGGCCGGCGGCTGCGCCTCTTCAGGTGGTAATTGAATGGTAAAGAGCACCCTTTCCCTAGGCCTTTTGTCGCACATGTCAGATGGGAGGCTGTGAACTTTTAACTGTCCTTTGTGCGCATGCTCTCCTGGTGGCACTTCCCGTCATCTGTTGAGGGTGGAATGTTACTATAAGTAAGAAAGAACTAAGCTATTTATTAGTTTTCATCAGACAAAGGTAAATACGACATATTGTGGACTTCAGTAGTTTGCTCCATAGTTACACAGCACACGTGAAATCATAGGAGGAGTATGTAGTAGAGAGAAGGATTGATGGGCGTGGTGAATGGAATCCTGGAGGGCTGCTCGGAGGGAGTGATACCTAAATTGGATTTTAAGGGGTAGAAGGATTTCATCCAGCTTTAGATTTCAGAGTCAGATAATGTAGCTTCTAGCATTGACCCTGTGCTCGTTACCATGAAGATCTGAAAATGTCTATTATAATTAAACAGTATTTTTCTTAGCCCCTCTATCCCTCAGTTCCCTTAGCTATAAAATAAAGGGGATGAAATAAATCATTTTTAGTATACCTTCTGATTTTAATACTGTAATTATTGGACTCTTTGTGAAAATGGTGATGTCCCAACGTTCTTCATTATTTGCATATTAGTGTAACAGTAGGAAATAGGAAGTTTTTTCTTTCTGTTTTAAGCTTTGATTCACTTTTAAAGACACGTGTTATCCCCTGATACATGTAAGGTCCAGAGGTTGAGGGCTATAGGACCAGAGTGCTTAGGTGCAAAGCACTTTTCTAGCTTTGGGACTCAATTGAAGGTGACTTCTCAGAACCTCTTTTTCCTAATTTGGGAAGAACAAGGACAGACATTGTACCTATTTATGAGAGGTAAGTGAGGTGATCTGTGTAATGGGGTTAGCACAGTCCCCAGCCCATGGGAAGTGCTAAGGGTATGTGTTTTCCATACTGTCGTTTGAGCTCAGACTTTCGATTTTGTCTCTGGTAACCACCATCTGTTATCAGCATTCCTGCAGAGCATCTTGGGTGCTTGCAAGTGACTGCTTCCTTTTGGTTTGTGTTGGTTTAAGAAACCGACAGATGTCAGTACTCTTTCCAAGGCAAAGCTCCAGAGGTTTGCAGCTTTACAAGTTTTTGCGAAGTTGTGAGAAACTTGACCTTGAGGGTGAAGATAAAATACATGAGAAGAAAAACAAACTAACAAATGAAAGAACATTAGAATTGGGATGGTTTTTCTCCTTCCAGGTGGCCCACGTGAGCAAGTTCAGTGAGAACAGTGGGTTGGGGATAAGTCTGGAAGCAACAGTGGGACATCATTTTATCCGATCTGTTCTACCAGAAGGTCCTGTTGGACACAGCAGGAAGCTTTTCAGTGGAGATGAGCTACTGGAGGTAAGGAGTTACCTTGTTCTCCCCTCTGTAACTAAAATTCTGAAAAGGCTGCGGGAAGCTTAACGTGGTGAATAAGTAGCTCTTCTTTTAAATTTCTCCTCTGACGAGAACTTGAGAGAGATACACAAATAAAAATTCACCCAAAGTGAAATTTCCAATCTATATGTATATTGAGTTTCACACCTAACTCCGTGTGTATGTGTGTGTTTTTTAATTTGTTGGTTTTTTTTGATCTAGAGGACTATAAAAGCTTTCTTCAAAATTTTTGAACATTCAGTTTTTAGAGTGGGTAATAAAATCACATATTTCAGAATCTCAAAAGAACACAGCGATACACTTCAGCACAAAGTCTCTCTTCTCTCCCACTCCACGTAATTTTCATCACCCCTTCTTAGGTGTAACTACTGTTACAGTTGATTCTATGCAGTTTGCAGATATTTTTAATAAGTAAGAAAATTTGAGTATGTTCATTTCTCCTACTTTTAAAAACATGGTAGCATATAACATGTGCCATTTCCATTTTTTTTCACTTAATAATGATATAAAGTATCATTAAACATAAACTTCTCCTTTTCCCTTCCCCCTTTGGGAATGATGTTATTAACTCTTCCTTTCTGAACTATTACACTGGCATATGCAATGTGGGTGAAAGCTAGTGATTTTCCTGTGAGTGCTTTAGAAGGTCCAGTTCCAAAAAGACTCTAAAGCTGCATGTCAGTGGTTTTAGATAACACTTCTCCCACGGGTCCAACTATGATGCTGAGCACAGCAGAGCTGTGGAAATCCCCATAGTACAATTTATATTTATTTAATTAATAGTTGCTTTATAGAGACTAGTCATGCTGTGAAATGTTCTTTCTTGGATGACGACTCTTTTTGCACAGGTGAATGGCATAACTTTGCTTGGGGAGAGTCACCAAGATGTGGTGACTATTTTAAAAGAGCTGCCTATAGAGGTGACAATGGTGTGCTGCCGTCGAACTGTGCCAGCCACCGCCCGGGCAGGACTGGAGAGCCTGGACTTATGTGACATTGAACTAACAGAACAGGTATGAGATCTGCAGATGTGAGACTGATCTGAATATGTAATGGAAAGGCTAAATGGCATTAAAACATTTTTAAGCCTCTCTTCTCTTACTTGATATTTGATTTACTCACAACCCATGGCTTGTAGGGTATATCTTGGGGTCAGACAGACCTGGGTTTGAACCAGGCTTGGCACATAACTTGCTCTGTGTCGCTGGGCGAGTCCTTCACCTTTCTGAATCTCACTTTTCTCCTTTTTAAAACCTAAGTCATGATGACTGTCCTGGAGGGTTGCTCTATGCGATATATGAGATAATGTAATACTAGATATTATTACATAATACCTGTGTGACTAATAATATATAATAATATTATATATAATAATAATATTATAATAATATTCACAGTGTTCCTATGAAATAGACACTCGTTTTTTCCCCCCTTAAAAGGAGAGAAAATTGAAGTGTGAAATTAGTGAGTATATAGTACGCATGTGGTAAAAGACACTTTTGCATAACCTCCCCAGCTCAGTGCCTGGCACATGGTTACTGCTCAGGGAACGGCTTAAATATGGATGGGCCATCATTTCTCTGGGCATAGATCTACTTTGCACACTGTCTATACTTTTAAAATATGAAGATTTGAGCTCATGATTCTGCATGTCACATAATACTCCATGATACTGAGAAAATTCCATTTTCCTGTTCGCTTATTCTTTTCCATTCACATCACAATGTCAAGAGATAGAGCTCATTAGCTTTTCTGAGGACTCATGGTGGATATCTAAAGTTAACATTTGGACTTTCCATAATTTATAGCCTATTCAGATCTCACTTAGGGTACAGTGAGAGATGATTGTAGGATTTGATTCACATACTGTAGGAATCAGTACAGTGGAATAATTTTGAAAACTTTGAAGAATAAAGTGCATAGTTCAGTATTCAGATGGGTGATTAGAATAGGGTAGAATAAGAAGCGTAACTCCAGATTGTGTAGAAACTGAAGTCTAGCACTGTACATATCCAACTGCATATTTATGTGGTATAAATGGGATTATTACAGTAAAGAAGGCGGACAGATTTGTATCCATGGTCCTGTGTGCAGTAATTGATAAAAAGCAACGATAGTATTTGAACTAGAATTTCATTATCAAAAACATGTTTTTCCCATTTAATGGGTTCATGCAGATGAACAGAGCTGAATTAACCTAGATTCACTTTAATATATTTTTACTGAAAGAAGCTAACGTTTTGAATCCCTGTTTTTCTGCAAAGTACTTTTTAAATGCTACCTCACTTACATCTCAGTGACACGTTCTGTGAGAGGTGACCGTGAAGCCCAGGTTAAGACTGCTGCTCAAGGCAACATGGATTAAGAGATCACAGAGACAGTCCTCAAGCCCAGGGCAGTCTGACTTCAGGTCTTGCCTTGCCACTGTGCATGATCATTTATTAAGGAAACAATCATGTGCACGAGTCACAGCGTTTTGTAACCCTTGTCTGCCTAGAGTGCACGACTTTAATATATAGCTATTTTCTCTTGAATTGTTCTTATTTGTCATAGGAATCCTTTTTCTTTACATTTTTTTCCTAACCACAGACGTGATTCAGACACTGATGAAAAAAGTGAAAGTCACCCACAGCCATGATGCTGAAATACAATCATTATATCTTTTTATAGATCTTTGAACCATGTATTTTTAATGCCCCTTGCAAGTTAGGTGTGTCTTCCTCTTTAACACTTTTTGACAATCGCCATCCTGCTGCGTGGAGGTTTTGCGGTGAGCCATGGGTGCTCCCGTCCGTGAGTCTTTGATCTTGGACAGGTGCTGGGCCTCCCCCTTTCCCTTGTGGTGTGGGTGTGCGTATCTGCTGATCTGGTGCCTCTGAAATAAGAGCTGTCTGGTCTGTTACCCAGCCTCACGTAGACCTCGGTGAGCTCATCGGGTCCTCGGAGACAGAGGAGCCCGTGCTGGCGATGACGGATGTGGGTCAGGATGGAGAGGAGGCTCAGGGACCTTTGGCCATGTGGGAGGCTGACGTTCAGAACATAGAGCTGGAAAAGGGGAGCAGAGGACTTGGTTTCAGCATTTTAGATTATCAGGTAAATACATCCTACTTTTAATAATTCTTTAAGAAATGATGAGAGAAACTAGGGGTATATTGTTCACAGCCGAGAAGCAGCAGATAATATTGTAGAATCATCAGAGATGTATTCTTGTTTTACTGAGGTTGAAAATAATAACTTCATGATTAATTGGCTGTCATAAAGCATTTCTTTCAACACTGAATTCATTGTGCTCTTTTATATTTTGTCTCTTGGAAATTTGAAGAATAATGCTAAATACTTTTTAGGAATCCTAGAGAAATGTAGTTGTTTGCTCGTTTGAAGGTTATGCCTGAATTACTCTTACTCCTTTGCCCTTAATTGATAGTTCATATTCAAATGGTAAGACAGAAAGTGTTAGCTACTCATTTCTTTCATCTAAAGTGAATGATAAACTTATAATTGGATATATTGTGAATTCTAATATATTGTTATGATTTGACCAAACTTACGAGTTAGCTTCAGTTGGTCACGTGTGGCCTGCGTCCTTCTTTTGTGTTCTGTGCTGAGTGACTGAGGGAATGCTAAAGCGGGTCTGAGAAGGAGCAGCTGCTCCTCTTCATCAGTTAGTACTGAGCCAGGAAACTGTGTTCTTCTTTGGTCCTGGTTCTGGAGTCTGGTTCTCATACTCAGGTTGCTGTGTATGTGAAAACGCTGCATCACCAAATACTCTACAGGCTCCTTCTGAACTTCTGCATCTCAGAGACAGGCCCTGCTGTCAGTACACTCACAGCTACAGAAGTTCCACAGCTGTAACTTCCTGTTAATAAACCGTTAATTCATGTGTTGCAGATGACAGTTATAAAATAGGACCGTTTATCAGAATTTAAAGTCATAACGTTAAAGTTGTCTGTATGGTGTAAGAGGTCTACTCAGGTACCGCAGAAAGTGAGGCTGCCATTGTTTAGGAGGGACTCTTCCTAAACTCTTTAAAGAGGCCACCGCCTTTACCTAGAGAATTCATTGGGAGTATCGTGTGCATTTTTAAAAAGACACTTGAAATAATTACCCATCCTGTACAATTCAGAGTGGACAACCTGTAACAGCATTTTTAAGTGTCGAAAGAGCTGCCTTCTCTTTCCATTTCTGTTCTATCAGGATCCAGTTGATCCAGCAAGCACTGTGATTGTAATTCGTTCTTTGGTGCCTGGTGGTGTTGCCGAAAAGGATGGACGGCTTCTCCCTGGGGATCGACTCATGTTTGTCAACGACGTTAACTTGGAAAACAGCAGTCTTGAAGAAGCTGTACAGGCACTGAAAGGTGCACCCTCAGGAACTGTGAGAATAGGCGTTGCCAAGCCTTTGCCTGTAAGAATTTAGATTTTATTCATTTCTTTTTATTTGCAAACAAAATGGCTTTCAAGCTTTTAGCTTCAGGTGTTCTCATGATCTAGTCATGGCTTTTGGTACTTTTCATCGATATGGTTATTTGACACCATGAGTGTGAAGATTGAATTTTGAGTAATGTTTTTTAAAAGAATAAAGCAAAGAAAATAGCCAGAAAGTTCAAAAATAAATTTATAACTTACTGTTCTATGGTTCACTTTTGACCTTTTTTATTCAAAATTAAGGTCATGATCAATATAGAATCAAATGTTTTCAAGGAATTAGACCTCAAAATCTCTATGCCAGGTTACAGTGGCCTAAGTTCCTGTTTCTGTTCAGCGTATTTGTTGTCTAATTACTGCAGAGCAAGAATTTGAACTTTCCAATGTGGATTCATCAGGTGGTGACTCTCCTCCTGGGAGGGAACAGACTTCATGTTTTAGTTACTATGATATAAAACAACTAATGAATTCATGCTATGTAATGTAAAAATATTTGTTAGGTATAGTGATTGCAACATAGCACTTACCACTGAATTGCAATTACGTATTAGAGACAGTCTCAATTTTTGTGGGTTTTTTCTGTTATAGATACATTGTTAAGTGGCAAGATAAATATACCTTCTCTTAGGAAAGCACATAGATATATTTGCATAAACATCAAATAAAGATTTGTTGACTTCGTGAGAGTTTATTCAAATCGTAAATTTGTTAATATATTTAAAACACTGGTTAAATTTTTCATGCTCTACTTCTTATTCCACAAAGAATTCCATAACCTATGAAAATTATTTATGAGAATAGAAAGAAAGGGAGGGGAAGAGGAAGGGAAGAAGGAAGAATGTGTTAAGCAAACCTCAGATCGAACCAGGATTGTAGAAATCAGAGCAAGAGATCAGTACAACGGGGAATGTAAGAATGAAGACAGGCCATTCTGGACTCTCCGTATTTAAGACTGACCATATATCTGATTCTGGTCTCTCTGTTATATAAAGAAAAATGGCAAACGTGGCTGAGTGTATGTTTTTTACTGCCCTTAACCGGAAACTATGCCAGTTACTCAGAAGCAATCTTTTCTTTTTCCTAGTTGGTTCCAAAATAAATTTCTTTCATAAAACTGTTTAATATTTCACATTTAGTATGCATTGCAATATATGTTAACTACCTCTTTTGCATAAAGTGAGCTTTATTAACCATTAAATTCATAGGTGTGGGAAAAGAAGATAAACAATTTTTCTCTAAAATACACCTGCATGTACTGCTCACACAGAGTGATGTAGGCAAGACAGTCTAAGTACTTTAGCTTATTTTATCTGAGATTGCAGTGAGAATGCTGTGTTTTCTGTCTCTGTGATCGTGGTTACAACATGATATCACAGGACTGCAATTTAAGCTGATTGTGAACATGCAGAGTTGGTGGTGGTGGTTGTTTAAGCCAGGCCAAATTAAGGGACTTCCTTGTTGGGTTCCCTGACAGTCCTTGTCAAGGAAATTACATTCTTTAAAATAGTATTCTAGTAAAGGATGACAGAGAAGTTGATCCTTCTTTTTAATGGTTCAGTCTTTTGCAACTTCTTTTGTGTCTTAACACCTAAAGGTGGCCTTATTTCTATATTAAGAAGTCATTTTTTAACCCAAATATTTGGCAGAATGACTAGAAAATTATAGTAATGTAAAAAACTTGTTGATTTTGATAATCTTTTATAAGAAGAAAGAAGAAATTCATAGAAAGGGATTCTCATCAGATGATGTTGGTATTGGAATAAGCAACCTCATTATGTGCTACCAGATGAAACTGTTAAATATGAATATTTATCATATTTCATGCTCACCATTCTGTGTTAAAGTCATATGTTTATTATGACTTTATAATTTGAAAACTTCCCCGTTTTTTCCTCTCCTCCCCTTTCTTTTTCTCCCCTCGCCCTCTGCCCTACCTTTCCTTCCTTCTTTCCTGTTCTCTCTCGTTGGTGAACTCATCCTCACACACCGAGCTTCATTCTCCCTGCAGCTTTCCCCAGAAGAAGGTTATGTTTCCGCTAAGGAGGACTCCCTTCTCTACCCACCACACTCCCGCGAGGAGGAAGGGCTGCCTGACAAAGCCCTCTTCAGGGCCGACTGGGCTCTGGTTAGTGGCCACGACTTACCAAGCTTTCTTTCACAATCTTGTGTCTTAGATTTGCTTTTCAAAATATTCTAAAGTCTTACTATATTCTTTGATCATTATGTTTTGGGAAACTAAACATTTTCCTTTCAACTCTAGTAGTTCTCATAGTTCAAAATGGGAAGGAAAACAAACCATAGTATTTGTGAAAACCGTTGAATCTGTAGGAGATACTCAGTTAGCAGTGCATTACGTCACCATGTAGAATAAGCCTTTACATCATACCGAAAGTCGCTGGAGCTCTTGTCTGCTCCAGTTTCACACTTGCGTATCTCTAGGCAGTCTTAAACTGTTTGTAGTACTCAGTCATAAGTCAGTTGTTTTTGCTTCCTTTTAATAAGGTAATAGGTATGTTTTTTCATTAGATATTAATAATGTGAAAGTCACATGAATTGATTTGGTTACTAAGACCACAGAAGCTTCCAAAAGAGGTAAAACCCATGTTTTTTTTATAAATACATGTATGTTAACATTACTGATTTACTAGAAAATCTTAAAGTTTTATTTTACTTCATCTATGTAAAATCATTCATTGTAATATGTATACTTAGGAATCACTGGAGGCCACTTGGATGAGTGAATACATAGTTTTTGATCCTAAGAACCTGATCGTCTGGTAGAAGAGCCGATGCTGTGTTAATACTTAATAACTAAAGTGCAAAACTAAATATAGCACACTGCTCCAGGCCCTTTTTTAATTGTTACCTTTAGATCTTTTATCACTAGCACCGATTTGTCCGTGTTCTGTCGCAGTGGTTAGCCTTTGACATGTTGAAGAGGGTGAGGAGGTCGTGTAGGAGAAAGAATAGACAGAGAGTGATACCTGTATGCCTGTTGGTCTCAGGTGGAGGCTTCGTCGTGTGTGTAACAGAACAGAACTGCCAGCTGACATTTTTATTTTTATCCCTAGGTGGACACGGACGATGCTGACTTAGCAGACGAGTCTGCATTCGAGTCTCACTACTCTCCTGATCATGACAGTATCTACTCCACTCAGACCTCTGTTTTATCCCTTCATGGCAGTGCTTGCAGTGATAGCCTGAATTACGGTCCCTCCCTTCCGTCTTCTCCTCCCAAGGTACGAAGGCAATGCCGTTTTCTTCATGGGGGAACCCTGTATGTCAGTAACCAGAGATCACTGTTCATGGGGTGCTGGGGGAGTGGCTCGTTGGAGACATCATATTTCTTCAGTCATGGCTTCATTATCAGGTTAAAGTGCAGGTTCATTTAGATGGTGTTAATTGGATGTTTTGTAGACTCTTGGGTTCTGTTTAAATCTCAGTTCTGTGATACAGAGTGATAGACACAGGGTTCAAAACTTTGATTAGGATTTGCATGTTGGAAAGAAAAACTTTAGTGAAGTTTTTCTCAAATTGTGTTTTTAGCTGTGTGTACTTTGGGAGAATTACAAGAGTAACTTTATTTTCTTAATGGCTTTAAAACGGACTTTCATGCAGAGTTGGAAAGTAGAGTGTTCCTTGCATGAATTTAATATTTATTAGCTAAGTCAAACTTAGTGTTGTCATATGTTTTCATATAAAACGATGCCAAAGAATATGTAAAACTCCCAGTGAATGGCTAAGTATGTTTAAGTCACTGGATGTGAATGAAGAATTTAGCTACTGATTGACATAACTGTGCCATCTGTATTTTAGAAATAGACTATTGGTATAAATGCCCCACCCAGCTCTATGCATTATCTTGATGATATACTCTATAATGTTTAATAAGTAATAGTTTAAAACCTGTTCAGTCTTTTGGGCGTGAAATGGTATCTTACTGTTTTAGTTTGGAGTTCCTGACTATTAGTGAGGTTGAATACATTCTCCTCCACCAGTGGCCTCTTCATATCTTTTGATCATTTTTGTATGGGATTTGTTGTCTTTCTATTGATTTGTTGGAGTTGTTTATATTATCTAGAAATTGATGTGCAGGGCAATTCAGTGTGTTTCTCTAAGTATGTGTGTGTGTATTTTAAAAATCTGAAAATGTGTGGGAATGTTCCTCTCAACTTCTGGGAAGATGTTATTCTTGGAGAAAAAAGAAATCATGGGAATTTAGCTGTATCTATAATACATTACAAACTTTTAAGAAGAAAGAGAGATTGAAGAAAAGACACCAAAATATTAAGGTCTGTTAAATCTGAGGAAAGAGTTCATATGTGGATATATTTTCTTTATTTTTCTATGTTGGGAACATTTCATAAACAAAACATTCAACATTGAAATAAAAGACTGAATAATAGTTCTTTCTTAAATATATGAAATGTATATTTTTCACATAAATTCAGTAGGGAGGGAATCTGTATTTATGAAAAAGTTGGAAAGTAGAATTTCTACAAGCCTAACACAATTTTCCTCTTTTCTGATAAACAAGTAGTTTTTTGGCCAGAACATTTTCAGAGCATTTTCTTTTGTGTTCAGGGTGCACCTGTTATCCTTGCAAATGATGCTGGGCAATCTCCTTGAATTGGTTTGCAAGGTATAATTGTGAATGGAGCAGCTGCTCGCCTCTCACACCTGAGACTGTCTGTCTGACTGAGTCCTGTCTGGAACATACTCAGTCTTTGCTGGCCCCAGGGCTGGAAGCTGAGTTCATCTCCTGATGGAATCTCCTAATCCGCTGCACAGCACACTTCATGCCAGTGGGACAGATTGCATTGTTTAATTTAGTAATTGTTACTTAAAGGGATTACACAATCTGCATACTGAGAAGCATATATTTTACAGGGCAAATGCTGGCTGTATGCAGCACAACATATTGGCTTACTGAAGTCTGTTTGCCTCTTTTTCTGTTTTTTTCACAAGCAGTTTACTCTTTTGTTGAAGCAAATTTTGGCAAGCTGGCCTATCAACTGAAATATTTAAACTACAAAACAACAAAGGAGACATTAATGAGAGTGTTTTAAAACACATTGTGAAACTCCTGTGTGCTTTCAGTTTCTCTTAGAATGTAGGACTGTTTCCCTATCATGGTAAATCTCTGCAACATTGTTTTATTTCTTTGGCTTGTTTGTTTTTGTATTTGTTTTGTGGCATCTTTTTAGTACCTAGATATTTTACTGGAAAATTGTATGTAAATAAGAACAAAAGTAGATGATTCATTCATCTTCCTTTATCTTTGCACTGAATTTATTTTAGAAAGACTAAATGGCAGCTTGTTACAGAATTTAGAGTCAACCATTTTTCTTAAAGAAAAGTGAGCTCACTTTAGGATTCTTTAATTGATAAAGTCGTATGATACATGATATTTAAGGAAGACAGAGAAGCCTGCATATTGATCTGAAGGATGGGTAAAATAGGATGTGAGGATCCTAGTGATTCCTCAGATGTTTGACTTTGCTAATTATGAAATAATCTTGTAGCCTTAAATGGTGGTTGGAAATGCACAAATAATTTTACCTCTCTTCTTTACCTTGATGAGAAGTCTTTTGGCCTTTGCCAGGTGTGCTGTGGAAGTTCTAAAAGCTAATGCCCCAGAGCCTGGACCTGTTGTAGAGGGAGGCCTTACTCCCAGAGGGCAGAGCCTGGGCCTGGACAGTTGCTTAGACAGGAAGGGGCTGTAGGCATATGTTTGAGCTCCTTTGCACAAAATTCTCCCATTTAGGGGACCAGTCTGCCTTTTTTTTTTTTTTTTGTGAGTTGCTTTTGCTTAATTTGATTAATTATCGTTTAAGGATTTAAGGGAAACAACCATTACTCACAAATTTAAAAAAATTTGACCACTTCCATGGTATTTGGATTAATAGAATCAGGTCACTGAAATGTGGTTTTTAAAGGCAAAAAGCCAGTGGGTTTTCTCATTGTTCTAGGTTTCAATTTTTTGATTAATCTTTTTATCCCCTTTTCTTTGTCACCTCCAAAGACATAACAGAATGCAGAAATAATTGTTTTCTAAACTTACTAAATGCTTGTAGACTTTTGTTTCAGAGCTCAATATAGCTTCTGAGGAGACGATGCTTTCATTTATTTTTCCTTATTTTGGCTTAAAAGCCCAGTAAAGATTCTGTAGCTCGGTGGTGGATTTCCTCCTCTGCTTCTTCCCCCACGCCCATGCCCTGCACTTCCTCACACCCCCAGATTCTCACTTTTGTTCCAGAAATGAAGTGATTCCCAGTTTGGTGCACATCCTGCATTTCTGAATACTGGTCCCTCTAGGAAATGCTGTTGGTTCTGGTGCAAGTTGAACTTTATGTTTGTCAAAATACAAACTCCTCTTCACACCTTGCACACGAAACAAAACTAATGTTTCTTCAATCTATGTATTTGAAGGAAAAGATCTCCACTGAGTGTCATTCTATAGCGTAAAATATTGCTGCCTTCCGATTTGTGTTTAAAATGTTGATACCATTTTTTATTTTTATATTTTGAAGAGAGTTAGTATCACAAACTAACTAGATCACTCTAGCCAAGGTGATGCTAGTGATTGTGGAAATCTTAGTGATAAAACAGCAAGCTTGCAAAGGTATGAGAGATGCTGCCTTTTCCCTCAGGAGGGTAAGAGTACTGATAATAAAGAAAGTGCATCTTATCTCAGAAGACGCTGTAAGTTAGAGCAGCTGGGCTTATGGTATATTTTTCAAAAGTGTAAGAAGACTTGTGTGGTTGACCGATTATTGAAGAAAAGCAGGTTGTGTCCAGTGAATGCTTAAATACTTAGCTAGTCTATATAAATACATTCTCTGGGTGAATAAGGTGCCCAGGTGTAACCTTATATGCATTGCACTTAAGAAGTAGAGCTGTTTTCAAGTATAACCAACATTTTAATTTAACCTTTCTCTCATTTTTTCCTAAGAACAAGAATGTATCAAATGGAGGCTCATGTTAATACGGATTTTTGAAAGACTTCCGTTTAGACACCAAGTTGCAGTGGGAAATTGTAGAGTTATTTTTGCACATCTTATGAGGGAAGAACTGCTTTTCTTTTAGATCCATAAGACTTTTAAAAATAAAACTCAGTCGGTTGTTCAGCAACCAGAAATGTTTCTACAGTAGGCGTATGTTGTCTGCTGTGTTGATTAGCTCTTTCTTTTCTGTGTGTCTGTGTTAACTCCCATGTGAATAACGCATGGTGGTTTCTGTTACGTGATTTGTAGTAAACCCCAGCTAACAAGGGCAGCTTGACCTCTTCTGATGAAGAGCAGTTTTGATTGTCATCTTTATTTGAAGAGTGGTAGAGATGATTTACTGCTAATTATTATAATTAATTTAGTAATACAGCAGCTAACCAGCTCTCTAGTAAGTAGATTTGTTTTTTTCATAAGACAAAAATAAAGTTGGCTGAATGAGCCAACAGATTATTATTTAAGTTCTAGGAGTGTGGAGGATAATGCTTTCCTATCATTTGTTCCTGAGGATTTTAAAGGGGTTATTTGTTTATATGGTATTCCCACTTACCTCAATTCTTTGTGCCAGGAATATTTGATAATTCCAGAGAGACGAAACTTGATTGAATTAGAGGAGTATAATAAATTGTGTTGGAGCGATTGATTTCCAGTGTAGAAAAAAATGGAAAGAGACCCATATTTCACACTACACCCTAACATAAATTCTAAGTGAATTAAAACTGAATCTGAAAACAGACCATTTATAAAATAGAAGAAAAATGCTAAAACGCATTTTATTTACTCTCTGCAGTGGAAGGACTTATGAAGCAACATGTAAAACCCAGAAGCATTAAAAAAAGACAAATTTAGTTACATAAAGAATTACATAAAAATTTCTTGATTACATAAAGGATTTAACTTCTGCATGTATATGTATATAACTTATACAACTTGAAAGACAAGTCACAAGCTTGGAAAATATTTGCAGTATACATCACAGACTTTGTATTCAGCCTGTGTCAATGACAGCATATTTACTGGCATGACGATCTCTCATGTTAAGATATAAAGATACTTCCAAAAAGCAAGTAGAAATATGCTACTTAGCGTTTAGTTTGGTTTAGGTTTTAAACATAGACATATATCTGTGAATGTGTGCCTGTGTTCTTGTGCATATGTATTATATGGATACATTAAAAATTTGGTGAATAAATACCCAAGGGATGCCAGCCACTTGTTTTTACTGGGGAAAGGCCTGGAAGTATGAGCCACAAGGGAAGGCTTCCCTGTCGCACTCTTCATGCATACATAATATAGATCTGTATGGCCTGAATCTTTTCTGATGATACGTACACTGCTCTTCTACTTTAAAAACATCAGTAAAAGAATTGTAGATACAATTGATACTTTTATTCAATAGCAGTTCATGGAGCATTGCTTGCCCATGATAAAATACATGTGTTGTAAGTAGATACATATATTTATGTAGGACTGTCAAATTTTAGAGTTTCAGGGAATTTTAAAAATTATCTAACAGAAAGCCAGGAGAGATTCTGTGATGTGCAGATTGTTAAGAGAGCCTGCTTTAGAACATCCACACGTCTTAGGACAGTGTTCTTAATACTAGTCCTTCTGCTACATCTTGCAGAATATTTAAGAAAAAATTCCCTATAAGGATGTGAATTGTACGGCTTTCTCTTTGGTTCCATAAATACCAAAAAATGCCTATCAAAATAATTTTTTCTTGGAGGTTCTTATGAATCTGAATCAATTAATATCATACTCTTCATGCTCTTAATCTTATAATAAATAGAAGCTTCAACCTGATAGTAAATGAACTACTTTTTAAATGAGATGTGGAAATAGAAATTACTTGCTCTCCTATGTATATTGAACTCTGAGTAATTTTATTTGTGAACAGAACATAATATTCTATCTAAATGGTCTCAGGTACCAGCATATTGTACTAGTGTGACTCAGTATGAGATGTATGATTTGCAGGAAATGTATTCAAAAGTATTTACAAAAATAAGTATATGCAGAATATCAGCTAAGCAAAGAATTTGTGTTTGCTAATGCTTTTTGACCAATGAATAATTATATTGTCTTTTGTTTTTCACTCACTAGTTGTTCATTAGGATCTTATGAAATACATTGATGCAATTCTGGCCATAATTTTTATTTTTGTTCTTTAATTACCAGGATGTTACTGAAAGTTCTTCAGATCCAATTCTTGATCTCCATATGTCCTTGGAGGAGCTGTACGCCCAGAATCTCCTACAAAGACAGGATGAGAGTTCGCCTTCCGTAGACCTGAACATGGGGACTGCTTCTGGCTTTACTGTAAACGATTATACACCTGCGAATGCTGTTGAACAGCAGTACGAATGTGAAAACACAAGAAGATGGACTGAATCTCACCTACCAAATGAAGTTATAGCAAGTGCAGAACTGAGTTCTCCTGTGCTAACTGATTCACCTGGAAAGGTATATTTTAAAGATAAGGTTTGTGTATTATGATAAAATTGGGAGACAATGAAGGGTCACATTATTCTGGCTAACCTTCCTAATTGGAGCCAGTGCTCTCCTGAAGCTTGAGATTTTTTTCAGAAGAGAACCTATGAACTTGTTGTGTTTATAGGTTCTTGCTAGATAAAGCACAGCCAATAGAGAATATGGGTGGTGTTGAAATCATACTCCAAAGTCTAGTTTTCCTTTCCATGTGACTTATGTTTGTTTTCTGTCAGGGCTCCAAGTTCTTAATGCAACAGGGTTCCCTGGCCTCTGCTGCTGAGTGTGTCATGTTCCAAAATATATCCAAAGAATCTTTTGAGAGGACTATTTCTATAGCAAAAGGCAATTCTAGCCTAGGTAAGTTTCTTACTTTCCACATTTACCTTCCTTCCCAACCTCCTTGTCAAGAGGAAATATTGAACATAGTTTCAGTGTTTTTGAAGGTAGATTTGAAAATAGATGCTGTAAAATATCTGGCAGTTTTTATGGTTACTCTTTTTATGTACTCATTATTTTATCTGAAATGCTTGATACGTTTGTTTACTTCAGACTCGCTTAAATCCCTCACTCCCTAAAGTATGCACGAGTCTCATTTGCATTCAAGAAAAAGATACACAGATTGTTTGTGTATGAAAGAGCACATCGGAAAAGGAATTCTTAGAAAATGGAAAGTCAGCGATTTGGAAATCTGAATTCTTTGGAATAGTAAATTATTAGTTTCTTTGAATGTTACCGCTTATGCGTAAGTCAGTTTATATTTAATTTCTTTCATTCACTGAAATAAAGACTAAAAAGACAGCCAGGTGTCCCACCACCAAAATATAAATGGAGTTATTCAATGGCCCTGTCCAGGTGACAGGATTTTTGTGTCCTCTTCTATGCATGCTGGGTTGCGGCTGAGTAATAATCCTGAATCTTCTGAATTGGGCAGGAAGACTTCCTGTAGAAATTAAGTGCCGACTGCGGTAGCTAAAATTACATCAAGGCAGAGCACACTTGTTCTTCGAGTTAAGCAGTGGCGTGACTCAGCCCTGTCTTCAGTGCTTGGTGGGGATAACGAGGTTCGTACATCAGTCACTCTGGGAGCCCGACTGCAGCCCAGGACCGTCTGGTTAGCTCTGCCTCAGAGGTCTCGTTTCTTCTCGGATGTAACCAGCCAGCACACTTTACGCTGATACCTATGGTTGGTCTTGTTCCTTGTTAAATTTGAAGCTGGGCAGAGGGGACCGGCAGTGCTTGCTTGTTGTGTGGGATTCCAGTCTCTGTCTGCTAGATTTTGTTCTGTTTGGTGGCAGCTGGGTCCTAACAACAGCAGTTCAATGGGGAATTACAACAGAGAATTTCTACTTAGTTTTATTTCCTATGTATTACCTCTAATAGAATAATATAAAACTTAAGCTAGAGAATGTTCTGTAATTTGTTAATTATGGGATAGATACTACAGATTCCTAAGCATGTCAGAAATATTTCGTCTGCTGATGCCGTGTTTCTGGAAGCATGTCACTTAGAATAGTAGTTTTATAGGATGTTAATGGAAGTTATAAATGGGTCAAAGCACAAAAGTTTAGGATGTGATAAACTTAAGGAGATAGGTGTTTCTGTTTGTGCTACTCAGTATCTTTGATACTCAGATGTACATTGTGGATTCTCTAAGAAAATGTTACAGAATGCATGACTTGTCACATTACATTGGCTATAGAGCCCATTTTTTAATGAACTCTTAAGACAGAGATCTTAGATCCCTATTCTGATATATTTATTTAATCAACTCTCAAATACCAATTATTTTCCATATTCTGGCCACTCTGCACGGACACCATGGTATAATCATTCTCCTCAAGGAGCATGAGTTTAAAAGAGTCAGCTAACTGCCTTGTAAGATCCTCAGTGCGTTCAGATCTCATACACGCTGCGACAGACACTCACACAGAGAACACTGAGGGCTTATGAGACAGAATAGTTGATCCCTGCTCTCTGAGTGTGGAAGAGTTTAGAAAAGTTTCAAAGAAAAGATGTTTGATTTAGTTCTTGAAAAAGGAGTACGTTTTTGCCACATAGTTTGAGACATTGGGAAAGCTGGAAGCTGCCAGAGCCAAGGCAGAGAACTGTGAAATGTCACTGAGGTTTACTTGTGTGGATGAAATGTGGTGTGAAGTGATGGCGGGCAGAGTGAGAGCTGACGCTAAAGGAGTTGGTAGGTGGAGACGCTGCCGGGCGTGTTCACGTGCAGGACACAGGACATCCGTCATGACACCTCCTGCCAAGCTCCGAAGTCAGTGGGAGTTAGGGGCAGAGCGGTGACATGACCGGATTTGTGTTTTCACGTCATTCTGGCACGGGTCGATGAATTAGGTTGAAAGCAGTTGGGAGGCTGTTGTAAGAGTTACGGTTTGAGTATGCCTGATGTTATGATCTGACCCTTTGGATTGCTCACCTGTTTTCAGTTTGCGGAGAGAATGTTGAGTTTTGTGAAATCTTTTCCTTCATCTATTGAGAGAGTCATATGGGTTTTTTTGTTTATTCTGTTATAATGTCAGGATATGTAATTTTTTAGTTTAATACAAGATACATAACATGCAATTGATCATTTTAATCATTTTTAAGTGTATATTTCTATGACATTAAGTACATCACATTGTTTTGCACCCATCACCACCATCTGTCCTCCAGAACTTTTTCATCTTTTCTACCCATTAAACACTTACTAGCTCCTCGCAACCTCCGCTTTCTATGCTATGTCTCTAAGTTTTGACTGCTCTAGTACCTCATGTAAATGGAGTCATGCAATATTTGTCCCTTTGGGGCTGGCTTATTTCACTTTGCACAGTGTCTTCAAGGTTGTGGCATGTTGTAGCATGTGTCAGAATTTCCTTCCTTATTGAGGTGGAATAATATTCCAGTGTGCGCGCACACACACACACACCAAATTTTGTATACCTGCTCATCTGTTGTTGGAGACTTGGGTTGTTTCCACTTTAGCTTTTAAGTTTTGATTAAAAAAAAAAATACACCGAAATGGTTAAGCTCTTGGAGGAAAAAAAAACAGGATAAGGTGAAGTGTCTTTGTTTTCTTTGATACCAGGAAATCCATTTATATCTTCATAGTTTGATTTTAAAAAGAAAGTATAAAAGAGCTCTTCCATTTGCTTTATGAGACTAAACCACTTACTTACAAGTGTGAAAATACAGCATTGTTAGTTTAGCAACCAAACTGTAATATAAAAGTGTTAACATATATATAATAATATATATCTTTTAGTTTTATTTTTCTGCTTCATTTCCGTTATTTGAATAATGTACACACCCACAGCATTTATAGGGCTTTGTCCCTAGCTATTTGATTTCCTGGGACCCAGTGAGGGTTCCCTCGCATTTTGGAGTTGAAATTCCATATGCCAAAGGGAGGACACTTCTCTGTTATCTTACCTGACATCAGATTTCAGTATTCACATTTACATGATGCTCAGAGTAACTCAGTGTAAAGGAATAGTGGAAAAGAGCTATTTTAAAAAATCTGTGTGAAACATTAAAATAATTAAAGCATCTATTTAAGCTTTTAATGTAGGAAGGTGTTGCCTTTACAACTTGAAGGAACAAAAAGTGTCATATTTTAGAAAAATCTAAACAGAGACTGGCCTCGTGCTGGCAGGAGAGTATGTCATGAGAGTGCCAATCACTGAACGTGTTTTCTTTGATTTAGTCTCAATCTGTGTGAGGTTGTTGGCAGTTTTGTCTTCCTGGGTAACTTGTTTCTTTCTCTAGTGATCATCAGATGAAAATATTAATAGATGATAGGTTTCTGTAAAAGCTGTCATCACCCAGTAGCTTTAATTTCATGAATAACTTGGGTTTTCTTTTAACTCTGTTAAATTTACTTGGGAGGATGTTGTCTGTAGATATACACACATGTATACATGCATATGGTGACCTTCGAAAATTTTAACCTTGATGATTTTTGATACGTCTGTGATCCGTTACCTAATTACGTTGTGTTAGGTCTTGAAGGTCAAAGGGAAAGGTAAAAAGGTAAGAAGGGAAAGAAGATACTATCTTCACTTCACCGAGGAAGTACAGAAACATAGACAGACTCAGGAATTTCTCTGAAAGGACTCAGCCCTTGGAGGGTGGAACCAGGACTCAAACCTGAGTCTGTCTCCCGTTTTCACATACCACACAAGGCACTACCATCCCTGAGTCACGCAAGGTGCATGAAGATTTCTACAATAACAGGCTTCATTTTGAAGCTGAGTTACGATTGCATTTAGCCTTCAGAAGGCAGTATAGCTTTGGATTGGGTAGAGATGCCTGTGAAATATATTCTGTGAGTTTTCTTTTGTACTTTATTGAGCACCTTGACAGGTACTCTATATGTGCTTTACTCACATAATTTTTTTTTAGGTTTAAGTCCTTTTTCATGAGCTTTATTTTTTTATTGAAATATAGTTGATTTACAATGCTGTGTTAGTTTCAAGTGTGCAGAAAATGATTCATTTATACATACACATACACACACACACGTATATACACACATTCTTTTTCAGATTCTTGTCCATTATAGGTTATTACAAAATACTGAATATAGCTATACAGTAGGTCCTTGTTGTTTATTTTATATATAGTAGTGAGTGTCTGTTAATCCCAAACTCCTACGTTAGCCCCCTCCACCACTTTCCCCTTTGGTGGCCATAAGTTTGTTTTCTATGTCCTTGAGTCTTTTTCTGCTTTGTATCATTTGTTTAGATTCCACATATAAGTGATATGATATTTGTCTGTCTCTGTCTGACTTACTTCACTTAGTATGATAATCTCTGGGTCCATCCATGTTGCGGCAAATGGCATTATTTTATTCTTTTTTATGACTGAGTAATATTCCATTATATACACTATATCCTGCATCTTCTTTATCCAGTCATCTGTCAGTGGACTTCTTGGTTGCTTCCATGTCTTGGCAATTGTAAATAGTACTGCTGTGAATATTAGGGTGCATGTACCTTTTCAAATTAGACTTTTCTCCAGATACGTACCTAGGAGTGGGATTGCTGGATCATATGGCAACTCTGTTTTTAGTTTTTTAGGGAACATCTATGCTGTTCTCCATAGTATCTGCACCAATTTATTTCCCACCAGCAGGGTAAGAGGTTTCCCTTCTCTCCACACCCTCTCTAGCATTTATTATTTATAGCTGTTTTGATGGCCATTCTGACTGGTGTGAGATGATACCTCATTGTAGTTTCAATTGTGCCTGTACCCTACAGTTTTGTTTACCATAGCTTTGTAGTTTAGTCTGAAGTCAAGGAGCTTGATTCCTCCGGCTCCATTCCTCTTTCTCAAGATTGTCTTGGCTATTCAGGATCTTTTGTGTTTCCCTGCAAATTTTTAAAAATTTCATTCTAATCCTATAAAAATTGCCTTTGGTAATTTGATAGGGATTGCAATGAATCTGTAGATTGCCTTGAGTAATATGGTCAGCTACATGTAGAAGAATGAAATTAGAACATTCTCTGACGTCATATTCAAAAATAAACTCAAAATGGATTAAAGACCTAAATGTAAGACTGGATACTATAAAACTCCTAGAGGAAAACATAGGCAGAACACTCTGGCATAAATCATAGCAGTATTTTTTTTATTGGTCTCCTAGAATAATGGAAACAAAAGAAAAAATAAACAAATGGAGCCTAATTAAATTTAAAGGCTTTTGCACAGCAAAATAAGTAATAAAGAAAATGAAAAGACAACCTGCAAAATGGGAGAAAATATTTGCAAGTGATGTGACCAACAAGGGATTAACTTCCAAAATATACAAACAGCTCATATAGCTCAATATCAAAAAAAAAATCAAAAAGAAGACCTAAATAGACATTTCTCCAAAGAAGACGTACAGATGGCCAGCAGGGGCATGAAGACATGTTCAACATTGCTAATTATTAGAGAAATACGACTCATGTAATTCCTTAAACAGCCCTATAAATGTACATATCCCCATTTTACAGATGAGTAAAATAAAACCCAGTACTAGGTGAAGTCCGTTGCCCAAAGCTACACTGATTAAAAGTGGTGAAACTCAGATCTGGAACTCACCCTGGTGCTGCAGTACAAGGTTTGGGCTGTCCTACTTGGTTTGGGCTTTTCCCTTTCAGGAAACACGTGAGAGATCTTGTAAGTTACAACCAAAATCTAGTCAAGTAGACATTCCTCAAAGTTGCTGAACCCTGAAAATTACCACTTGGTGAAAGGAAAGTATAAGCCGAGCTCACCGATGCCGACCTCTTTGTTCACGTGGTTGGCGTGACCTGGCAGCCTTAATACCTGATCGAGACAGGAGCTAAACGTGCTGTTAAGAGTGAATTTAAAGGTCCTGTCAACCGTAGCTCGTGAAGACTGGTCCCATGTCTGTGGCTCGCTTGACTGCAGAGTGCATGGTACTAATGAGAACAGGATGCTGGGTTAGATTGCCAGGGTGGGCTGCTGGGTTACATTGTGTTTTGTAGTCAGTCACATTTTGTCTGGTGGGTCTTGGTGGCAAAGGTGGCAGGATCAGGGTGAACTAGGGTATGTGTTGTAACATTTAGGAACTGGCCTCTTTGCTCGTAAGAAACCCACCTTAGTGTCTAAACTTGTTGGTCGGTTAATGACAAGCGTAAGTGTTTCCTTAATAGCAGTAAACTCAAAAATCATTAGTGTAAGTCTTCACAGGTTATTTTAAGTGTTTTTGATTAATGGTTCATTTCTGTCAGGAAGTGACAACTGGGGGCCTGGGTGGCCCACATCCAGGCGTGAGACATCAGGCTGGAAACGTATTGTAGTCAGGATCGTTCTTAAAAAAACATTTGAAATATGATGTTTAATGTAGTATAATTAGAATTAATATTTAGAAAGAATTTCTTTCTTTAAAAAAAATGCAAAAACCTAAAAAGGGATTTGTGATTTCTCTCAAAGTTTTTATAAAAACCCTTATAGATTTCTCTCTCTCCTTACATTGTTTAATTCTATGATCTTGTTTTAGAAGGAACTTGTATTACTTGGGTTTAAGTTAATTTATGTTATTTTCTGTAAAGTTTTAAATTTAATTTCAGCAGGTTTGATATGTTTGAAGGAATATAGTGAGGGTAGGGTGAGCAGAGAACGTTAATTCAGTTGGAGTTTGTTAAGAGTTTGAGGAAGTAATATTGATGGATGGGAAGTTGTTAGCTGTGCAAGAGCTGCAGATGGGGGTGTCAGGCAAAGACTCTGAAACGGGAGACTAGGTGTATTTCTGAAAGAAGGCTTGTTGCTGGAACATGGGGACCAGGGAGGACATGGCAAAAAGGACGGGCACATGTTGGAAGGGCTAGGAAATGAGTTTCATATAGACAGTGCCACGTAGGTATGTCATATGTCTGTGCAATAGGAAACTGTTGTTAGCAAAGAGAGTGATGTGGTGTGACTTGTGTTGTTTGAATGGTTACTCTGTCTGCCATGAGAAGAATGCATCAGAGGGGACAACTTTGTAAGTCAGGAGACCAGTTAGGAGGCTATTTGAAAAAGTGAGGCAGGAGAGGTGCTGGCTTGGTCTAGATCTAGTGTGGAAATGGAGAAAGGTGAATGAATTCAAGATAAGTTTTGAAGATAAAAAAAAGGACTTGGTGATGGATTAAATATAGGGAGTTAGGGAGGGAGAGGGAGGAATCAAGAATGACTCCAGCGTTTCTGCTTTGAGCAGTGGAGACTAGGATGGTGGTGCCCTTACCGAAAAGGGGAAGACAGATGGGGAAATAAGGGGAGACAGGAACTAGGAAATTTAATTTTATACTTACTAGGGTTGTATTTCCTGTGAATCATCCAGGAAGTATGTCCAGATTGTAGCTGAATATCCACATCTGGAGCTCATTGAAGTTCAGATTTGGAAATAAAATGGGAATAGATCAGAATTAAATTCACATCGGTTTAGTTCAACAGACTACCGTGCATTCGGGCACTGTGATAAGCACTGGGGGTTAGACTTAAATACAAACTTCCTGATGTTAAGGTTCTGTTACGCTTTTTGATCTCAAGCCACCAGCATGATGCTTGCAGCACTTAATAAGCATGTAATAAATATATACCAAATGAACAGATGATCTAGGAATAAGATAATGACAGAGTTCCTTAATTTACAGAACTAATTTTCTGTTAGTAGTCCTGCTCTTTATTCTTTTGTATATGTAAGAGATAAACTTTTATTATAAAATTGGTTTGGTACTTTCAAAATACTGACCCTGGGAGAGCTTGCCATGTAAGTGGCAACACGTCAAATAGCCTAAGCTACATTCGCTCCACTGTATAGACCCTGTTTCATCTCTGGTGTATTCAGCATGGGATGTCTTTAGATATAATTTCACAAACATTTCTAAATTTACTTTAAAAATATTTTTATGTTAGAAACTAATGTTTTCCTTTCCTTCTGATTGTTTTTTACTGGCCAAAAAATTACCTCTGTTCTTTGATCTATGAATCCACAGTGTTCATTAAATTCAAATTAAAATGAATTTGAAAGTCATGCATTTAGTATGTGTTCCTCCTTTTCCGTAGGAATGACCGTAAGTGCTAATAAAGATGGCTTGGGGATGATCGTTCGAAGCATCATTCATGGAGGTGCCATTAGTCGAGATGGCCGGATTGCCGTTGGGGACTGCATCCTGTCAGTCAACGAAGAATCTACTATCAGTTTAACCAATGCCCAGGCACGAGCCATGCTGAGAAGACATTCTCTCATCGGGCCTGACATAAAGTAGGTGTCATGTGGACCCTGATTTGGCTTGGGAAATTCAGGAATTTCAATTCATTACTCAGAAATTTTTTTCTCAGTACGTACTTCTGTTTGATAGAAAAATATTATCATATATATATTTAATATAAATCAGTGAAGAATTTGTCTATTCCTGAAAAAGTTCTTGATTGTATACGTAGGTTCCTCAAGACTGTAACAGTATTGAAATACAGCTGGCCCCTGAACAACACGGGTTTGAACTGCGCCTGTCCACTTATACATGGAATTTTTCAATAAATACACAGTTGGCCTTCTGTATTCATGGGTTTCACATCCTCACATGCAACCCACCTTGGATCAGAATTTCCATCAGAGGTTGGTTGAATCAGCAGATACAAGATGTGGAGGGCCAGCTGTACCGTGGCATTTGGGTATCCATGGGGGCATCTGGAACCAGTCCCCTGCAGATACCTAGGGATGACTATATTCCATAACAATGCTGCTTTCTATTTGTATTTTTACTTCTCCATTGATTTCTGCAAAAACCTTAAATGTGAAAGGTATGAGATACCTTTCATAGGGCAGGACTGTCCACTTTTAGGAACTGACAGAGAAGTTTGGATTGGCTTCAATGTGGGGAACTGTGCACTCCCCAATGATTTGTATGAATCCTCCAAGTAAGCCAGTTCTTCAAGGGCCAGGCATGGAAAAGATCGTATAAAACAGTACCAGTCTGACCTACAGTTTGCCCTTTTTTAACTACCTTGTGATACAGGAGAATTTGCCAGTATGTTGACGCAGTCTGAGGGTAGGTCATGTAGGATGTTTTAGCGGGAAATGTTTAAATATCTCATCATCCCACAGTGTGCTAAAAGCATTCCATATATATGGTTTGGTTTTTAAGTCACTAAACATTTCTTGAGGCAACATAAAAATGAGTTCGTAACTTTGTTGTCACACCTCAAACAGTGTTAATAGCTTGCCTTTTTTCTCTAGCATTAATAACTGAATATTTGTGTTTAATATATAAGGGATAAAATAGTAAAATAAGAGCTCAGGGAAGGGTTGTTTACTTTAAATTGATATGATGAATACTAGTATGGGAGATATTTTGTATTTATATTATGCTACTGACTGCATTTGTATTATTATTTTGTGAAGTACATATTGGGAGAGCTTAGGTAAGAAAAACGTTAGTCACAGTCTGTTTTTCATTTTCCATCAATAAAAAGAAAAATGTATGCTGTTTATAGTGGCTGTCTCATAGAAAAGGAGGTATTCTTTCTGGGCAGAATGTCAACTAGTGGGCTTTCCTATTCTTGCTTGCCTTTTTGACTTTTATAATGGAACAGATCATCCCATCACATTATGGGACAGTTCCTTAATTATCTTATTAATCATGCAAGTAAAAGTGAAGATCATTCAAAATGCCAGTGCCTTTACACTAAATAAGAGGAGAAACTTTAGGTGCTTTCCTCATCCCTTGCAGGGTAGTGTCCGTTCCTTTGGCTTAAAAGGAGATGCTGTGGATCTACATGGAGACTTTTTGCTGCTGGGGTTTCAGCTTACGTAGTGTAAATGGAGTATAAAATACGGATGGCCTTGTAACCAGTCATCTGATTTGTTGTGTGGTAGTGCACACGCCACGTCATGAGCCCTGATGCAGGTTTCCTGTCCACTTCCTGGCACTCTGAGCACTGGAATTAGCGCTTGGTTTTAACCTTACCTCTCAGTTCTAATGTACTGCAGAACTTAAAAACTGGCCCCCAAATACGACCATCGTGACGTTGATTTAGCGTAAATCATGCATCTCGTCATCTCTAGAAGAGCTGTCAGGTACATTTTCCGGCTCTAAAGTCTTTTTTCCTGCTTTCCTTTTTTGTTTTGTTTTGATTTTTCTTGGTGTTCGTTTGTTTTCCCACCCTCTGACTGAGCACCAGAATCTGCCCTTTCAGCAGCTGTATTATGACCCCGAAGGATATCTGGAGAGCTAGTTTCATAGAAGTTGCTTTAGAATCCCAGGAAGCAAAATGTACTGTAGCATTTGACATTAAAAAAGAAAATAAAACTGCAGCCTTCCGTCCTCTGGAAATCAATGAAGTCAGTGGGTCCGTCAGTCACTCTCTCCCTTGCTCATGTGTGTGTGGATACACACATTCACAAACCCACCCCCAAATCACATTGATTTCTTCTTAAGTGCTCTGTTAAAAGTGTGACTCAGATGACTGTAGTTTTGACTAGTTGGATAAGTGATAGAAACAAATGTGAACCAGAGTCCTTTTTTGAAAAAATGTTTCAAGTGATGAAACAAATAGCCAGTTAGCTCGACCAGGGCTAAGCGGTGTGTTCCGTGCATTTTACGTGAAGTTTTTTTGGCCCTGTCTCTTCCCTGTCACTTGCTTTCGTGGAGGAGAAGGTTTAGAATTCCCTTGAAAGCTGTGTGAGTAATCCTCCCAAAAGGGAAGTTTAGTCCTTCCTTTGAATGAAACTGTCGCGTTTCCTCAGACCAGTTAAGTGTTACAGTCATTGGATCTAGGCTTCATGTGTGTCTCTTCCTCTTCATTTTTTAAAACTTTTAATTTAATTTTTATTTTTTTTAATGAGGTATGGTCTGTTTACAATGTGTCAATTTCCGGTGTACAGCATTATAGTTCAGTATTAACAATGCTAGCTTAATCTGGAGTGGTGGTAGAGGAATGTATTGTAGGGACTTTAAAAAAAGACTCTTACTGGTTCAGTTACATAACTGATTGGTTTTAGGAAAAGCATTGCTTATTGAGACAATGCCCTGGCTTTCTTTTTTGCCGTTTACCAGAGATGGCTAGGAACTTCACGTGTGCGCGTTCATGCGTGCCTGGGTTCAGGTAATTGTGAGTTTCAAGAGTTCAAGAACAGCCAGTTTAAGTTTCAGGTTTCATTATTTTCTATGGAAAACCAGATGTGAAGCCTCACCAGAATGCGTGCTGTCTCACTTCACCCTCCACCTTGCCAGGAGTGCTTATACTCCTGTAATAATAGCCATGGTTTTGTGCTTAGCAGCAGCTGCTTGTAACATCTGCCAGATAATTACTGAGCTGAATCAGAATTCACCTGCCTTAACCTAAAGTGTGGGATGAATTCCTGATCAAGGAATAAAAGATTGATTGCAGTTACATTTTTCTATGCTTGTTAATAATCACTGCTATAGACACGAGTGAAGAGCAGATGCTTTTCTGGGGGAGGTGTAGATAGGAGGGAGGTAGCAAGGGGAAAAAACAGGAGCACCCACTTTTAAGTACATATGTATGCATCTCACACACAGCACAAGACACTGACATTTGTTAACACCATTGTAAAAAGATGCCGCGGCGTATGCTTCACATTCTAGATTTTCTGCAGCACCTGCTGACGATCGAGCCCCCTTTTATGTGTGAGTATCGGTGATTCAAAAGCTCATTATGGCTGTGTTACAACTTGTCTGTGAAAATAATTTCATGCTTTCGTAACGTCCCCATGCAGGGATAGATCCAGATATAGACTGAGTGTATATGCATTCTGGCTTTTTTCCCCCCTTTATATAAGAACATGCATTCCGACAGAGCTATGAGGTTGTTACATTTTCGTATTGCACTGGTGACTGTGACCTCATTTAAAAATTGTATTTTCCAACTGCTAAGCTTTCCAGCTGTGTGGTCAGGGAATGATCCTGTCTGCATGTGCAGATGCAGCCTCTGGATTAATAGCTGTGTCACACTGCAGCGTCACTAATGCTATTCTTTTTTCCTAAGGTTAGTTTGTGTTCAAGAATGTTTAATATAGCTCTCAAATTAGCTGTTTCAGTGTGCTTATGCAGTTCATGACGTAGTTTGGTGTTCCTTGTTGGTGCCTGGAGGTTTTGTGTGGCCGTGTGACCAGGCGTGCATCACAGTTGCTCTGCATGTGCTAGTGTTTTGTCGGATGCTTGTTCTGGTGGCCTTGCTGTCTGTATTGGGTGAGGTATTCATGAAAACTGCTTGCTTTCTTCTTTCTCACGGCTCCCTAAAATATCAGAAAAATATTTGTAAAGCTCCTCCTCCTCCTCCACCCTTGGTAAAAGGGTAAACAGTGTTGAACAAATATAGAAGAAAAATCGTTTTCAGCAGTGTTTGGAATAGAAACATCTTTTCCTTCTTAAACCAGTTTAAAAATTAAATTATTATTACTTTTACTGTTGTGTTCTAGCTTTCTCTCCTTACCTCTTCCTGGCTTTTTTTTTTTAAGATTTTGTTTATATGAATTTTACCTTTACTGAACCTTCAGAAATAGTATCCTATTTCTTGAATAGGCTTTTCAGGTTTTGTGTTTTATGTTTATTTTCCTTTGTGGAAAAGACAGTCAGTCTTCTGTCCCAACATAATATGTTATACATTTTTGACTCATCATTTTTGAAGTGATAGATGCAAATTTGCTCTTCAGTGTATTTTTGTAACACTGTAGAGAAGGTGTTTCTATAGATGAATACATTAAGCAGGGCCAGAATTAGAATGCAACTCTCTCAGCCAGCTGAATCCTAAACCCACAGCCCCGTGCTTCCTGCTTTAGTTTGATCCTTGAGGTAGAAGTGTCAGGAAGGGTCCCAAGGGTCTGCGGCTTCTGCTGGAGGGACCAGGTGGGGCTGGCTGGCTGATGCCCTGTTAGAGCACTGCACTATATCTGTTATGCTGCTTGGCTTACAATAGCCTCATAAAAAGTGACATCCTGTTTGTGACTGAGAATATGGGGATTCGTTGCTGATGATTTACGCCCCCCACCCAGTACACTCCCGGGGCGGAACAGAGCTGTATCCTCTGACTCCAAACCTAAGCGACCACGCAGAGTGAGTGCTTTTTATGGAATAACCGATATATCTGAAATCACATATCTTCCCCACTGAATAAATTATGCCATTAGTATAATTCTTATTTTATTGTAACATGCAAGACAGTCCTTTATCCTTGCCCTCCAGTGCTATGGTTTTAAAACTTACTGTTTTCATAGGTAAGTTACGGTTAGCTGGTTTAATAGTCTTCATGATTTTTATATTGTGCATTTTTGATCCACACTTTTGTTTCCTTGCACAAATATGCTGAACTGGCTTCAAAAGCATTATTTCTCTTACCATATTACTCTTCATTAATTTGAGGATTTTGAAACAGGTGACATAACGCAAATGTATCAGTTATGTAGCATTATAAGACAGCAGTAAATGTGAATTTTCCAAAGTCAGTTCCTAAACATTATAGCTATATTCAGCATCTTGCTCATTGCCTTCCACATTATAGGCATTCAGCCAGTACTTGTTGAATTAGTAAGTGATCATTCAAGTATGAACAGTAGGCTTTTCTCTGAAACCAAAATGAACTTATAAGAAGTTGCTACAAATTAGTAAGAGCGTGTTTCCATAAACTTATAATGGTTTAACTTCAGACTTGAGAGAATATAATTTAATAAAGCTAGGATATAATTATTGATAATGCTTGTTAATGTCCATAATTAATTTTGTATTATGGGAGAATGTAAAGTAATTTGGGATATGCAGTGTTTTAGTGGCGTACGCCTAATTTGTTTCTGCTAAGGAACCCAAAAATCTTTGGAGAAAATTAATGCTATTACTGACAATTATTTTTCTAAGGATTTATAGATCTTTCTAAATTCAAAAAAATTGATGTTATTCTTCTCATTGGGAAATAGATATAATGCTGTTCTCCTCCTCCATATAATTATTGATAAAAACATATGATAAAAGAAATTTTCACATACTGAGATGGAGGGAAATTATTCTGGCTTATCCACGAGTTAAGTTGGATTTTATTTTAACTAAAATAGCCTGTTTGTGGCCTATCAAACATCCATTGTGCATCTGCTTTAATTATTAAAGAAAAGGGCACATTGGCCAGAAGTAAAGAATGTCCATGTTAAAATAAAGATTCAGGGCCTCTCTTCCCAGGCTGCCGATGCTGGTCCTCCCTTGATGATAAGACTCCCTTCCCAGGTGCCAAGGCCATACTGACTCTCCGTGTATGGGCTGGTCTGCTCTTTTATTTTTTATAACCTTAAAGAAATATATTCCTGACTTGTAAATGTTTCTTTGTTCTGACAATATATAAAACTGTGCTGAAAACCACACTTGTCTGGAGCAGAACCTCAGAGTAATCTGGGAAGGTAGGAAGCAGGCTTCTGGGCTAGTCCTCAGTTTGGCTCAAATAAAAATCTTTTACTTCTTGTCACCGATTGTTTATTAATTGTTTTTGTCAGCACGTAGCATTTTAAATTGTAATTTCTGTTGTTATTCTGGCCTGTGGGATACTTTATCCCTTTGAAGTTTAGATTCTCTACTGACTAAGCTGATTCACATGAATTGTGTGAAAACGTAGGGACGAAGTGACAATGTATTTTTATTTCATGTGTTGTAAGCTTTTCCTAACAGGCAAGACTTTGCTTCCCTTTGCGTTCATGGATTGTGTCTTGTTCCAGAATTACTTACGTGCCTGCGGAGCATTTAGAAGAGTTCAAAGTCAGCTTGGGACAACAGTCTGGAGGAATAATGGCACTGGATATTTTTTCTTCATATGCCGGCAGGTAGGTGAAACAGCAAATCTGCTACAGTGAACGAATGATACTGCGAATCTATAAAGAAGAGTTTTGAATCTGGAGCCACAGAGGACTAGCAGTGAAAAAGACTGAATTCCTGTCTTCTTTCTCAAGATTTTAAACAGTATTCATTATTTTCCCCCGTAATACTTAAGCAGTGCGGAAAATTTAGAAAAAATATGAAAATTTAAATCAAGAAAATAAAACCATCTTTAATTGTACCACTCAGTATAGCACTTTGAACGTACTGAGTTTTGGGAATTCATTCCCAATGTGAAAATGATTTTATTAACTCCCCGGAACCTGCAATTTGTATGGTACTACGTCTTTTTTTCCTCTTTTATAAACATTTTCAAACCTTTTCAGAAGTTTTATTTCTTTATTAACATACATACAGATGTAGAAACATTTTAATAGTTATCTTTTACTCTTGGAGAATGCTGAGTTGAATGTCTTTATGTATGTCTATACAAACGTACATACACGTTAGGAAATAAAGTGTATGGCTTTTAAAGGCCTCTTGATACACAGTGAATTAATGTTTAACGTTAGAGAGAAAGAGCCACTTTCAGTCAGCAGTGTGCTTCCTTCCCAGCGCAGAAGGGAGTGTGGTGAGAATTGTCTAATGCTGTGACGAGCTTCTTCACTGCAGAAAAAATGTATTTGCTATTAATATAATATGTGGATACATTTCTTTAGAAATCCAGTTTTTACCGATAACTTAAAGCCACACCATGATTGATTTAACATTCTGTCTTGCCCTTATAATGCCATTTATTGATGCAAAACAAAACGGTCCACATCCTCCACAGGAGGACTCTGTACCAGGGAGGTTCAGTTACTTGCCCAAGTTTCTTAGCTAATAAGAGGCAGAACCAAAGTTAGAATGCAAGTGGTCAGGCTCCATGTTCTTAACCACTGGATCCAAAGAAAGAATTGTGCAAGCCCAGTATATAAATATGGGGCAGCCTAGGATAGAGGTAAAGAGTGCAGGTTTGAAGTAAGATGGCCTCAATTCCAGCCTCACCTCTGCTCCTGTACTGTGGGACCTGGTGTCCGTTTCTGGCACCTTAATGCAGATGTAAAGAGAGTTATTATAGTTGGCAGAAATTTCATTGGTATTCAGAAGTCCAACACAGATGCAAAGAAGTCAAGTTCATTCGTGACTGAGTGAGTGCAGGAGGCACAGAACTGGTTCACTCTGCTCTTTGGAGCACACGGCACAACTCCCTTAAACTCCACTCTGAGATGGATAGAGAAGAATCAGCACATTTGTGGGCGCATATCTGGGTTAGTGAAATTATTTGAGAGTGTAGAGCCATTTGAAAAGAATGGGGTTTTTGTGTCAGAAGACTTCTTGTAGCTCACGCGGCAGGAGCGTGTGATGCAGTGTGTGTGCGTGTCTGAGTAGCCCCCCCAGCTTAGGCTTCAGGGGTAGGAGCTGAGTGTTTTAGGGACTCTTTCTAACTTCTCATTCTTGTCTGGATTCCATACCTGCTTTTTCTATCATCTTCTCTCCAAGGTGTTTCCAGGGGGTTAGGCCTGTGTCTCACCTCTCTGCTTTGCATCTTCTGGATTGAGCTTTACTCAGACTATTTAGTCCTCAATCAGCTTCTTAATATCGTTTAAAAAATCCTTTTTTAGATCTGTTCCCAGCAGTCCTGTCCCACTCTTAGGCTTAGGCTCTGGAAACCCAACCTCACTCAGCCTCCTTCCCCAGTCTCCACAGAAGGGGAATTCAGTCACACCCCTGAGGGATAGGAACCACAGGCCAGTGGACTTCCTTTTCACAGAGGAAAAACAAACAGCTCACATTCAGGTCAAGGAAGAATGAGATATTCAAGGAGAACTCGGACAGTTGTTTGGCAAAAAGGTTGGGAAACATATTCAAACGCAGGTGAATTTTGAATTGGATGATTTCTGATCTCAAAGTCTAAAGATAATATAATTTGACAGAATTCAGTATTCTTGTCAAGGGAGAATGGATATAATTTGAGCACATACTTTCTTTAGCCTTTTTTTCACTTCCCATAAAACTCGACTGCAAACATTTATTGAATTAGAGTTTTTAAAGCCTTCAGTGTTTTCAGAAGAATATGTGGATGTATTTTGTCAGAAATAACAGTTTTTACCGATAGCATAAGGCCACACCTTATTTGATTTAGCATTCTCTATTGCCCTTAGGATGTCATTTATTGATGCAAGGTATACTTTTGGAAAAACAAGGTATTTCTTGACAAGGTTATTATTTTACAGTTTTATTTAGAGTCAGTTACCAGACTGGGCATACTTTGTTACAGGCCTGACATTTGGCAAACTCTGAATTCCTACAGAAACTGAAACCCGACCTTGAACACAGGTACATTGTAAACTGCTTCCTGTAAGGAGAATTCTGTGTCTGGCTCCTTTGGATGGGCTGAAGCTGGACCATAAGCATTTCCCATCTGTCTTCAAAAGTTGAAGGGAAAGCACTGGTCCATCCTACGAAGCAGTGATGCTACACTCCTGATGTGCTTGATGAGAAGTTCTTTCAGGCCAGGGGTCGATGAGGACTGTGCCCACAGATCACCTTCCTGATGCTTCTACCTGCTTGCACATGGCAGGCATTTAAGAAATACTTGGTGAATAGTTGTTCCTTAAAATTCTGCTACTTGTTCCCTTCTTTTCATTCCTGTTCTTTATTTATCCATGTTTCATGAGGAAAGAAACAGCCTAGACAAGGCTCTTTGTGTTCTGCTGTATCTGCAGACTAAGTGATAGTAGATTGGTTCTAATGTAAGGCTTGAATCAGATTTTCATTTCCCCTTAATGTGAAATATGATATACTTACATGCCAAGTATGGTGAAAATATCAAGCACTTCTGCAATTTTAGCCAGACTGACGGTAAAGTGCATAGAAGACAGTCCTGCATGGTTTTACTTGGACTTCAAAGTACTCACTGTACGAATCTTTTAACAGCGACATTCCAGAACTACCAGAGCGAGAAGAAGGAGAGGGGGAAGAAAGTGAACTTCAAAACGCAGCATACAGCAACTGGAATCAGCCCAGGCGGTAAGGACTGTTTCTGTCTTCTGCCTACTCAGTGTTTAAAGATAGAGAGGCGTGGTTTCAAGCACTGGATTCCAGCTTGCTGCTGTGACTTTGGGTGTGTTGTTTAGTATCCTTTACCCTCCATTTCTTCACCTGCATAGTAGGGAAGATGATGTGTATCACACAGGGTTAAAATTAACATTGTTGGAGGATTTGGCAAAAGACAGTAGGGACTAAATAAAATTAACTGGAGAAAATTATGCGTAGGTAGTTGGAATGGATAATATTTTCCGTGGAGTTTGGTCTTAGGTATACCGCCAAGTGTTCATTTAAATTTTTTTCTAGCGCTGTAGACACTAGACATTCAAGCATATGTATTTAGAATGTGTGTGTGTAAGCATCTTATTGTAGGCTGCAGATATTCTAACCCATGCTCTGTCTAGAATGAAATTTATATGTAACAGAAAAGGTGACTTTCCTAAACACGCCCAGATAAACCACTCTGTATCCCTAGGGTATATGTTCACCTTCACCCTGAGTAGAATCAAATTCAGTTTAATAGAAACTCATTGAGTCCTGATTATGGACCCAGATGAGAGGCAGATTATTTTGTGAACAACAGGGAAGTGTAAGACATAAATCCTGCCCTTAAGGAAGCTGTTACGTGTTTGGGTAGGCAAGAGGTAGAGACACACAGAATAATTACAGTAAATTGGAAGGACTTTGCTTTAATCCCCAAAGATAAGTAATCATTGGGCACTTTCTCTAGATAGATCTTAAGGTGACCATGACAAAGATGCCTTTTACTTAGCACATACTTAATATTTGTTCTATAGTGAATAAACAAAATTCTCAAGAGAGAAAAATTTCTACTCTGCAGATGTATAATATAGTTTGATGATTTTCCTTGCTCACAAATGAACTTGAGGCTGCAGCCATCATATTTAAGCATTTTCTAGATTGAGTCATGTTTAAAGTGTAGGAAACATTTTATGTTGCTTTCACAGAAAAAAAAAAAGGTATCTAAAATGAATTATTTCCAGCCATCTAAAATGAATTATGGTTTGATTTCTTTAAAAGCTGTTTAGGCTGCTCAAAGAAATGAAGGCCTTTCTACATTATTACCCGCACTGAGAATGTTAAGTGCTAGGTCAGTGAAAGAAAATACATTATACGCTGTTAAGTTTCTTACTTATTTGAAAATAGAGGCAGAAGTTAAGTTAGATGGAATTATATATATACTGTAGAATATTACTCACCATAAAAATAATGAAATTCTGCCATTTGGCACATGGGTGGACCTATTCTCTATTATGCTTAGTGAAATAAGTCAGATAAAGACAACTACTGTATTATGTCATTTGTATATAGGCTCTAAAAAAATAAACAAATGTATATGCGAAACATAAACAGACTCAGAGATAGAAAAACAAACTGGTAGTTGCCAAAAGGCAGCGGGAAGTTGGGAGGGGCAACTTACAAGTAAGGGGTTAAGAGACACAAACTGCTACGTATAAAATAGACAAGCAGCATGGATATATTGAACAGCACAGGAAATTATGGCCATTATCTTGTAATAGCTTTTAATGGAGTATAATCTGTGAAAATACTGAATCACTGTTCTGTACACCTGAAATTAATATAATACGTTAAATCAACTATAATTCAATATAAAAGAAACATTTTTGAAATAATAATTAAAAATTTTTATTTAGAATAAAAAAATAATAGAACCTTTTACATTTGGGGGAGAATTCAGTGTCACAGCGTCACGCATTAAGGTCCTTGGTGTGGTGCCGGGTACAGGGTGCGCATTTAGTCACTGTCAGTCTTTTCCGTCATCATCATCTTCATCATCATGACTCACAACAAAGCAAATAAAACGTGTGGAGCACAGGGATCGTTACGAAAGTTTCTTTTGGGGAGAAATTGGGTTATGACATCTGGACTGGAGGACTTCTATACTTTTATCCTGGATTGTAACCTTCACGTCAGCCTGGGAGATGTCTCCAAGGGTGGTAACTGATTTACAGAGAGACTATGTCTGGTGCTCCTGTAAATCTTACAGAAGGTGCTCAGCCGTCACTAACCTATACAGAAGCACTAAGGTACTTTTGGGGGAAAGTTCATAGACGTTCAAGAGGAAGCTTACCAAAAGAACCAGAGCTTTTAGTAAATGAGGAGCAAATGTCATGAATGTGCTTTACAACATTGGTAACCTGCTGGGACATTGTTTCAGGCAGTGGAGAAAAACCTGCTTTGTGTGGAAACAGAAAATAAGTTTTAGCAAAGTGTGAATTTTAAGACTAAATAACCTGTGTTACATTTTTATCTTGCTCCTGATTTTCATGTACAAGATTGTGTCAGACTGTGTGTATCATTTTCCAGCTCGCCTCCTCCTCTCTCAAGCTAGTGTCTTGGAGATCTACCATGTGGATACTTCAATAGCTAATTCCTTCAGTTTCCTTGTTGCAGTGCATTTTAATATGGAATATACCACAATTCACTCCCAGATTGATACATGAGTAGTAAAAAGTTAATTTACTATTGTAATAGTCTGTGCAGTGTGTGTGTGTGTGTGTGTGTGTGTGTATATATATATATATATATGTTTTCTTATACATATGTGTGAGAATTTATCTAAGTATACATCCAAAAGTGGAATTGCTGGCTCATAGATTTAACTGGATTATCTATTAGAAGTTTTGTCAAATTGCTTTGTAAGGTGGCTGTACCAATTTTTACTTCTTTTTCCAATATATGAGAGTTCCCTTTTCCCCATATCCTTGTTACCACATCATATGATCACGTAAAAAAAGTTTTTGTTAACCTAATGGGTAGAAAATGGTACGTTATCTTAGTAAACAAAGTATAAGTGTGACAGAGTTGAGGTGCTGGGGTGCACATTTGTCATATGGATTGAATGTTTTATCTTGCTCCCATCACTTCAGTAATCATAATTACAATCATCGTAATAAGAGATTTACTAATTGCTTGCTATGTACCAAGACTTTGTTTTGTGTGTCACCTGTATTCATTACTTTAATCCTCATAGCAACTCTCTGATGTCCAGACTCTTAACTGGCTCTATTTCCCAGCTGAGGAAGGTAAAAGAGAGACTAAAGTAGTTGCAGAGGGTCGCACAAGTGTTAAGAAGCCAAAGAGCAGGACTTGAGCCCAGTCCCTCTTGGTTCAGAGTTCAGGCAGCCCCCTCAGAGCTCTGATTTACCTTTGCTTTTCTGAACTCCACTCTTTTTAAACCTCTGTTCTCAGAAAGCCTGCCATTTTTCTGTAAAAACTAGCTCTGCTCGTGTTCTGTAAAATTTTTCCTTCATAGGACTCTTTTTCTTTCCTTGGGAATGTTTACCACATTCTGTTCCGTGGATACTGAGTCCAGTTACTCAGCGCTGTGGTCGTTTTGGCAGCTCCATCTTTGGTTATCTTCTCTGATGTTTCCGCTGGGAAGTGTATCTGAAAACACTTCACTGCCTGTGCCAGATCCTAAGACTGCATACTGTGCCAGTATCCAAAGGCTGTGTAACTTCTCTGTGCCTTGTCCCTTGGTAAAATGGGGCTGACAGGAGTATCCACCTCGTAGGGATGATTTGAGAATTAAATCGAAGTATGTGGAACTCACTTAGAAGGTAATGCTGAGTGCATGATAAGCCCTTAGTAAGAGTTTGCAGCTGCTGCTATTTTTAATGTTCAGGAAATCATAAGAACCACTTTCTAATTTAATTTACATCAACCACAAAGAATCCCAGGAGACATTTTCCTTCGTTTGTTCTTTTATTTTATTTTTCCTTTCTAAGAGAGGACTGAAGGAGTCCCACCTGCATATTTTGTGGATTCCTAACTATTAAAGACAGTGGTTACCTCTGCTGACCTCTGTACTTTGCCACTTTACCTTAGGAACTGGGAGAAGCTGGTTCTTGTCTTTCACAGAATTCCTAGAGTGGAAGAAAATTATGACTAGGATTTTGACTAGTTCAAGCTAGTCACACACCAATTTTGAAATGGGGAATCACGGTGAGATCCTTTTAAACTAAACAGGATCATGGATTTCTCATAGAGCGAAGATTGCTGACCACAGAAAAGACACGTCATCACCTGCCTTCGTCTGGCCAGCTGCCCATCCCCTCACTCCACCTGGGCTGCTCTTTTATCCCCGGTCTGTTCTGACTGGGCTTCTCCCATTTCATTGGAAGCCAAACTTTCCTTTCCTCTGGGAGCACCTCACATGCCAAGATTGAGGGCATCTTGGACCACGCTTTCTTCTCTCTCGCTGTCCACGTCGTCTCCCTTCCTGCAGCCTGGGGCAGACTGCAGTCTCCTGCCGCTCTCAGAGCTCTGCTCGGTGTCTCTGTCGGCTTCCCTTCCCCGGAGCCGCTGCCTCATCTTGCCCGGACACCTTGCTGCGCATCACCTTGTTCTTATGCCCCAGTCTTTTCCTAAGACATGTCTTTTCAGTTCGTCCATAGCTCTGGCAGCTCTCTGCAGTTACTCGATAGAAGTTCGTGGGTTTATCGTGTGAGTAGAAAGTAGTACATCCAAAGCAGAGGCAGTAGCACGCACCAGGGCCCCACGGCGGGAAGGCGTGTCTGATGAACTTGTGGAACAGCAGGAAGACGATGTGGCAGCTGGAGTGGAGAGAGGAGAGTGGAGAGCTGTGGGAGATGGGTTAGGAGGCGGTGGTGGGACCAGATCACGTACGGTCTTGTCGGCAACTGGTCTTCACGCCCTGGGTACTTGCATGATCTCCTTTGGCAGATAGACCTACAGAGGGAAGCTTCTGAGAGTGTGTGCAGAAATGTTGTCTCTTGGTTGGCTTGCTGAGCTTAGAAGCCACCATCTGTTCAAGGGTAGCAGAATTTCTTAACGTCCGCCATATTAGAGCTTCTGGATAAACCGTACTTTTACATTCCTCTGTGTCCCAGCTTGGAGTATGAGTTCAGTATTTACTTGTAACAAGTCAGCTTCAGAAATGCATTAGTATTTATCAGACCCTATAAAACACATAATTGGAAAAGCACTTAAAGTGGTCTTGTTGTACTGCTGGTAAAACCGTAATAAATTGAGCAAATATTATTTGCAGAAATTAATGTATATAACATTTTATTCCTTTGAATTTTTAGAACTGTACCTGTCATTATTTTTTAACCATTTGAACCATTTTTAAGTGTACAGGTCAGTGGCGTTAAGTATGTTTGCATTGCTCTGTAACCATCACTGCCATGCGTCTCCGGAACTTCCTCATCTTGCAACACTGAAACTCTGTACCAGTTAAATAATAACTCCTGACTTCCCTCCCCCTGCATCTTCTGGTAACCAGCACTCTACTTCATGTCTCCATGGGTTTGACTACTCTCAGTACTTCATAGAAATGGGATCATATAGGATTTGTCCTTTATTCGCTTAGCTGGCTTATTTCGTGAAGCATAATGTTCTCAAAGTTCATCTACGTCATAGCAGGTGTCAGAATTTCCTTCTTTTTTAAGGCTGAACAACATTCTATTGTATTTATATACTGTTCTGTTATTCATTCATCTGTCCGTGGACGCTTGGATTGCTTCCACCTTTTGGCTGTTATGAATAATATTTCTATGAACATGGCTGTACACACATGTCTTCAAGTCCTCAGTTTGAATTCTTTTGGGCATACACCCAAGAATGGAATTGCCAGATCGTATGGTAATTCTTTTTCTAATTTTTTGAGAAACTTCCATACATTTTTCCAGTGCAGCTGCAGTGTTTTACATCACTGCCGTCAGTGCACAAGGGTTCTAATTTCTCCATGATTTCTCTTTGCCAACACTTATTTTCTGTTTTTTTGATAGTAGCCTTCCTACTGAGTGTGAGGTGGTATTTCATAGCAGTTTTGATTTGCATTTCCCTAATGATTGGTGACGTTGAGTATCTTTTCACGCACTTATGGGCTACTTGTATATCGTCTCCAGAGAAATATCTGTTCAAGTCCTTTGCCCTTTTTTTGATTGGGTTGTTTCTTTTGTTGTTGTTGTTGAGTTTTAGGGGTTCTCTATATAGTCTAGATATTAATCCTTTATCAGATACATGGTTTGCAAATATTTCCCCCATTCTGTGGGCTGCCATTTGACTCCATTGATAGTACATTCTGATGAACAACAGCTTTTAATTTTGAAGTCCAGTGTGTGTGTTTTTCTGGTTGTTGCCTGTGCCTTCAGTGTCATGTCCAAGAAATCATTGCCAAACCCAAAGTTATGAGGCTTTTCTCCCTGTATTTTTTTAGGAGAGTTTAAACTTTTATTCACTTTTTTATAGGGTTGAACTTTGGCGAGAACCGAGCAAATCCTTGGGCATCAGCATTGTTGGTGGACGAGGGATGGGGAGCCGTCTGAGCAGCGGTGAAGTGATGCGGGGCATTTTCATCAAACATGTTCTTGAAGACAGTCCAGCTGGCAAAAACGGAACCTTGAAACCCGGGGACAGAATAGTAGAGGTACCCTCCAGTGAGCTTTCTGTGCTGAAATTAACCACACAGTCCGTCCTTTATACCAAGGGAGTCATTTTTATGCTGGTTGCTCGACCCAACATTGAGTAAAATGTGTTTGTCGTTAAAGTATTTCTTTCTTACTTATTTTTGTCCATAATTTTTCTCTTCAGTATATGGTGACAGATTCTATATCTTGAAGTAGAGACTAATGTTTTGAAGGTATAATCAATCATAGTTAACAATATTGGCCCTGAGATGAAGTAATTATTTTTAAAAATTATTATTATTTAATTAAAAGGACAAAGCAAATTTCTTGAGAAAATAATTGAATTGTTTAAAAATGTGTATATATGCACAAAAATTTGTACATAATTAAGCCCTCAAATGAGATTTTATTTCAGGAAATACTTAAACAGTGTTGCATGAGATTTTTTTTCCCCAAGTGAGTCTTTTTGGTAAAATGTTCTATACCAGGATCCTCATTGCCTCTTATATCAATGTCCCCCCACTCCCACCCCTGCCAGTCCAGGCTTGGGTTTTCCTCCATCTCAGTGCTGTGCCCATTCCCCGTTCATCACTGAGGGCTCTGTGTGTGTATGCGTTCGTATGCTTGTGTACACGTGTATGAATACTTTGTTATGTGTGAGAGAGAAGCATTTGGTCAAATTGTACCTAATCCCTTAATTCAAAGTGAAATTTACATTTTAAATAGACCCTGAGTCCCTCACTGATTTAGTCCACAAATATTCCTGGATATTGCGTTGCATTCCAGGTGCTGTAACAGGCTCTGGGCATCCCACAGTCAATAAAACATTGTCCCTGCCTGTCAAGTAGTCAGGTCACTGCAGAACAGTGTGATGAAGCATTTGACCAGCATAAGCATAGTTTTAGTTAAGAGGGTAGAGGAAAGGGGGAGGGGGTCTGACCCAAATTTGTTGAATTGTCAGGACTTATAGAGTAGACTACAAGAGACAAATTCCAGGTAGAAACTGCTCATTTGGTCACTATCACAGCCATCATTTTTATTTTATACACATGGTTGTCTCTCATGTTATAAATCCATATACCTCAAACACCAGAATGCCTTAATTGTGTAGAGGGAGGTTAGCTGTATCAACCATAACTGTCAAGTGAACGTTTTGGGCATTGATCTGTTTATTCCTTTATTGATTGTCCCTGAGAATTGAAAAGGGAAGAAGATTGAGACTTGAGAAAAAGCAAGGGCCATGTCTGGTACTTTTTTTTTTTTTAACCTTCTGACCATTTATAAGGAAGAATGATGGGCTTTTGTTCTCTTTTTCTGCATCTTTACCTTTCATTAGATGATATTTTAGCACCCCCCCTTTAAAGAATTCTTTTTTAGAGTACTACATAAAATTCCTTATTTAAGATTGTCTCGAAGTAATTTATTTTATGGATACTTCACTATTAAATACCTTTGGCCCAAGCAGAAAAAGTAAGAAATGTTTATAATTATTTCACGAAAGGATTAATCATAGTTTGCACCAAAATGCTGCTTAAATGTATTAAGAAAGTTAAAGCAGTGGTTTCAAATTGAACAGAATTTTTTGCATATGGTAACATACTGTATGCTGCTTAGCAGTGGTTTTTTGAGTGCTGTTATGTTCAGGGGCTTTTTCAGTAAATAAGAGAACTTTAGGCTTCTGTAATCCTGGGAATTCTAGAACACGTCTGCTAAGAGCTTCTGAAAATGCTTATTGGCTAGATGAGTAGAGATCTACAAAATACTCCATTCTAAGTATAGAGTTCTTTGGACTTGAGCAAAGATATTTAATGTCCTGCTAAATTTTTCCACTATTGAAATATATAGTAAGAATAAATAATTTACTTTTATTCTACAGAAAATTAGGAGCTGTTTTTCATATGCACTGAAAGAGATGTCATGACATCTGAATCTCAACTTGACTGAGGTTTTCAATTAAATGTAGCATATAATTCTTTTAAAGGTGATAATGTTCTGTTTCTTTTTCAGAATTGTGTCCACTCTGATTTTGCTATTTTGTTATATAGACCATTCTGTGGTAATTGGAAATGATAAAATTATAATAGCATCCTGTGGTTTTCTGGCAGGATTAGCATTTGGCCTTTCAAACTATTTTCCTTCCTATTGGTATAGTGCATAAGCTGAGCTGATCATCACCCAGGCGAGCCACGGTCAATTAAAAAGTTACAAAATAACTTTCATTTTCAAGCTATTTATATAAGAATTACTAACAAGTAAGCACAATTTCTTGGCTTCCAGCTCCTGTCATGTGTACTGCAAAGATTCTTTTGCAAAACTAACCTTCCCATAACCTGATTTTTCTAAACATCAGAATTTTGTTTTCAACTTCAGGCTTCCCTGTATTGGGAGAAATATACAAGGCATCACCCACCCACTTCCCAAACTGCTCTGTAATGAATTGGAAGAAAATTTGCACAGTGACTCCCATGATGAAGACAGTGCTGCTAGGCAGTTCCTGTGTATTATTTCTTTAATGATGCTGATTCATTAATTTAAAGAAACAGTTGGACAGTGTAAGGGAGCAGAAGTAGAGCCTTCATTCCAATTGATTCTTATTTCAGTTGATTACTGGGGACAGAAATCTGTGTCCAAAACAAGGGACCACAAGTCTGCTGGACAGATGAAAAGTTCTGGAGGCTCAAAAGTTGTCTCCAATATCTTTGACTCTGAAACAGATTTTCCAGGAACCTCAACTAGGATCCTCGAAACTCCAGATCCACGCATTGTTCTGTTGTTCTGTAGCTTCTTAAAATGTTAAGCTGAGGCCTTCCATTGCAGGTGGATGGAATGGACCTCAGAGATGCAAGCCATGAACAAGCTGTGGAAGCCATTCGGAAAGCAGGCAACCCTGTAGTCTTTATGGTACAGAGCATTATAAACAGACCGAGGGTAAGCGAACACAAAGGGCAAGGTAGGCATATCCAAACAGTGTTCAACTTGGAATCTAATGTATCCAGGGCCAAGTTGTCTCTAGGACCAAGGAGATGGAGTCTTGAAATCTCAGGAGACTTTTTAAAAGTTTGTTTTGCCTTTTTTTCTTTTAAAATTGAGTTGCCCTGAAAATCTCTTCTACCATGTTTAACAAACACTTGAATCCGGCTGAAAACACACAGAAGTAGGATTTGTTGGTCACCATAGACATCTAGATGGATAATTACTCGTATTCATTACAGTCATGAAGCATGTGAGTTAAGAGGGATGTAGTCATTCAGGTTAATAGTCTGACCTCTAGGCAAGTCTCTTAGGAGCCAGAGTGATTACGTTTTCTTTATAAGTTTATTCTCTAGACAGGATTTCCAGCTTATGCAATCCCATGATCTCTTGTGAACGATCTTTAGCGTATTTGTCTGTCCCACCGAATATTAAATTTCCACATGGTGGATTTTGTTTAAGTCCTATGTTTATGTGCTAACGATCCCATAACTGCTGTTTCCCAGTCACAGTCACTGCATAGCTCTCATCGCTGTGTAGCGCCTGATGGACAGAGATCTGTTAACCCATTTTACCATCAGTCATCACAGGGGAAGTGGCTTTAAAAAATGTTTTAGAAAGTCTGAGTGCAGTCAGTGAATGTTGTTGGTGGAGAAGATGCTAAGTGAGGCTTTGTGTAATTGATAAGCCCTAATGTTGCTGAAGATGAAAATTGTGCCAAGAATTTAAAACTATTTTTTTCTATTTCTTCTTTGTGCCTTATTAAAAAAAAATTTCCTATGCAGCAGTTCTTAAATATATTGGGGCTACATACCCCTTTGAAAGTTCTTCAAGTTTACTGCAAGGTTTGCATTGCATCTCTTAGGAGTTCCCCAGATGTCCTGAGTCTCAGAGAGAGTCTACCCCTGGATTTGAGAACCCTTGTCATACTGATTCTTTTTGAAATACCTGCTTATTAGCTTTCAGGGTTCATTGTCTTTAGAAGGAAATTGTTCATACATGTGAGGGAAGTGAAAAGAGTTACCTAAACCTTACGTAATTTTATACATAAACTACATTTAATTTTAAACTTTAAAATGAAGAATTTAAGACAGCTATACTTAAATGATGGAAGGAGTTTAGCAAACAGCTCTGTGGATGAGATCAGTCAAAGGAATTTGTCAGCATTCTGTGCCACAGAAAACAAAGTGACCAAATTTATCCTATCGGTTTTTCCTTTTGTTGTCAAGACAGGTGTAGCTCTGGTCTGAGTTCACTGTTAAAAAAAAATGAATTAGTAGTTCTTGATGTAAGCAGTTATCCTCACATCTGCAGGTTTTAATCATTCAGTTGTGTATTGTTAGGTAATAATTATCCATTCAGATGAGAAAATATGCCAAATGCTAGGGCTGTATCACGCTGCATTCTTTTCAGATGCTGTTGAGTTTGTTTAAATAACTACAGATCTTTCTGCCTTTGTTTCCATTTTTTGTGTTAAACAGAGACACAGCATGATAATGTTGGTAAATGGCTGTTGAAGTTAAGTTAAAGCTGGGTTTTTTGTGTGGAGGGTATGGGTTTTATTCCTTTTTTTATTTTTAATTTCCAGCTTTTGTATCATTTAGGGCAGTACAATAAACTGCTGAATAGGATTCTCAGTATTACTTTTAAAAACTTAAACTACAAACATTTCTTTCAATGCCGGTTGCACTTTCTAATGTGCTGGGAAGATAGTTTCTCATGCACCTGGAAAATGTTCCTGTTTTATTATCTGAGGTATAATGACACCTGGTTTTACAGCAGTTACTCCAGAATAAATCTTGCTTAGAATGACATGTGTAGTAAAATTATATTTGACAGGGATTAGGGTACCCTATGCTAAAATACGACACCGTGGCATGCTGAATATTTAAACTGAAGTTAGAGTAAAGGCAGGTGCTGGAAGGATTTTGACACCCCCAGCAGGTCATTAGCCTCTCCTGAGAAGTGCCCTCCCCGCACCTGGAGGAAGGGAGCATCCTTGTCTGCAGGGGAGGAGGAGGCCTGAGGGGCATCCGAATGCACGGGCCTTGCTCAGGGTCCCTGGTGAACTGCACTTAGTGCCTGTTAATTTCATCCTGTCACGTTTCCCACTTTCTATCCTTCATCAGACCTGCCGCAAACATACTCAGGTTTAACCATTTTTCCTGGTCTTCATTTCCCTATGAAAGCTCCATGTCAGGCAGAACTCACATTCAAATCGGTACGTGTGCTTTCCTTTCGCTAGTTTGATTTTTGTGACACAGATCCAGCCCAGGATCTAAGGTGGGCAGAGTAAAGATGTTTTTCCTCCTCTACATACATATTCTGTTTGGGGAAATGAGAATCACTTTTGCATTTAAAATGAGATTTACCTTGTTTTCTGTGGTTTACTGCCCTATGGAAATAATCATGTCCCCAGTAATCCAAAAGAAAAAACATGACAGATACGCGAGAGTCTGTTAATGGTGAACGTTTTATTTGTGGATATAATAGAGCTTCAAGAAAATCTTACACATAGGCTGAAAAGCCAGTCGGCCTCTTTGGCTCTTAAACCGCTCTGGAGTTAGAACTTCCCAGAACTAGCCCTGGTAATTCCGTCAGTACGACCCTTCACAGTTCAGTCTGACCACACTGTCACAGCGAAGCGTGGGCCCCACTAACACGGGCCAGAGGATGATTTTGTCTTCCCTGTGCTGCTTCTTAGCTAATCACATTTCTATTTTTATTAGCCTTTGGGACTATAAACACAAGTTTCATCATTGATTTTTTTTAAGAAGAAATACAGCCTGTTTCTATAAATCTTTCCCTAATAGCAGAGTGACCTACTGTTTCCTTTGCTGTGCTTACCCTGGACTTGTACTCTTCTCTCAGGGCCAAATTCTAATCCTATAAGAGCTGCACATTGAAAACACAAAAGGCAAAGCCAAGCAAAAAGCCAGAGCTCTCTTTAAATATTCCATTTCTTGCCATTACGGTTTTGTTTCATATCGTTGTACAGAATTGTAAAGGGAAACATGAAACCTAAAAGCTCCGTGTACGAGAATTAGGGACAATCTCCACCTTCCGCAGCATTAAGTTACGTTGCCTAGGATGTGTTCTTAATCTTTGCCACATCCGTTCTTCTGCCTTAATAAATGGTCATGTTTTTCTGGCATTTGTGATCTTCTCCTTTGTAAAACAGGAGTTGACATTTTAAACTGAAAAGCCGAGAGAAAGTTGAGATGAGCAGAAATGTCACCGTGCCCATTTCTTTTACCCGCCTTCCTTCTGTAGGAAAAACATTGCAGGAAGAGCAGATTGAAAGGGTACTGTGGCATAAGCTTTAGTGCAGGCGCACTGAGCGAGCGTAGTCTCTCCAGAGTGCTCCCCCGTGCAGGGTGGCGTCACATGACAACCTCTCCCTCCTCTTGGTGCTTGCCAATAGGGCTTTTTTATAGAGAGAAGTAACACAAACATTTCATTAGAGCCAAAATGAATTCTAAACGTCTGCAATTTCCCCTGAAAGATATAGTCAATAAAAGAAAAAGATAGCAGTGTGAAAAAGAGAAGGATTTATTGTGCTAAGGAAATTACTTCTCTTTTTTTTAAAAAACTATGAAAATGCTACATTCTCTTTGGCAGTCATCCTGCCTGTAATATGTATATTCAACTCCAATAGTCCAGCTCAGGGCATATCACAGGCAAGCCACAAAATCTGTAAGAACTCGAAGGCAGGACTTCAAATATTACCCATAGCCTCATAAATCCCCCAATAAGATGGGAGCTTTTATAGGAAATTAAAAAACTCAAATATCAGTGTTCCTAGTTCCACAGAAAGTGGGCAGAAATAGAGAACACCACTGTACCTCGGTTCATTTTAAACATTGTTAATTTCATTTTTAAAATTAAAAAAATGCTCTTGATCTGAAGCAATCTTCGTATCTAGTCAACGTCTGAAAAGTTTCCTTACTGGGAAACAAGATAAAGAATACTGAAGGTTACCAATGAACTAGCAGACAAATGCTTCATTTCCTCCTGAAACAGACTGCTTTTTTTTTTTTAAACCAGAAAAGCATCATTTGCTTTTAAAGGTAAATAAAAAGCCTCTTCAGTTTTAATGTTGAAGCATGTTTACTGATACGCATGGAAGATATATTAATATAAGTGGGTGAAATGTATGAGCCTATCTGTCAGCGACAGTGAAGATACACAGTGAAAGGAAAAGAAATTTGGGATCAGTTTGACAGACTTTGTTCCTACGTGTTCTCTGGCCGCATTTAGATCAGGGTGTGGATTCAGGTTGCTAGAGGTAAACTCTTCGTTCTAGGCAGTTTGATAAGACATTGTCATTAATTATGAGGTCTGACAGGGTCTGGTGTCACAGAGTTACTGAAATCAGTAAGTACTTTGTCCTTATAACTGAGTTATTTTACCTGTGTTTCTTTTGCGCTCAGCGCCTCTTATGTTTCCTTTTAGAAATCCCCTTTGCCTTCCCTGCCGCACAACCTTTACCCTAAGTACAACTTGAGCAGCACTAACCCATTTGCCGATTCTCTTCAGTTCAACGCTGACCAGGTTGGATAACGCCCGTTGCCTTGCCGTTGCCTTGCTGTTGCCTTTTGCCAATGTCTTGTTCTTTGTTCCTACCGTGCCTTTGTCCCAGCTCGCTGTTTACTAAATTTGGGCAAACAACACCACCAACAACTGTGTGTTTGAAGTGGGCGTGCACATCCTTTCTTAAGCACATTTTCTTGCCAGAAGCTGTTCATTTTGATAGACAAAATTAGATGGCCCTTCTGAAGAGTAAGGGAGAATCGTGAGTCCAATTACTTTCCTTTATTTTGGTGTGAGTTGAATTTTCGGGTATTTAAATTTTTGTTGGTTGCCAAATGTTTGAGCTAGTTTCACACATAATTTCTTTAAAACCTTGTGATGGTTTAAATCCTTCTCAGACTTATGCAAGGTGGTCCTAAAAGCTCTTCTGTTAATTACTCTGCACATAATTGTGTATGTGCAGGAGTCTGTTGAATATTTATAAAGTGTGTCCACGTACATGCCTGATCAGGAAACATGGAACTGTTTCAAATTTTATAAATCTATGCTTGGACATTCTCATACTCTGATGAAATTATAAATCCAAAATTGAGACAAAAACTTACGAGAACGTGTATACTATAATTTGATTATGAAAGGAAGAAAGCTGTGAACAATTTCTTTCAGGAAGCATTTTATGAATATTCATTGGATTTTTATGTTATTGTAATGTGGTTAACCAAAGACGCTGTATCTGAAGGAATGTGTTTTCTGTTACTGTAGGAATTACAGAATCCAAGTAGAGTTACCTTCCGTTGTTCCCCAACTAACCCTTTTGCTCCCACACCGTTGAAGGTTTGTAGTGTGACGTATCCCCGAGTAAGTGGGTGTGTTCCAGTGTGCTGTGTGTGTACGTTAACACTTGTGTGCAGACATGGCATGGAGTGACTTCAAGTACACTTTGCATTTTTGCCCATGAAGGCTAAGTGGTCTCTGTTAAAGAGCTGTGTCTTCACTGATAATTGTAAGAGATGTCGGCAGCAAGCTCAGTTACCCAGTCTCAGTAAGAATGAGCGTTTCAGTAATAATAAAACAGAACACCTGATTGCCCCTTCAGTAAATAGAGGCTTGTATTGGCTTTGTGATTAATCAGTTATGTTAGGGAGCTATTTGTGTTTCCTCACAGTGTGGAAAATGTGCTCAGACTGAGATCCTAAATAGTTTTTGGACTGACAGGTTTTGTTCGTTTTAAGGAAACAAAGGAAAAAGCAGTCAGAAAAGTTATGCAGCAAGTAAGATCTGTAAAATTTGCATGCAAAAATTTATTGAAATTATGGCGAGTTTAAATTAGATTTTGTTCCGCTTTTTAAGAAATGAAATGGGCTAAATTCTTGCATCCTCACATTTTCCATTATTAGAGAAGTAGTTAAAGAAAAATTCTGAGTTACGTGTTGCTCCCTACCTTAGTATGTGTGATGAATCTCCATCGGATCAGATGAAGTTTTCTGTTTGTTCATATTTATTTGTACATTGGTTATTTGAGAGTTTTATGGCACAGCACTTGGGAAGATAACCCGGATTTTGTCTACACTAGTGATTTTTGTTTGGCCAGTGATGTGTAGACCGAACATTCTAATACAACGGATTCTGTGACTTGAGAATCTGTTTCCTTTAAGTGTCTATCAGTCAGCTCACCTGTGTTTGCCAGAAAAATAGTAATTCATGTTTATTAGAATCATTTTTGAGGTCGCTTAGAAACCTGAAATGCTTTCTGAACCATCAGAGATCACATTCAGTGCCATATAGCTTTAGTTTTAGGTATATTTTGATTCTTGACACTAATTAATAATTCCTGAGTATTTGTGCATGCTTGTCACTTAGTGTGTTCTGTGAAAGATATATTTTATTATATTATGGATTATAGATTATATATATAGAATCACTGTCTTTTCCCAGATACATACATGTGAAATAAAATGAGATGTATCAGGGATTTTCCTATGGAGGAAAGGTAAAATAAGGAAGGAACACACGTAGGCTCAAGGCTTCAGGGACAGCCTCACACCAGGCTGGAGCTTCAGCTGGGTATCTCTAACCCTTGAATTAGATACCCTTTGTCTTACTACAGATATTGGAGAAGACAGCATGATACAATGGAAAGTGCATTGGATTAGGTTAAGAATTAAATGAAAAGAAAACTGGTTTCACTGTGTGATTCTAAACAAAATCGGACTTCTCACAGCCTTGAGTTATTATTCTGCCAAATGAAAAATATGAACTCAGTGACATAAGGGCCTTTCTAACTCTGATACTCTACTTGATAATCTGTAAGAGCTTGTTCACCTATGTTTTAATCAAAAGAGAAAAAAAAAAAGAACTTGATGATACCAAGTCCTTTTTTTTTTGAAATAGGACCTGTAGCCCTAAGGAACAGCAAATATACCAGCCATACTTTGAGTTTGTATGAAGTCTTCACCCCTCTTTATTCATTGACCTTTTGGGCTGCTTTGTGAAGGGGATGGTGATGTTGTGCCACAAAACCAGCCCCCCAGATCTGAATTTGTGTGCTCTTTGCTAACAGACTGTCTCCCTGGTAGATGAACCTGCATGTGCAATACTCGTTTTCATGAATTTGGTGAGAGTCTTTTGGAGAGAGGATTCAGGGAGTAATAAAAATTCTTTATATATAACCTCACTAACTAGATTCAAGCTGTTTTGTTTGATATTATTGGAAGGCTTTTCTAGACCCCCAACATCTTACCCAGATAACTTTTGAATGAGTCCTTTTTTTTCCAAAAAAAAAAGGGAAGCTCATGCAACTTTTTATCTTAAGTTATTTAAGCCTTCAAATCAAATATTGTTCACCTTAAAATATCATAGAATAAGTTCAGTGGATTGTGCTCTGAGCATACTGTTTTGTTTAGTATATTTAAACTTTACCTGAATCCTGCCTACCATTTTTATATATGCGTATTTCCCCATTATTTAATATCTCAGAGATTTTAAAGCTAGTTTTTTGTTTTTGACACTACAGTCTTACTTCTTTTCCTTAGGTTTTACTTCCTGGGCTGCGCATACCCACTGCGTTCTTCTTGTCACCCACAGGTGCCCAGTCAGTCAGAACCCGAGCCGGAAAAGGCTCCGCCGTGCACTGTGCCCCCGCCCCCTTTCTCCGCATGTGCAGAAACAAGTGGGGATCATACACAGTCATCTGCAAGCAAAATGTCAGAGGATGTGGACAAAGAGGATGAGTTTGGTTACAGCTGGAGTAAGTTGTCTTTTTGAAATGCACTGAATTATAAGAGGTCTTTAAAGTAGCTCTGGGCTTCCCAAGGCTTACACTCTGGATGAATAAGTATGTTTCACCTTCAGTTACACATACTGCAGTTCTGTGTGGAAATAACTACTGTCTGTTGTGCTTGAATGCAGCACACATTTCCAGGATATGAGATCATCTTCCTTTCCTTTAATCCTGCATTCGTATTCAAGCCCACTTTGCCATTTGTATAAGAATTAAAGGGGCCAGGGCACTCTCCCAGAAGCTGGTACTAGATCAGCTGTCTTGAACAAGTCCTAGCCCCTCTCTAGGCCTCATGTTCCTCATTGTAAAACCTGTTGTTGCTGTTAGAACAGCTTTGAACTTTGGTATTTTTCTGTACTAGGATGGTAACATAGTATAATTGTTGAGATAAAAACTTGGGGCATTTGACAAGCTATGTAACTGCCCCTGAGTTTTAGCCTGGTGGTTTTTTCCCCCTTTTAAGATACAATTCCTCCTCGGGTTGCTAACAATGAGTTAGTCTGAGAAGCACTAAGCATGAAGCCTGGTGCACAGGAAGCAGTCAAAGCTGTTAATAGGATGAGTGGGGTGCCTCTGTTTCCTAAGGAAATCAGCCATTTTATAGGGAAACATTAAAAATTTAGCCCAAAGTTATGTATCAATGCTTATAAAAAAAAGTTTCATTAAAAAATGCAAGTATTTTCCTTAAGAACACTGTGGTATATGCTTTTAGGAAGTACAGAGTGTAAAATTTCTGTTGCTAGATTCTAGAACCAGGAAATGACAGTTCGTGACATCGATGCAGTTAAGAATTAATAGCAAATGCAGGACGTCAGTCATGCAGTAACATTTTCTAAGGGATCATTTATAAAGTTCGTAGTTTTCTCAGTCTGTTTCCAATGAAATTAAAATATTTTATTAGTCCATCAAGGTGGCCAGAATGTACTCTGAGAAAAACATGAAATGGAAGGTTTCAGTTATCTTTTGTCATGTCACAAGCCACCCCAAAACTTAATGGCTTAACGAAACATGTTATTACTAGCCTGTCAAGGTGCTGCGGCTGAGTGGGCTCGGCTGGGCTGGGCCTCCGAGGTGGCTCACTCACATGGCTGGTTGTTCATCTGGGCCTGGGGCACCTGCATGTGGCCTTGCCCTCAGATTAAAGAATCCCTTCTACCACTGGAACATGTGGGGTGGGAGATATGAATGGTCTCAGCTAACTACTAGAACTGGTACAGTAATTTGTCCTGGCCTGTGCGACAAGAAAGCCCCTTTCCTTTCTTCTGGACCTGTGTACCAACCACTCTCCAACGTGATGTGATACGCAGTGTAGACTTCGCCGTGGGAGAAGAGCTCCCACTGACCAGTGAGGACAAATCCTCTGGATGTTCTGTTCTCTGCAAATGATAGAGTGACTTCCTGTTGTAATCACAGTCTTTTGAGAGTTTGTTAATGGGAATGACTTCTTTGGGCCTCTTTGCCCCAAGTGATCTGATGAATCAGACCCTGCACTCTCTGCATTGTGGATAGAAAGAAATCCCTCAGAGTTTGGCTGCTCCAGGAAACCCATCTTGATGGCTGGTTTGTTTAGCTTTTCTAACTGCCAGGGATTACATTTCGGTACAAATAATGCCCTCAAGATGCCATTCTAAACAGCCTTCCACAATAAAGCGCAGGGCTGTGAGTTAGCACTTACCTGTGGGCTTTCTGTTCTTGCTGTGTGTAGAAAATATCAGAGAGCGTTACGGAACCCTGACGGGCGAGCTGCATGTGATTGAGCTGGAGAAAGGTCGCAGTGGTTTGGGCCTGAGTCTTGCTGGAAACAAAGACCGATCCAGGATGAGTGTCTTTATAGTGGGGATTGATCCAAACGGAGCAGCTGGGAAAGATGGGCGACTGCAGATTGCAGACGAGCTTCTCGAAGTAAGTTCTCGCAGAAAACACTGAATTTACTCTCGCTGAATTGGTACAGTGGAGCCATCAGTTTCCGGAAAATCCACCCGGGTCTCATACGGTGACTGAGAAAACTATCGCTCGCCTAATAAAATAGATGCATTGTAGCAAATTTGGCTCGAAACCAAATCTCTACTAAGTACAGCCCATGTTCCCATTAACTTCCATTAAAAGCTTGTGACTGTGGAGCACCAGAAACAATTTTTGCCCCAAGACAGCAATAAAGATCACACTTCAAAAACACTTCTTTGTGTGCTGCATTTTTACTGGGAGCTTTTGACAAACCAAATGACCGCTCTCTCCCTGGTAATGAAACTGATCCACTGGTCCTTCCTGAGAGTTGAATCCCTAATGGTAGAAATGATGGGAGTGGTGAGCGGCAGGGTCAAGGTCAAGGCTAAAATAACAGAGTAATTCCGGCGGCCAAACAGAATAAATCTGTGGGCCATACTTGATAGTGTTTCTAGAGTCGTGTTTGCTTGATTTGTGCATCCTTGCCTCCTGTTGGCTGGGGCGGTTCAGTGAGCAGTGGCTGAATGGCAGGGTGACGGGCACTCTCCAGTTCGTACTGTGCTACCCCAGCACATTCCGCTGCCCAGACCCTGAATCCACCAGCGTGGCTTCTCCCAGTGGCCTCTTCCCAGGGCTTGAGTTTTGAGATTTACTGGGACCTGTGGCAGTAGAGCCTTCCCAGGATGACCTGTGCAGGTCACATGTGATTCCGCAGAGCCCTTGCTCTGTACCAGCTCACCCCTGCCCGGAAGTTGACTCTCTGCTGTCCTGCAGTCAGTCCAAGTGGTGCCTCTTTAGTCCATGGAGACCAGACCGGTGTTCGCTTTAAACAGGAGCTTTTCTTTATTCATCAGCAAAGTCAGGTTCACATTCTGCAAAGGAAAATATTTTTATTTGTTTTTTTTTTCAGTTTCCAGTTTTATTAGGTAGATTTGTTACAATTTGACTGCACAAGTATGATATATTGAATGTAAATACATATATGTAATAGACCACACATGAATTTTTTAGTTTACATATGTGTACTGTTCATTATTTCTAAGAACAGTTTAGAGCTTTAGATTTTAAACTTACATAGGAAAATATGTATAATATCTTAAAGGGAGAAAAAATGTGCTTTTCATTAGGTCGAATGATAAAAATTTATGAAATTAAAATCTAGGCCCAATTAACGATACTTATTTCTCATAGATCAATGGTCAAATTTTATATGGAAGAAGTCATCAGAATGCTTCATCAATCATTAAATGTGCTCCTTCTAAAGTAAAAATAATTTTCATCAGGTGAGCATTTTCTTTTTCTGGTGTATTAAATGTTTTTTCTTAACCTTTCAATTCTGAGTTCTTTTGAATGAACATAAAGCATTTATAAATGTGTGAATGTTGTAGTTCCAGGTCTTTGGAGCTACAGAATTTTCTCTAATAATCTGAGTCTTCAAGCTGAAGAATGAAAGTATGAATTGTTATGAAATGATTGGTCATTGTTTTTTTTATTTTAGAAATAAAGATGCATTGAGTCAGATGGCTGTATGTCCTGGGCATACAATGGAACCTTTGCCTACCGCCTCAGAGAATCTTCAAAATAAGGAGGTATGTGATTGTTTCTCTGGGAAGAGTTGATTTATACACCAATTACTAATTCAGCTAACAATTATAGAACTCTTGCCAGGGATATTAAGATAGATAAGTTATAGCCCTGGCCTCCAAGGAGTTTACAGCCTAGTGCAAGAAATACTAGCAGAGCTGCATAAGAGGAGTTGAAAGTCTTGCCTCTGCAGAGAGCTAGAATAAGACTTCATAGGGGAGGTGAGCCTGAAGTGTATGTTGGAAGTGGATGACTTGGGGGCATAGACTTTGCAAGCAGAGGGCATGGGTTGAGGAATGGCCTCGAGGCTCTGGCCAACACAGAAAATTGAAAATTGCAGAGTTTTACCAAACAGAGGGAGGCAGGGAATGGGAGGGTCAGGTCATGGGAATCATGATGCAGACTTTGTCTTTGAGGCCCTTTCATGGTGAACTCAAAGACCGAGATCTGTATTCTTAAAAACATTTTTGGAAATAGCACAGAGAAGAATCAGACGTTGCAAGACAGAAGTTAAAGGGATTAAGAAAATGACTGGAGAAGTGTAGGGGTTGGATGATGGCGCCTCAACTAATGAAAAAAAGAAAAAAGAAGGAAATGGTTACCTCAGGTGTTTAGAAGCAAAACTGACATTACTTCATCCCTAACTGAGTATTCTCAGCAAGGAAGGGTGAGTGGTTGAGAGTCTTTTTATCCGACAGGTGTTTATTGGGTGTCTGCCTCGTACCAGGTACTGTTCTCTAGGCTGAGAATAAGCTGGCAGATGAAACACGAGAGGTACCTGGCTTCCAGGTGTCTGACCTGGTGACTTGATAGGTGGCTAACTTTCACCAAAATAAAATTAGAAAGAGGAGCAGGTATTCGTAAAAACAGAACGCATTCCCTCTAAGGCAGCTGGAGAATGGAGTGCCTGCTGGAAAGCCTGGTAGAAGTATCCATGGGGACACTTGGTCTAGAGTTCAGAGATGAATTCCCGCAGATGCCAACTTAGGTTTTGTTAACTGTGGGAACCAAGGCTCTTGCCTACGGAGGACATTCAGAGGAGATGAGGGCCAAGGTCAGGATTATGTAGTATCAACAGTAAGGATATTGGAGATGAAGAGGAGAACGGTGGGCGCGCTGTGCAGCAGCCGAGGAGAGCGCCCTTGAGAAAGGGTGTATTCCACAACCGTGACTACTGCGTGGAGGTCAAGTAAGAGGGTGAATAAGGAGGGTTTATTGGATTTGCCGATTAGGAGGTTATTAGTGATTTTGAGAAAGCAAATGATGGATAAGAAATTAGGAAAGAGAAGGCAGTGGCTAGAGAGTCACTGAAAATTATAAGAGTCTTTGTGGGAGTTTTGTTTAGATTTGGAAAAGCTTTGGATACATGTTTAGGATGAGTATTATAAGGAGGTAGGAGAGAGTGCAAAGCTTAAAATTAAAGGAGCAGTGAATGTCTATGGGTGGGTCAAGGTGTAGAAACAGAAACACTGTTCCCTAAATTAATGTCTAAACATGGGGCTTTCCTGCACATGAGGTTTACAAATTATTTTCTCATGCTAATGAACTGACTTCATGGGTCATAATAGTAGGCTGAGTTAAGTGGGTTTTTTTCAAGATTACAAAGAAGAAAATTTTATTTTCATATGAATTGTAGCAAATATGTCCGTTGAGAAAATGGACTTTAATAGTTTTCAAGTCAGACAGGAGTAGCTCCTGCATTCACGTGGTGGCCAGCGCGGTGAAGCGCAGTGAATGGTGCCGCTGCTGGTGTCCTGGGTTGAGTGCATTGCATCGTTTGGTAGCTGTGTTGCTATTAGATGTCACTGTAGAGTTAATCTAGGCAGTCTTGAGAAGCACTTTGTGTCTCTGTGCTCTAAAATAATTACTGTCTAATCACTCCTCATTTGTATTTTGAAGAAAATATAATGCTCATAAATATCATGAAATATTAAAATGAGGAATAATGAATTACAATGCATGAAATAATTTTGATTAAGTGGCCCGTCTGCATAAGACTCACTTGTCTCACCTGTCATTTCTTTCCCTCCATCAGGCTGAACCGAATGTTACTACTTCTGATGCAGCTGTGGACCTCAGTTCATTTAAAAACGTGCAACATCTGGAGCTTCCCAAGGTAACTGCTTTGATTTGGAGGGAAATGATGTGGGTTCCTTCACTCCAGTGTCCTAATTTCACTGTTTTGCAAAACTGTGGTCTCCGGGTCGGCAGCATCCGCATCACCTGAAAGCTTGTTAGAAATACAGGCCCATGGGCCCACCTGACGTGAGGAATGAGTGGCTCTGGGGGTGGTCCTGCAGTTTGTTCTAACAAGTCTTCTCCATGAGCCCAGTGTGCACTCAAGTTTGAGAACCACTGTGCTCATCGATACTTTGGCATTGACCCAGCTTTTCTTGCCTCTGTGATTATCCCAAGGTGTGGCATTTAGTGGTCTGTCCTTTGATTCTTTTACCAAGGACCTGCTATGGAGGAAATAAAAAGAATAAATAAACAAAAGTTACAGTCTTGTCCTTCATGAAACCAAAAGCTCACATAACTGGAAGTCTCCCTGATGGGCATCAGTGAAGTATTTACTTTTGCAGAGATCTGAACCTTAGGTTCAAGTGACCACTTGAAAGAAGTGGTTTGTTGAACAGAACCCCATAAATGCTTTCATGTGCTGCAGGCTCCTGCTGGAATGCGGGTGGACAGTGGATGAACCAGGGTGTCAGCAGAAAGAGCAGTGAAGTGCGCGGGAAGAGGAGAGGAAGGGAGGAGAAGGACAGAGGGGCGTTTACACAGAATGCTGCAGGCAGGAGGCAGAGGAGCGCTCCCCCAGGGCTCTGCAGCTCTGAGGCAGTGCCGCAGGGTGCGGGAGGGCCTGGGTGCTGTGGTCAGTCTGTCTGGGGTGAGTCCTTGCTTCATCAGGTACAGACTTCATGTGCTGTGTGGTCTTCCTTCACCTCTGTTTTGTCACCTATAAATTGGAGGTGATAATAGTACCTTAGATGTAGGTCATTCTAAAGATGAAATGAGTTCTTTATAAAGCTGTGCACATCATGCCTGGCACGTGGTCAGACTTTGTTCATCATTTAGTGGAAAAAAATACTGTGACTCTACTGGATTTGGTTTCTTTTTTTATAATAGATAACACTGTACAAAAATGGATTGCTCTGGACTTACCACATATATTTTTAAAAAGTCGTCGTGGGCAGTGTTTGTTGTGAGGAGAGGGAAAAGAGCAGAAGCCATTAAAGCGTCTTCTGCCAAGAAGTCCACACACTTCCATTCAAGAGTCCCTCATTCTTTTGCCCTTTAAGAGAGAGAATACCTTTCTTTCTTCCCTGCTGATTTTAGGGTTGAAGTTTTTTTTTCTCCTAAATCCTGAAGTCAAAGTTTATAGTATTTAACAGTGTAATAATGTCCGTATGTTCTGTTAAAAATTTAAATATATGCTGAGTTAATGATGATAAATGATTTTTTTTCCAGTCCTGGTTTGTGTGTATCTTTAGAAAACTCCAAAATAACATAATTTATTTCACATGTATCCTTCCATGGCATTGATCTAATTTATTTACCTAGGCTGTGGTCCATCCTGGGATATAGTAAGCGCCCAGGAGATGCTGGGGGAGTGAGCTTGTTAGACGAGTGACTAAGGAGCTGTAGTGGTTGGCTGCACGGACTGCGAGCCAGACCACCTGGGTCGGAGCCTTCTCTTTGCATCTTTCAGGCTGTTGCCTGTGACCCTTGCAAGTTTTATAATCTGTGCCTAGTTTCTCCTCGATGAATGGAAGTAATAATAGCACTTACCTATAGGGTTGGAGTGAGAGTCACATATGTATTATGAGAATTGAGTATACGTGTGTGTGGAGCCCAGTACCAGGCACACACATGTTATGTGTTGCCTGTTGTTTTCATTACTGTCATAATGAACAGGAGAGAAGAAGCGGGCAGAGAGATGTCTGACTGCTGTGGACACTGATTTTTTTCTTGAGGTTCTCTCTTTGCATTAGGCTGCCTGATTTACTTCTTCCGGAGATGTTTACCTCATCCTAATCGTTACTCACAGTCTTCCCAGGACTTCCATTTTCAAACAGATGAACTCAGGGTCCTTGGCCTGGCAGTTAGCTGTGGGTGGACAGAAGCCTGCTTTATCTGTGGAAGCCCTTCTCCCACCATGAGGGCTCTCCAGTAAATCCTTTGGTCACTTAATCCCTCTGGTCCCCGCTTGCTCCTCTGTAGCAGGGGCTGCCTGGGTCAGGGGCTGTTGCTGGGATTGTTTGAGCTCATGAGCAAGGTTCCTTCCTCCTACAGTATAAAAGCTGGTCTCTGCCTTTAACCTCCCCCTGGTTTTTTCAGCAGGTGTCTATTATGTGCACTTCCGTTTCTGAGTCAGTGGCTATAGGGGAATCCAAGAACTTCAGATTTCATTGCCCTTAGAAATCTATACATAGATTGCAGTCTGAAGGTTGGGTAACTGAAGTGTGTTTACTGATGAAAGCCAAAATGACTAGGGGAAGTAGTCAAGAACCTTTTCAAACCAACCGACAGAAGCAGCAATCAGCCATGACTTTTTAAGTGTGGGGTTTTGGAGCCAGTTAACTTCTGGGCCTCAGTTTCCTCATCGGTAAGATGAGGTGAATAATAATGCCTTTATATTAGAGATATTTTTGTAAAGATTCAATGAGATAGTTAACATAAAGCATTTGGCACTGTGCAGGTGGTTATCTTCATCACTACTCTTAACCATGAGGTTTGAATGCTTCTCAGCATTTGTCCCTGAAAACATCCTTTGAGGAAGCCGTTGCTAAAATGACTTGCTAAGTGACAAATCATACTACAGGCCTGTACACTTTGAACCCCATTAATAGTCGACTTTGGGAACAAAACACAAGAAAGCAAGGAAGGAAGAATTAACCAGCCTTATAACAATGTTCATCCTCATCTGAAATCTGTTGTCATTTATACTATCCGCTATTTTTTAAAATTATGATTGTTTGAAAAAATAATTTCATGGTAAAGTCATATCTGTACGTTATGTTCATCTATTTCTCAGCAACCCTGTGGGATTGCTGATTTTCCCCCCACTTTTAACAGTTCCCCAAACTCACAGAGGTGAAGTTGGAACTTAAAATCTGGTCTTCTGTCTTCAAGTCCTGTTTTCTATTCCCTGTTTCAGTTTGTGGCTGGGCCCCATTTACCTCTTCAGAACCCTGATATGCTCCTTATAAAAATCCGCTACTGCTTCCCTCAAACTGACTTGAATCAAGAGCCCATGGAAATGGCTTTAAGAATCCATCCCCCCTTGCCTGTTTATGTCACTTGGGATGTCCTGCTTTCTTGTAGTTTATTTCAGTCCCACGTAACTCACGACTTAGGTTAACCTCACTTCTCTTTATTTTGAAATATTCTTTCATCATCCTGGCCTGTATAATGCTCACTGTTACTGTCTTCATTTAACCCGGCCTGGCCCAGAGGCACGTCCTTTGCAGTACACTTTCGTGTGGGTGTGTTTTCTGTACATCTTAATTACACACATGTTGAGAGAAGAACCTCTTATACTTTCTCTCATTATAGTGGTGTGTTCCGTGGCTCATACTAAGTGTTTGGGGGGGGAACAATGAATGAATGATTACATGCCGTCCATGTGTACACAAGGGAAAAAAGATGTCAACGTCAGGAAGGAGAGAATAACTTTTATTCTGTTTCACAATGAGAACCATCACTTCCAGTTCTGTTTTGACTCCTGGGAAACTGTCTTAACAGGTCGATTATCTATTTTTCTTTTTAAAAGGACAATGGAGGTGTGAACAGGAAGTTTTTGATGTATGTAATCTGAACCCTGAATGGCTGAATTAAATGGTAATTCGATTTATCAGACAAAATATTGTGACTAAAGATTTAGCACATGTTGCCCTAGGAAAAGTACTTACACATGAAAGCAGATTACAGTCTTGCCTGCTTGTCAGAGATACGTTTCTTATCCATACAATTTTATATGACGACAGGCTTCAGATATAGTTGAGAGTTTTCCCTTCTTCAGAATTTTAGGGAAGCGTCCAGCTAGGTTTCCTGATGGTAATAGTAGTTTGTTCAGCTTAGTCCCGCTTTTAGTTCTTGTGTACTCCTTTCTAGCTGTTTAACTGCACAGCTGTTTCTCATTCCCCGTGTGGTGAAGTCTGAGTAACTAGCTCAGGACAGGTCTCTCAGATCTCCTTCTGTTGAGGACTGTGTCTGCTGTGGCAGACGTGAGGAGGAAAGTTGAGCAGTTGGGTAAGAAGTCGCCGTTCACACCCTGCTCCCCTCACTTACATGTCATCCTGCTTTTCTGCTGTTAATGAATTGTCTGTAAGTGTGTATACACCTATTTTTGTACTATTCTAAGTGGGGTGGGGACATATTATACATGCAGATGTGTGTGTAGCTTATGGTTCCTTTTAGGACCTGTTGCAAATAACAAACATCTTACTTTGTCAGGCTTGATGAAAGAAGGGGACTTGCAGGCTCAGGGAACTGGTCCCCAGTCTTCGAGGACAGTTCGTCCTCAACAGCGCCATGAAAGCCAGTCCTTTCTCCCTGCACGTCCATCCACCGTGTCAGCTTTTCCCCACCACTCCTATTCCTCATAGTTCGGGAATGACCGCTGACCACAGCTGGGGTCACACACCACTTCCTTCACATGCCGTTGGGAGTCAGCTGTCTGAAAACCCCAAACAGAAGTCCTGAGATTCTTCCTGAATGAACCAGTGCAGATCATGTGCCTACTCCTGAGCTAGGGACTGTGGCCACAGGGGTAGAGTTGTACCGGATTTGAGTCATTCAGACCCCATTGTTGAAACTACTCATTCATTGCAACATTACAAATTACCACAAAACTTAGCAACGTAATAGACATTTATTATCTCACAGTTTCCTTGGGTCAGGAATTTGGGAGCCGTTTAGCTGGGTGGTCTAGCTCAGACCCTTGTGCAGTTGCCAGCAAACTGCCTGTGAGGGCTGCGGTCATCTAAAGGCTTGACCGGGGCTGGAGGATGCACGTCCAAGATGCTTTACCCAGATGGCTGTTGGCAGGAGGGTTTATTGCCTCTTCACTGGGCTGCGTGTATATCCTCATGACATGGTAGCTGACTTCCCTCAGAGTGAGTGATCAAGAGAAAGAGCAAGGAGGAAGCCCCAGTGCCTTCTTCGGACCTGCTTGTGAAATTGCATGTCACCATTTGTTTGTTATTAATCATATCACCAGGTCCAGGCCACACTCAGGATCCCCTTCTTGAAGGAAGGGATATTACAGAGTTTATGAACACATTTTAAAATCACCACCCAAAGTGGAGGCACAGAGTGGGAACGAGAGCAAAAGAGAGAGCTCTTTGAGGCAGCACGGGGCGGGGAGACTGGACAGTCTAATGAAAATCTGAGAGTTTGTGTAAAGGAGTGAGATGAAAATGGATGTTAGGTGAACAACCAGCAGGTGCCCCCTGCACTCAGTAAAGCGCTTTTCTCACTACCGTTGTGTGACTAGATGATAATAGAATCACATCTCAGAATGGAGTACACACGATCCACACGATCATGGCAGATGTGGAGTGTTACTTATTAAACAAATACTTCTCTGTGGTACTGGGAAAGCATTGGTGTGGGTATTCCAAATAGAGGGTAACTGGATTATTGGCATTGGCATTTGTCAGTTTGTTAGCACATTGACCTTCCTATTTGTTATGCCTGACTCTTTGACCAGTAGATCAAGGTTTGGGGTTTGAAATCCTGGCAGGTTTTGAGTCTTTATCTGAAGTAAAATTGATTATATCCTGTTGAGTTATAAGTGCAGGGAATGCATGTGTGATAACAACACTTTGGTCTACTGCATTAGACTTTTCAGCCTTTTCTTACTACACTTGATCCTCATGGCAAACTCATGGTTGGCAAGTTGTATTATTTCTTTTTTTTTTTCCAAGACAGGAAAATTGAGGTTGAGATGTTTGGTAGCATATCCAAATTTATACAGCTAGGCAGGAAGGAAGTTACAGCTGAGCTCTGCTTACCCTACATGCACCTGGCTTTTTCTGTCTTATGCACATGACTGATTGCCTGGAAAGAGCAGGGGTAGAGAGGACACACAGTGACAGTGAGAAAGTCGTCAGGCATTGGTCACCTTTCTCAGCAAAGCCGCAGTGCAGCTTTACCTTGATGTCATGATCCTAAATGTCCAGTGGCAAGCTTGGCTCTCATGTATGTACATTTCACAGAAACCATGACGAAGTTCCCTTTTCTTTCTTGCTTTCTGTCTCCCTGGATGGAAACGATAATGAAAAAGGTTGCTAGCTCTAACCAAAATGAAAATGTTTAAAACACTATGGTAATTTTACTTACATAAACATTAAGGAAAGGTAAAAGCTGATATACGGAATATTTGTTTTTGATGAAAGAAAGTGTGGATAATATAGACAAAGTAGGTGTAGCTCACTGGCCTTAGCAGCTTTTCCATGCAGGTCTTTGGTCTCAGAGTTGAGAGCATTTTCTCTCTGTACCAAATCAAAACATGAATCTTTGGAGAAACCAGTCCTAATGTTTAGCCCCAGAAGGGACAGAGCGTGAGCCATCAAGGCAGTCCTTGGAGGAGGAGGGGCAAGAGAAAGGCATGCAGGGGCCCGGGCTGGTGATTGTCTCTAAGCTGCAAGCCAGAAAGAGGAAGCAGGAGCGCTTTGGAGCCCTTTGATTGGTTTTGATTAGTCAGTTACACACAACTAAATTCTCAGATGTTGTGTATTCACTGAATTGCTGGATGCATTTTTGTTCACTGGATATTTTGTTAAACTAGAGATATGCTACTGGATAGATATGCTGAAGATACTGGAGGTAGTAGACATATGGGAGGAATGAGAACATTTAATATTTGATGGAGGAGAATTTAATCCCATTTAAAATTTGGAAAGTTTGCTTAAGGAAAGAGATTTTTAATAGTGGATTTTAGAATAGTTTTAGTTACTTTTCTAGCCCTTAGGTAAGAAGGTGATGTTCAGAAGTCTCGGCCACACGCCTTTACAATTGGATAAATTTAGTCTGTTTGGTGTTTTCTGAGTGCCCCTCTGTTTGCCTGTCTAGGACCAGGGGGGTCTGGGCATCGCCATCAGTGAAGAAGACACACTCAGCGGGGTCGTCATAAAGAGCCTCACAGAGCACGGGGCAGCAGCCAAGGTGAGGCTCCCCCGCTCACTGTCAGGAAGTCGGGGGAGGGAAATATTTCTGTTAAATCACTTTAACTCTTCCATGTTTCCACCCAGGATGGACGGCTCAAAGTTGGAGATCAGATCTTGGCTGTCGACGATGAAGTTGTTGTTGGCTATCCTGTTGAAAAGGTACTTTCCCACAAGAAAGCAGATGGTACTGTGAACCCATCCTTGGTCATGGCTAAATTGTGCATGTATATGTGTATGTGTGTGTGTGTCTGATCACTATAGGGAATCAAAGCTGTGTAGCTGTATTAGATATCTGTAAGGAAGAGAGGAGATTATGTGGAAGTTGTTTAATTTCTTTTTTCTGTTTTCCAATAAGGTGATGTTAAGTTATTTTCTTACCTGATAAATTCAGCATTCAGTGGGCATTTTTGATAAATATCATTGCAATTTTCCCTTAGGAAAACTTGGAGCTTCTAAACAAAGGTCAACTTAGTATCAAAACTAAAGGAATTTTTTTTAATAAATGTTTGCTCCCATAAATATCCCATATACATATATATCTTTATAAACAGATTTTGAGAGTCAGCCATTAAATGTAAACTCTTACTGGAGTTAAACAGTTACTTGTGCCTGAGTTTCTCCCTCCTCAAAAGCGATCTTAATACTGCACTGACTAGGAGTCTCACTTGAATCCCTTTGTAAGGGCTAGGGAAAAGGCTGTTTTCCTCTTGAGGTTTGGTGTGCCAGCATTTCCACTTCTACACTGGCCAGCAAGACGCTTAAACCATTTATTAAATTTGGCTTTAGTCATTGTGTGGGTTTGATCCTTTACCCCACACGTGCATGTTTTAGCTTTCCTTTTGGTTTGATTCTTCTGTTACATAGTTTTCTTATCTTGCTTGTAATATAAGTGTTTCCATTTTTTAAAGATGTTTCTATAAGCCACGTCATGTTCTCTCTGGAATCAGAAGTGGGTGAATCACCCCATATTTCTTCTAAGGTTGTGGGGATCTAGGAAAAAAGTGGATGGTATTAATTAGAAATATAAAATGTTGAAAGCCTTTTACTTATGTAAGGAAGAATGTGGTCTGAACTAGACTTACAGTAGAAATTAACTGTGGCCTTAATATTAGGGAATTGGAGAAACTAGGAAGAAACGGCCACCATTCTTTCTTGACCTCTTAATCGCAGATCCTGACAAGGAAAGAATGTACCTCTGACTCTTCTCTCAGCCACAGATAGTTACAGATTCCAGCTATGATTGTGGCTATTTGTACAAGTCTACTAATTTGCCTTTAAATTTTATTTACCCTCTGCACCAACCTTCTGCCAGTTTATTAGCCTTTTGAAAACAGCGAAGACGACAGTGAAACTTTCTATTCGTGCTGAGAATCCAGACTCCCAGGCCATTGCTCCAGTAGCTGCTACAGCCAACGGAGAGAAAAAGAACAGCTCCCAGTCTCCAATGGTCGCACCATCCGTCTCCCCAGAGCCGGAGACCGTCCGAAGTAAGGGCTGGTCGCTCGCTGGTCCTGCATGTATGGCACATTCACACGCAGTAGCGGGTCCCTACTTCGGGGCCACCTGCCTGTAGATAGCCCACTGTTTGAAAGGCCATAGTCAGGGAATCCTTTGGTGAAAGGATGGTATAAAGAGAGGGTCTCCTGAAGAAAGAATACTGGACAGTTAGGGAGGTTAAAACCACTTATGGAAATTTTCTCGTTTTTCAATTTTAACTTGGTCCCTAAATAACATTGTCTATAAAAACTATAAATTGGTAAATGGAAGCATAACATGAAAGAAAATATCTTACACCTGCTCTTACCATTTCAGGAGCAAGAAAATAGTGTGCCTCTAATTCCTAAAAAGAGAGCATCTTCCCTAAACCTAATCTATCAAGTATCCCAGCTTTCCCAAAATACGCTATTTGCTGTGTGCACTTTGGTCTATCAGAGAACGTGTGATATGAAGACTGTCACAAAACAAGGTGTGAAAGTACAGCCTCCTTATTTTCTTATAATCTAATCTTATTCATTTAATTCTGAGCGTAGATGCACCAGGTTTTCGTATCCAATTTTATAAAACATTGAGCAAGACACAAGGAGAGACACTGCAGGTGGGTCTCGCTTGATGTCTTAGAAGCTCAGGTGTTAAATCCAGGTGCACGTATGCTCAGATTTGATTACACAAGAAGAGAAATTTTAGGACGGGGTGAAAAGGAAAGCCAGATCAACCAGAAGAAGCCCTGAAAGGCGGGCGCCATAATCCGAGTTGCTGATGTCCTTTGTGTTTTATGGTCTTTCCTGAATGTGAGGTTCCCAGCGCATCTCACTGTTCTGAGTTTTACAAATCGTCATTTCATAAGTTTGTTTGGTTCCAACGACATGCAAAATACCAAAGTGAAACTAGAGGTTCATTTCAACTCTCTGCTCTCATTCCTTTTACATATTATCTCCTTAATTTAAAAAAGTACAAAATAGTGCAGAAAATAATTTAACAGGGAGTTTTGTGTCCATGACCTTAAATTAGCAATGGTGATTTAATTACCCACTTGATAGTTTTAAACACAACTGAAAGACTGGGGCCGAACTGCAGTCTTCTTTGTCCCCAGATGGGCCCATCTTTCTATCCCATTCTCTACCCCATCTATGGTGAGTGTAATATATATGCCTTCAAATCAATTTTTATTTGTATTTCACTTCATTTTCAACTTACTTTTAGGTACAAGCAGGTCGTCCACACCAGCGATCTTCGCTTCCGATCCCGCCACCTGCCCCATTATCCCAGGCTGTGAAACAACAATCGAGATTTCCAAAGGCCGAACAGGGCTGGGCCTGAGCATCGTGGGGGGGTCCGACACACTGCTGGTGAGGACACAGCCGGAGGTGCTTCACACAGAGAGCCCCCTTCGTGAGCCCTGAGAGAGCATTATTAGGGAGGCTTCTGTCCCTTTTATGAAATGAAGTACAAAGGCTTAGAAAAATGTATTGCTCATTCTTATTTTAATTTGTAGGGCAGATAACTCAGCTGGGTACTGGGATTTTTATTTTGAGTAAGCTAATATTAATTTAATATTCATTTATTCATGTGATTGTGACCTTTAGGTTCAGAATATTTCATTAGTTTACCAGGTCTTTCCATCTTTTAATTTCCTTCCTACTGACTGGATACCCATGGGTTAGACCCACCCTGAAAGGAATCTGAAAAATTGGATAATTTGTAGACAAAATTTTACACAATGTCAAAAATGCTTTTAAAGTCTAATCATTCCATTTGCGGATAGGAAAGGTGATGAGTTGACGTTTGTCTCTTACATATGTGTGTGTGGGTGATTTATATATTTTATAATTTCTTTCTTTAGACTTACCTGTCATAAGAACGAGGTATCAGCTTCTTTGAGTCTTTTAGGAAAAGGTGTCTTGTTACACTTCTCTTTGACTTGGGATACGTGACTCACGTACGGATGCAGTGCGTGTGTAACTCTTAGCACTGCCTATAAAAGTGCGGTGTGTTTTGACTTTCTGTTCACCGTTCGTGGAGAGAATGGGATCAAGCATTGGTGTGTTTCGTTTGAGCCCTTAGGGAGCCATCATTATCCATGAAGTTTACGAAGAGGGAGCAGCATGTAAAGATGGAAGACTCTGGGCTGGTGATCAGATTTTAGAGGTACAGCATGCTGTGCGTTTGGCCTGGGAGGGTGGTGTGTGTGTGTGTGTGTGTGTCCTTTTCCCTCCCTCCCTCCTCCCTCCCTCTCTCTCCCTCCCCCTCTCTCCCTCCTCCCCCCTTCTCCCTTCACTTTACTCAGCTCACCTGGTCCCTCACTGTCTGGTTCTGTGCAGGTGAATGGAATTGACCTGAGAAAGGCCACGCATGATGAAGCCATCAATGTCCTGAGACAGACACCACAGAGGGTGCGCCTGACGCTCTACCGAGATGAGGCCCCATACAAAGAGGAGGACGTGTATGACACCCTCACTGTCGAGCTGCAGAAGAAGCCGGGGAAGGGCCTGGGCTTGAGCATTGTTGGTAAAAGGTATGACTGAACAGGGCACAGGCGGCGACCTCTTGGAAATGACTGAATTTAAATTCCTTTAATAGTCCTAGCAATCGCAGAAGCCTTCTCAGCCGCTCCTGTTCTGTAGGTAGCTGTTGTCGGCCCGCGCAGTGGTAGAACATCAGAAGACAGTGGTTGTGCACTTTTTCCGTCAGTGTTTTGAGGGATAGTGAAGGTTCCAGACAAATAGCAATTTGATACAATGAGTACCTGCTGTGTGCCAGGAAATACATGAGCTTCTGGGGAATAGAGCTGAATAAGACATGGATCCTGACCTCAAAAAACTCAGTTTGGTAAATGAGAAACTCATTGGGGGGAACCTGCGAGAAAGGGACCACGTGACTGCATTAAGGGAAGCAGGTTAGGAAAGTGTCCTTCAAAAGAGGTGTGCAAGACGAAGCTAAAAGTGACGTATGAGAGTTGGTCCCACTATGGGGTGGAGGGCATTCTCGAGAGGAGGATCAGCGTGAACAAGAGCACACCGTCACAGGGAACAGAAAGTGTACATTAAGAGGCCAGGGTGGTAGATAGATGAATGTACATAAGTTAAGTATCTAAGTTACTTCAGTGTGTGTATATAGGTAATGTTAGAAATATATGCTCCAGTAAGTTCCAACACCTCTATTCTAAAGATGAGAAAGCAGAGTGTGAGATGGTGGAAAGACTCGTTTGAGGTTGTGACCACAGCAAGATGTTCAACTTTCACTGAATGTTTCTGTTTACAGTTATCTTTCAATCTCAACAAGAAGTTGTTGGGTTATTTATAGTTCCATCGAAGGAAGATTGGAGTGAGATTACTACTTACTCATTTTGTGTAAACCTATTATTGTATGAAAGTTAGATCTGTAACGATTTAAAATAAGAGGCTTCACAGCAATGACATTTAAATTTTGAATAACAAATAGTTTCGGCTTAAGATACATATTTGTTATTTATTGTCAGCAATGTTAATGACATTGATGATAATAGCGACATATTTATGTAGGCACAGATCAATATCAAGTCTTTATTATGGTGTAGGAAGAACAAGACATTGAGCTCTCAATGACTGGCTCAAGTCTCATTTTTGCTACGTGGTAGCTGTGTGGCCCATAAAGTGAGGATAATAGTAGCCACTTCTGCTCACAGTGTGTAACTGTTGAATAAGTATGCTTATGAAAGATACGTCTAATCTGTGAAATATGATAAAGACATAAGATTATATTAAAAAATTATTCTCCTAGTTGCCCCACTGTTGCTGAAAACAGTAAAACTTTTAAAGTCATAAAAATAGAAGTAAAATTTTCACTTGATAAATGTTAGCCTTTGGTTAAATAAGCATTGCACTACAGTTGAGAAAAAGTACTAATGTTGAAATTCAAAATTCCATTTGCAGAAATGATACTGGAGTATTTGTATCTGACATTGTCAAGGGAGGAATTGCAGATGCTGACGGAAGACTCATGCAGGGAGACCAGATACTGATGGTAAACGGAGAAGACGTCCGTCATGCCACCCAGGAAGCCGTCGCGGCGCTGCTCAAGGTAAAAGTCAAGTGCCCCGTGTGTAATGGTGTAGGAGAGGAAAGAGAGTTTAACAGGGAGCTGCCACGTCAGATAAGTCCTGACTGCTCTGCATTTAGTGTGTTATCTCAAAGATGCATTTATGCATTAGATGCTGTGTTTCAGCGATTGCTGTCTAAGTAACAAATCTATGATTAGCTGTTTATTATATTGGTATATATTTATTTAGCAGTAATTAGAATTTTGAACTGAACATCTGTGATCTTAGTAAATCTTCTTACCATAAAAATGAATCTCTTGAAAAAAGGACACATATTCAGGCCACAAAGGAGAAACCAAAAAAACGTAACCTCAGTCCCCCACAATTATATTTGGATTTATTCTTATGACCTCTGGTTTAAGTGAAGACCATCCCTGGCACGGGTGCTCTTTGACGGGGACTCGGCGGAGAGGCAGGTCATACGAGGCAAGAAGGGCACCTCTGGAAGTCATGCTTCCTGGGCTGTCCTGTCCCAGCCCTTCCTTATCCCCTGTCTGGCTGTGCTGAATTGGACATCTTTAGACTTCCCCAGAGATGAAGAGTGTGGAAGAAAGATTTTACCCTTATTGAACCAGAGAAGAGGATGTTTGGTTCACATCTTACTCTGATTCAAAACTACTGAACTATTTAAAGTTTGGCATTTAAAATCATAGTTGGACGGGTCATCCTTATGAAGGTGATTTAGTGCAGATTTACCCCCAGTACCGTCAGCGATTATCCTTGTTGTTTTTTTCAGCCATTATAAGGCCCCCATCCCAAGGTATCACTGCTAGGCTTAAGTACATTTTGCATTATGAAATCTACTTCCTCCCTCCCAAGTAAATGCTCCATGAAGAATCATCTTCTGATTGGAAAGGAGAGCCAGTCTCATTGTAAAAATAAATTGTAAAATACAGAATAGTCAGTTAAAAATGCAACTCTTGGAGCTTGAGGCATATTTCCAGGGAATATTCCAGTTTCTAGAGAGGATGTGTCTTCCTACAAGAAAATAGAGCAGTGCTTATTGCCTCCTCGTTTGCCCTTACCAGGCATGTGTTTTTATGACCCGAAGTGTAGAAGTGTTTTACAGAGAGACTAGCCACCATCAGTACCCATGCCATGTGGCACATGTTAAGTAACATTAGCCTTCAGGGCAGTGCCCCCCAGCAGTAAAAATTACACATTTCTCGCGTGCTCATGGGAGCCTCTTCAGTGGCTAAACTCCACGGAGCGATTTTCAAGGGAGCATCTTGTTATTAACCTCTGTGATTTGCATAAGACCTGGTATATACATATAAATGTAGTTATTCGTAAAGTCACACTTAAAAGCTGTCCTTTCGTCTTAGAGTTAGCAATTTTCAAAAAATGAAATGATTACAATTCCTTAAGGAGAAGTAACTTCCTTTTGGAGATAAATGCAACAGTTAACCCTGTAAGATAGATACCTCTCAGAGATAAAGAAGGAAACATCCATAAAAGAACATAAATAATTTTAGAACCAGTTAAACCACCATTGAAAAACCCTGTTTGGCGGTCTCTTATGAGAGCCTTAAATAATTGTATAACTTCGCTGTTTGTAGCCGCTGCTGCCTGTTGTTGTTTTGATTTAGTAAGTGTTCCCTTGAAAATCTTGTGTAAATAATCCTCATTACACAAAAAGACTTTATGCACAGAAGGTTCATTGCAGTATGCTTTGTAATAATAGAAAAACTGGAAGCAACACAGTTGCTGCTTTGTGCTAGGCACATTCGTAAGCATTGCATGTGGGTTATTTTATCACAACGGCCTGTAACAGTCTCCATTTGTAAAATGCAGAGTAGAAGACTTATCAGTGTAGACGCATCTGGTAAGGTCACACTGCTAGCAAGTCACATAGTCTGGACTTAAACCCGTGTGTTTGACTCCAGAGCCCGGGTCCTCAAACGCCTCGTTGTGTTCCTCCTGTCTGAGACTGTGCAGCGTTCCTTGTGTGCCTCTGATTTGTTTGTGAAGAGCCACAGGGAAATCGTGTTCAATCCTTGGTCTGTGCGTGCAGCCGTGTGGCTCATCGAAGTACGTACGGTCGCTCCATGTGGGTACAGCGTGGCGAGAGAGCGCGTACCCAGTCTACCTGAGGACCTCCGCTGTGGAGGGCAGGACGGATCAGTGCCGTAGTGGTAGTTTTATTGTTTTTGTTTCGTTCGTTGCAATCTGAGTGATTTAGTTTGTTTGGCCTGTCTAAATTAGTGCGCTTTATGAGCTAATTGCTCAATTCTCAGTGTCTCTTTGCTTTGGCAGAAACAGGCTCCGTGTGAATCATGAGGTGGTGAGACAGGCGCTAGTGGTGCTGCTGCTTGGTAATTTTTTTTAAACTAGTTTTAATGTTTTAGAAGAACCTCTTTCCACAAAGGATTGGTGGCAGCCTTGCCTATGGAAAGTCCAGAGGGAAGATGCCTTTCGAAAACTCAGTCTTGACGAGTAAAATATATTCCTAGAGCTGACTGTAGCATTTCGTTTAAACGTTTCCGTAAAACCACCTCTCCTGCAGTGCTCCCTGGGCACAGTGACCTTGGAAGTCGGAAGAGTCAAAGCTGGGCCGTTCCATTCAGAGAGGAGGCCTTCTCAAAGCAGCCAGGTGGGTAGCCGTGGGGTTCATCGGGGCAGTGCAGCCCACGTGCCAAAAGGAACCCAGAGGTGGCCTGACTGTGGGTCTGCCCAGGGTGGTGCACACAGACCCGGCTCCCTGACCCTTGGCAGAGCGGCCAAGGTGCCGGGTGAGGGTTGGGGGTGGGCGTGTGAGCGTGGTGTGACTCTTGAGTAGTTTGGGAGTCATTCAGAGGAATTTAATTCCAGACACTTTCCTTTTCTGGCATAATTCTTATTCCATAATCTCAATAGTGAACCCATTACTATATGTAAAGCCTACCAAAACAGTATATTTTTAAAGTACTTTGTAACAAACATTTATCAATCGGTATTCAACTAGAAAAATCCCATGTAGGGGAACTGGAGAAGCTCACCGCCACGTGTGAAAACATGGAGTGAGGTAATTGGAGTCTGTTGGCAAGCCCCTGTCCTCAGCCTTGTCTTCTGCTGACAGAAGCCCATTTCTGTCTGCCTGTCCTTAACGACCCCTTAGTCCCACCTGAATGACTACCATTAGTTTCCTGTTGACTGGCCTTAGTTCTACAGTTAAGTCCCCATCTACGTACAGCATGAGGTTCAGTTTAGAGAAGATTAGCTTGAATGAGATTAGGAAAATCCACTAAAATTTTAGCTAGGTTGGAATCAATTGCATCCATTCTTTTAGCTTCAGTTTATTCATGTCACTGTGCAAATTTTTCCTTCAAGGAGAAAAGGAAAAAAAAAAACTCAGTAGAAACTGTTTATATTGCCTTTCAAATTATCAGACACCACTGTTGCTTAACAGGTATTTCTAGGTACATTAAAAGAATTCTGAAATAAGTAGGTTTTAGGGAGTACCAATACTTCCCAAACTTTCTAAAACAGCTGTTTTGTGTTTGCAGATGAGCGAAGGCAGCCTTTCGTCATTCACTTTTCCACTCTCGGGATCCAGTACATCTGAGTCACTGGAAAGTCACTCAAAGAAGAATGCATGTAAGATGGTTTGAAGTTTTAAGCATGATTTATTGGTTTGAATTTTGGCCATCAACACTGATTTTTTTTCCCTGTTTTAATTTACCTCTGAAGTGCTCTTTCCTCTAGATCATCCCACACCCTAAGAGAGGTGCAAAAATGAGGGCCAGCAGAGACTCAGAACAGCATGGAGGAGGATCTAGGGCTGCATTTCCCATGTGATATTTTCCCTATGAGACACACTGAACATTAGAAGCAGGATTCTGTAATTTTTTTCTTACGAAGCAGATTGGTGTATTTGATTTTTACTCCCTTTTTCTGTTTAATGTAACACCGATAAATCAGATGACATTACGTGAAGCCTTCTTTTTCCATGAAGATTGCAAAAAGTCTGATTGAGAAAATTAATCTGATCCTCCTGTGTTTTCCTTACATGAAATCATGATGCAGAGGGGTTTTTGGCTTGGAGCACTGGTTGAAAGTTGTTCAGATTGAAGAAACCAACCATATGGCAGTCTCTGTTTGCAATGTGACTAATATTCTAGAAATTTAGGCACTTAAGTCCATGGATTCTTTTTAATGCTTCCATGACTTTATTTCTCTCAGCTGCGCACATGCATCTTTCTATCTAAAGCACATCCTGTCCTTGATTCATTCAAAGTGGATTATGCAGTTGTATAAGCGGTGCTCGAAATAAGAAGGAAGAAATGGCATGGTGTGTGTGCACTCTCCCAGCTGGGAGTCGCAGTGAAGGACAGATTTAATCATGTGTGCTAGTACATTTGAGCACCTCTTTCAATAAAGTTAGAGTATCTCATTCAGTCTCATATAGCTCTGGACATCAACTAAAGCGTAAACTAACATTAAAATGTTTTACCAACCATATTTTATTTTTTTTCCCTTTACAGTGGCATCAGAAATACAGGGATTGAGAACAGTTGAAATTAAAAAGGTAACTTAGGAGAGAGAAAACGACATAAACTCTGTCTGCTTGTGTGTTTTCCTGTTAAGCTGCCTTCCTATGTTATAGTAGCGTCTGATAAAATACATAATATATTCAGGGAAATAGCACAGCACAGTCTTTGCTGACTTTCCTGGTCATAGTCCCTTATTTGAAAAATCACTGTTGGTATATCCTTTATTGCCAGAACTATTAACCCAGCCCCAGACAAAGCAACACTTATCACACTGATACGTAAGCCTTTGTCTTCAACAGAAATTTCCTATTCTCCTGAAACAGCCGTGCACAGGAGAGAAAATCTGAGCGGATTTACGGGCTGAAAGCTCTCGTAGACCCTTCATACCGCTGTCATTTTACCTGTCACTGCAGCCCTTTCTCTGTGAGAGGCGCTGCGATCTCCATTTTGCCTGTGAAGATCTAGGGATTCACTGAGAGCAGTGGACCTGTCCCAAGTCCCAGCGCTCCTGAGTGAGGGTTTCTGCCTTTGGACATGGGTCTCTCTGGTTCCTTCTCACTTCATCAGTTTGTACTTGCTTTCCCTCAGTCCCTATATCCTGATTTTCATTTAGCCTGTTTTGACTTTTTTTTTTTTTAACTTCCTGAACACATGCTTATGTTTCTAAATCACATTAAGGACCTGTATCAGATAAAGTAATGTGGTTTTCCTGGGCCTCGTTCTCCATCCTCACATCTAGAAGATCAGAGTTACCTGTAGAATACTGTGCCAAAGAAACCAAAGCCAATTAAAAATATCCCTTTGACCAAAATGTCCCGTCTGTTCGACGGCAGGGGCCTTCTGACTCGCTGGGAATCAGCATTGCTGGAGGAGTGGGCAGCCCGCTGGGCGATGTTCCTATATTTATTGCAATGATGCATCCGAATGGAGTTGCAGCTCAGACCCAGAAACTCAGAGTAAGTTTCACTCATCGCCCTGGTAGCCCTAGCAAATCTGTGGAAAGGTTTTACAGACTCTTTGAATCCGGCCACCCGTTGTAGGCAGTTTGAATTATCTGTATCAACTTTTAAATCGGCTAATGCAGCCACAGCAGGGCTTGCTTTGAGTAAAAGATGAGGAAGATGAAAAGGAGGAGAATTAGCTGTTGGTGTGCAGATTTGCAGCTAGTTGGAATGGGGAGATTTACGGCTGCTGCTTAACATATTTCACTTGTTTGAAACCTTGTGGAAGAAGTTCAAAGGAAACAAAGTCATTTCGGAAAGTATTGCCAGGCTGAAGTGAATTTTTTTCCTTTGCACGTTTTATTGGTTTAAATGCTAATTTAACTTTCTTAAATTGGTAATTATCATTTATGTTGCATTTGGTGACCAAGTTTGCAGAAGTTTAATGTAAATATGATTTATATTGTGAAATTATACAAGACTTGGCTTCAGTATTAAGGGGATTATGCATATGTGGAACTCTATGATAGAATTTATGCTAACTGCCCAGTTCTGAAATTATGTGAATATTCCATTAAGGGAACTCAATCTCTATAAAGTAAAATCCGTACGGCCTCGTGCCTTAAAAATTGTCTCGTATCATAACTGCTATTTAACTATTGTCTGAATCAGTAATGATTCAGTCTCCTTTTGATTTGTAAGTTTAGGACTGACACTTAAAAACTGATTGGACACACAGCACAGGGATCAGAAAACTGTTCTGTGAAGGAGCAGATGAATGCTTGAGGCTTTGTGGGACATACGTGTCTTTGCTGCAGCTACTCAACTCTGCCCTGTGAAAGTAGCCCAAGAGTCGTATTGTCTTCAACCAAATTTTATTAACCAGAATAAGCAGTGGGCCCTTCTTGACGTGCGAGTCATAATCTGCAAACCCTTGACTTAGAGTCATAGCTAATGTGTATAATAATGTTGTCTAGAGAAAGTCTGGTTTCCGAATGGTAATAGATACATTACTCTTTTAATAGGAAGTACTGTCTTACCCAGGAGAAATGAAGAGAAGGGGGAAGAGTGGTTCCCTGCCCCTTGCCCCAGAGATGATACAACTAAGCTGTTGTACGCGGTGTCTCTCTGTGGTTGCTGCTGCTTGGAATGCGAGGTTTCCTTGGGCTCTGTTTTGGTTGCTGATTAGCCGTGTATATGTGACTTGGAAAGTGGGGAAGGAAATTGTGCCACCGTCTGTGGCTGTTGGAGCAGATGGCTGTTTCTCTCTCTTGCAGGTAGGGGATAGGATTGTCACTATCTGTGGCACGTCCACCGATGGGATGACTCACACCCAAGCAGTTAACTTGCTGAAAAATGCCTCTGGCTCCATTGAAATGCAGGTAAGACTTTTGTCCCAGCTGTTCAGAATATGAGTAGCTTGACAACACATGCGCTTCCATGTTAAAGCTGTGAAAATGATTAAATCTCCTGCTATTGTTTCATTTACTGCTTCCCTGAAACAAACGATTACATTGAGAGTTCCAGGAAAGTGCGTAGCAAACACGTGCTGTCACGTTTTATCCTGATGCATCTATTATTTCATACTTCATATCTAAGGGAAAGAATTTGTGGTCTTAGCAGGAAGTGATTAATTGCTGAAATTTTAAGCATATTCTTGAATTCTGAAGATGTTTTAAAAACAACTGCATTGGAGACCAAGTTTGAAAAGCATTAGAGAACTTGGTAGAAATTGAATTAGGAGAATATTCTTACTGTCAGTTGAAGAGAGGCCTCTGGACCTTGTGAAATTCCCTCCTCTTTGGTTGCATATATTATGTTAGTAGTAATGATGCTGTGAACAATAAAATACACATTTTAGTCCAAATGCTCTTTTTGAAAGAAAATTACTGATATCTTCCCAGCCACATGAACACGTGTTTTTCTTTGTATATTTCTCGGGTGTGCAGGTGGTTGCTGGAGGAGACGTGAGTGTGGTCACAGGTCATCAGCAGGAGCCTGCCAGTTCTAGTCTTTCTTTCACGGGGCTGACGTCAAGTGGTATATTTCAGGATGATTTAGGGTGAGCTCATATATAATGGTTTGTATGTCCCTACCACTCACATAAGACAGAAATAATAGGAAGTGAGGTACAAAATAGGAAAACCAAGTGTTTCTTTCTCTTCAATAATTATGGCATGGGTTTAGTTTATCAAAGCTAGGTATGCAGCTAGCTAGACGGACGTGCATGCGTGCATGCCACTATTCCTGCATTTTCAGCTCTGAGCTTTTTGAGTTTCTGGGGATCAATCTATCATTTAAAAAAATTCCAGCATTGCCTACTCATTTATTAAATCATCCTTCTGATTTAAAAACTTCACAGTTACCCAGAACTTGAGCACAAAAGAGTCAGATGACAGAGAGAGAAGAGAGGAGCTTATTAGAATTTTTCAAGTAATTTGATGCAGCTTTTATATTGCTTATCCTTGATTTTGTCTCTGAGCTTGGGAGTGCTGACATTTATGACTTACTCCACCTGTAGCCTCTCACTTTAGATAAACTGGAAAAACACCCAGCTAATCTATGCAATGAGAACACGCCATGAGTATGTTAGGTTAAGGGTACTATAAGTGAGTAATAGAATTAGGGTGTTAAGTAGGATTTCATTAGATTATGTAAATATAAAATACTTAGCACAGCACGCACTGACAATTTAAACATCCCCAAATACCCGTGATACACTCGCTTTCTGTAACACAGAAAATTATACCAGTTCTAGGTGGATGTCAGATAATACATGACGTACAGATTCTGGAGATACATATATAGATACCATATATATATATAAATGTAAAAACCGCTTTTTCCTTCTCTTTGCTGTAGACCTCCTCAGTGTAAGTCTATCACGCTAGACCGAGGACCAGATGGCTTAGGCTTCAGTATAGTCGGAGGATACGGCAGCCCTCACGGAGACTTACCCATTTACGTTAAAACAGTGTTTGCAAAGGTAAGCTTGCAAATTTTAACCACCCTCTTTCCCCCTAAACATTAATTAATGGTGGTCAGCAGCTGGCTTATTATTTTATGGCCCGAGGTAACGCCAAATGGTTAACGGTTGATCATTTTCTTTGGGAACTCCCTACAGGAACAGGTCATTCAATGTTTTTTTTTTATCCAATACGAGGTTTAGTTGTCTTTAAAGGGAAATAGGCTCAAACTGAAATTTCATGGGCACTCTTGACAATATATATAAAACTATTAATGAATTTCAGTTAGACAGTAAGCCCTGATTTTTTTATTTCCCTGTGGAAACAAGTCGCATATGATTGAATGTCTTTTGAAAATAGGACACGTTAAATGTGTGTATGCTGTAGAGCCCTGGCATTTCTTTTTCTCTGCATTTTTTGTTGTGAAATGTAAAATAGGCACAGAAAAGTACATAAAACACATACGCAGAATAACTAATAGGGCATTTATTCTGCAAGTTTCATTTCATTGAATGGAATAGAATAACAACCACTAAAAAAATTTAAGACTGTCCAGCAACTCTGTCACCTGCCATGAATCAGCTATTTGCAGTCGAGGGATTCCTTAAAGAAAGGAAAACCGTTGGCATATAGTTGTAATCATGTAGCAATCCTTTCCATGATGAGATGTTTAAAGTACAAATAAAGTGATTACAACATTGGTGAAGCTATTATAATCATTTAAATTTGTATAATTATTGTTAATTCATTGTTAAGATAATTTTTTAGAAACTACAAAATTAGACAAAACTTCCTGGAGCAGAGAATCTAGATTCTCAAATTTTAAGTGTGAAGGAGCCAAAACCATATTAAACCTATGAAAGATTTGATATGGGGGCTTTAGATTTGTGCTGTGGTCCTTTAAAGGGCAAACCTGTGGAGGTTTCATTCTATTTTTTTTAATTATTATTTTTAATGAGTTTAAAGTGCTGTATCTACAGCAGTCCAGCTTTAGGCTTAATTTATGAGATTTTTTTTTAAGCTACTGGTATGTCCAAAAATACAAACTGCATTTGCCAGTAAATAGAAGAGTCACGCAGTCCTCTTCCTCAGCCTTAGAACAATTTATTTAAGGCATGCTAGTTAGAACATATTTTAAGAATTTCATCATTATGGATTCCTCATTAACTTTTCCAGATTTTTAATCATATATTTAATTACATAATTGCCTACTGTAAGTATGCCTTAAGATGGGGTTCTTGTACAAACAGCAGTGTTTGTGTTTAGTCTTAATCATTTAGGGTCCATAAGGAATATGAAGACTCCATCTACCCTTGGGAAGCAAAGAATCAAGCAGCTTAAGCAGCCTTTTCAAAACCACAGAAAGAACGAGAATTAGCAGGACTTGTGCCTTATCCTCCTGCCCTCGTCAACATGCATGTGGGCTTTCGTGCTTCTGCAAACCTTTGGGTTTGGTGGCCTTCGTGTCCTTGTCCTATAAAACGGCTTTTGTCCTATGAAACGGTTAATCCTTTGTCTTCTGTCTGTAGGTCTTCTTTACAGGATAAAAAAAATCTTGGATTCTGTGAAATCATTTCTACTAGGCATATTCCCAAATATTCTTTATTAATTTGAGTTCCCACCAACTGCTGTGCTGAACAGCCAAAAAATCATCCAACTAATCTATTGACTGCTAAATTCTCTCTCCAATTGGAATCTCAATGCTAAAGCCATTTAGGAGAAAGGATTCCTTTGTGTGTGTTCATCACTGCTCACTGGCCGTGGAGCACCCGTGGCGCACTGAGAGCACCGTGTGTGTCCATGCAGGGCAACTCACATTCTTGTTTGGATCTTTTCATCTGTTGTGTAGCTGCAAGGCAGCGTTTTTTGAGGAGTAAACAAGCCCACTTTATAATTGCAGGGAGCAGCTGCCGAAGATGGGCGTCTCAAGAGGGGTGATCAGATCATTGCTGTCAACGGCCAGAGTCTAGAAGGGGTCACTCATGAAGAGGCTGTTGCCATCCTTAAGCGGACAAAAGGCACTGTCACTTTGACGGTTCTCTCCTGAACTTGCTGCCAGAATCGAGCCATCCTAAACTCCTTGCTCACATCCCATACTGTAAAGAGAATGAAACTGGTCCTGTGGATAACTTTTCCCATGCTGTCTTCATCGGGCTCTTTAAAACTGTAGGGGGAGAAAAGTAATATTTAAGTTTGTTTTTCTCATATGGAAATGATTTTCTTACTGACAGCCTAGCATCACCTTCCCATTCTCCTTGCATTTTGTGATGTAAACTCAAAGAGAACGACTCTGCGTTGGCAAATCCCGTCTTTTCTTCCTGAAGATACTGACGTTTTGTAGTCACGTGGGCAGAAATTAATCCTGCTGATTAGTAGATAAAGAAAAAATGAATTCAAAAGCTAACCAAAGAGAAATGGCTGCCTGACATTAAGGTGAAAAGTGAAAATATAAAATAAAGAAGAAAATCTCAAATGTTATAAACATATATTTTAATCCCCTTCTCCCTGCTTCTAAAACAGAAAAGAAAAAACATTGACTGAAAATCTTTAAAAATACTTTCAGTCTTTAAAAATTTTGAATATTATTAAAAAGTTCCATCTCCTCAGCTCCAGTATACACATACTTAGTTTCCTCCTAAGAGGGGCTTCTGAGATTGAGTAGAAAAGCAAATGCAGGAAGCGGTGTCCCCAAGTTTGTAAAGAAGCATTTACTGCACCATATTGATGTTCATTTTCACCTGCTATAAAATATTTTCACCTTCCTATAAGTAAAATGCTGCTGCTGCCCCATATTGACTGTGGTTTCCCTAGAAAGCAGCTGTGTTAACCGTGGGCGAGTGTAGCTCTCCGAGTCTTCAGTGCTTGTTGTGAGGCGTGCAACACTCAAGATGTGTCACCGTGCTGTGCAGTTGGTTTTCAATTAGTATTAATCTTAATGACAGAGAAAAAAGCAACGTGTTAGTAATTATTTTGGTTGTATGCCATTAGTAAATTGATAGAAAAATTAAGGGGATTAACATAGCTTCATTTTATTGCCCTGTATTAACATCTTATAATACAATAGTTTAAGACTAAGGGAAACAGATGGAGCTGTTTATTGAGACAACTGGTGAGGAATTATCATGTGTTCATTCCCATTTTAGAGCGTGAAACTCCTACATTAGAATATATAAAGGCACTCTAAGTATTATCTATATTTGTAACGAAAGTAGTGTACAGATATTTTATTACAGCACTTTTGTGTAAATGCAGAATTGAAGTGAATAAATAAGATGTTTCATGGTGCACAAAAAAGAAGCAGGCGTTTTTTTTTTTGTTGTTCATTTTACTGAGGAAAAGCTTTATTACATTGTTCAAGATTTACAGTCTAAAATTGGTCTGTATCATGTCTAACTGCACATACGGTGTCCATAGTTACAGTTAGAGGAACTTTGGACAGCATCATTATGAAAAGCTCGATGTTTTTCACGCCCAGCATTTTTACTAATGCTAAAGATTCACAGACTCCTCACATAGAGCAGAGGAAGGAAAACAACACTGAAGAAAGAGACGCGTCCTGCTTGAACGTGCTTTTCTGAGATGCGGTTAGTGAAGCAGTGTGAGAAGTTGTTCTTTAGAGTAGTCAAGAGCTAACGTGTGTGCAGGGAGAAGAAGTCATGATGAAAATTACTTATAATAGTCTTGAAAAATCCAGTTTGAACACTGAGCAAAGAAGTGGGGAGCCTTTGTTCTGCCAGTCTTCCCCCTAATTAGCTGATTGAGCACATGCGTGCCCTCTGATTCATCTTGTCTGTGAAGGGATAGGTTATTTTATCTCAAAGCTTGTATCAAGTTATAAAATAGAAGACTTCTGGGATTCTTAGACGTACAAAATGAATGGACAAAACCGCACGGTGCAACAACTCGGGAGATATTCTCCCCAACCAACTGCTGTAAACTGAGGTACTTGACGTAATAAAATACATTTTGGTCTCCCAGTGACACGTCCAGCTTCCTAGTCACCAGTTAATGGCCCTCCGTCAGGAAGGCCTGCCGAGATCCTCTCGTGGCTGGCTGCTGGCAGCTGAGCCGCCCTCTTCTGTAAGTTGTAACTAGCGAAGATTGTATGGAGGCCACTTGATGGCCGGCCCTAGGGAGGCGAGGGAACCACCCAAATTGAAGTCTGAGTAAATCTGTGCAAGTACTCCAGTGAGAACAGCCTGTGTAGCATCCTCCCCAGGGTCTACCAGGAACCTTATTCGGAAATTGGGTCTTTGTCAATGTCATCAGTTTAGTTAAAATGAGGTCATGCTGGATTACCATAGGCCCTCCATCATTAAAGGAAGGCCATGTAGAGATGGGGGCAAAAACAGACAGACAGACAGACAAACAAACGGAACCTCTGGAGCCACCAGAAGCTGGAAGAGGCAGAGGCAAGGAAGGCCTTTCCCCTGGGGTCTTCAGAGGGAGCTTGTCCCTAGTGACACCTTAATTTCAGACATCTGGCCTCCTGAACCGTGAGAATAAATTTCTGTTGTTGTAAACCACCTAGTTTGTAGTACTTTGTTATTGGAGCCCTGGGACAGACAAACATAGTAATCTTAGATGTTTTTACATCCTTAGCTACTATCGTTCTGCCTGGATAGTAGGAGAGGCTCCACTCTGTACATGTTTGTTGAGCACATAGATGATTTAATTATAAGTCATGATTAATTTCGTGGTATGACCTTGTCTTAGTTAAGCTAGCTGTAGCCTCCATGCTGCAGAAAAGCGATGGGACTGCCACAGTACAGGTACAAAAATACGGAAAAACTCCCCTCCTGAATTGCTATTAAGTGAAAAGAGGGAAGGAAGGAAGGAAAAGAATATAGACTCATCAGGACTGGAGGGAGTGGCAAAGGCTTATGCTTACTATATTACTCTCTTCTGGAATATGAGAGTTCTCCATGGGGAAGGAGGAAAGTGTGCAAGGAGTTTGAAGACTTGAACATTATAGTGTTAATGCCATGTGTGACTCAAGACCATGTGTAACTCAAATCTGTGGATTGCCTGCAGTAGATTCAGTATGATTGCTTGTGTGATGGAATCACGTTGGTGAGTACCACACATTTCTTTTGTTCTTTGTGACCCTCCAAAAGGAGGAGGAGGAGGAGGATGTGTTTAATTTCAACCCTTACTGATACGTACCAGCAGGAGTAGCGATGCAGTGTAGCAAGTCAGCAGAACCCATACATCAGAACAGTGATGGAAGCATAAAATATTAAAATTCAATGAAAGACAAGGGAAGGGATTTTTTTTTCATTTTTAAGAATCTTGATAAAGCAGAATTTGGTAGATTTGAAGAACTGAAAGAAGCTCTCCCCTACTCTGAGATGTTCTGTGCCAAGCTGCCTTAGATCTGGTCATCCAGCTGATCGTCTGAGAATGCCAGGCCGTGGTTTAATGCCTTTCCTCAGATCTCCATCAGAGTGACTAGGGATGACGAAAGGATGCCTGCAGGGAGACAGGAATAAATAGTCTCTCTTTGGGTCCAGGTGTGGGAATGGCGGAACTGTCATCACCTGATTTCAGCAGCCCTGGTGTGTTGCTTCATGTCTGTGACAACTAGTCTGGAATGCATTTGATTTGTGCAAAGATGTCCCTCAACTTTGTCTACCAGGAATTAACTTTCCCCTTTCTAAAGGGAGTTATTTGTAAGGTGGGATTGGCTTCTGTTACCTCGAGAGGAAGGAAAACATTGTTGGCAGCAAGAACATGTCTAAATAAAGAGCATGAAAACTAAGCAAAGCAAATGTTGCTAGAGTGGTTTTTGTATACTTGGCATTGCGGCTCCTTTTTCCCTTCAAAACACCAGCACTTCCTTTTATGCAAATTAGAAAAAAAATTGTATTACTTGTCTTGGAATTTTACTTCCCATTCAGGTACTGAAAGTTCAGTAGTAGACCCTTCAAAGGAATTCTGTCGAGGAGGCAAATCGATGGTAATGATCTCAGAATTGTGTCACTGAAAATGTTTCTTGAAGTTTCAGAAATTAAAAAGACTGGGCAAGTTCTAAGAGGGAGCCTTAACTTATTTGCTTAACACTGGACATTTTTCAGAAAGTTGTATTGTTTGCTGATACTCTGTGACCCTTTCCACCTCACTCCCCAATCCTCCTCCTATGTATGAATTTCCAGAAAATAGTTATCATTGGAAAAACCTACTTTTTCTCGCTTCTTTTCTTATTAATGCATTGGAAATTGTGATTTTTTCAACTGAGTCTACCTTGAAATATTTGGCATTCAAAGTTCCACTCCCTAAATTTCGTGTACCTGAAGTTACTTTGTTCCATTCAATAAAACTTACAGATTTACCTTGCTTTGGAAAATTAAATGAGATAACTATATATAAAGCACTAATACCATGCACAGGATAAGCTGTCACAAAATGGTAATAGTTATTGTATGTGTTACATCCTGGAAGACATAGCGTAATTGTAAATTCAATAGCTTTCTTTAAATAGCTTTCATTTTCCATTTCTGTATATCATATCTTTTTCTTCTGAAATTGGATGCAAATCAACTTACACCAGAATTTCAGTGGTTTTGCATACAACCTGCATGATGTGTCCCACATCCTCATATAACTACTATAAATTACTAAATATTTATCTTTAAAGTGGACTACTGTTTAACTTAAGTGTGCTTAAAAGAGGAGCTGTATCTCACTACTTTAATTGGAAAGCCAGTATCATTTGCCATAAATTTAGGGTAACGATGAGCAAAAGCAATATTTTTAAATTCTATCAAAATCCCATTGCCTACCAGGGATCAGAACTTGAAGCCTGCTCTCTTTATGAGAAAGGGAGTTGCAAACACTAGAATGGTGTTAATGACTCAATGGAAACTCTTTCCTGGACTTAAAAGAACTGAAAGAGAATACCTTTTTCATGATGTGATTTAGAATTTTCTGGTACTAGGTCAGTGCTGCTTACAAAGATGATCTCATGATAATCTCCCTCTTTGGAAAATCTCTATTATACCAAAATCAGAAAGGTCTTATTTATAGACCCCTTATTTATTTTTATTTTTATTTTTTATTGAGGTACAGTCAGTTACAATGCCAGAAATGGACACATTGTAATAGACCCCTTTTTTTGAAAGTGTAAAAGCAAGCCAGTCCTTTAGAGTATTCTTAGCTAATGAGGTTGTTCAAGATTTTGTTTATAAGACTTTCACTGAGACCAGAATTGGGTCATCGCCTCCACTGCTTTAGTTCTGGCAATCTCGGTTTGAAATAAAGGACAAATGACATAAATTAATGGAGTAAAATTAATGTTGTGGTGATATTAAATAAAGCTAATGTCTCCTGCACCTGGAGGGCGATGCAGATGGCAGGCATACCTAATTATGCACCCTGCTGCCTTTAAGTGCACTGATAAAAATCTCTCAGCTGAGTGTAAAATATGTTCGTTCACTGACTCCAGACAAGTTTGAGTAAGGAATACGACACACAAAAAACACAGCCTTAATGTACTTTTTTTCTTTTTTTTTGATGAAAGTATGAAATTCTATAAGTTAAATGAATAATTAAATAGTAACCTCATTTTAAAAATAAGTCATTATTAAAGTCATGGTTTTTGTCCTTTGTCTGAACATTAAAATATGTGTCAGTCATTACGAAAGATTTTTCTCAAGCCAGTAAGGACGTGCTTAAATTTGTCTACATTTTTACTTACTATGCCTTCATTAAAAAGATAAACTTATGAAGAAAATCCTAAATAAGTTGATTTGATTTCTCACTCTAGGTAAAAATTGGATTGACCAGGTATCAGCAGATGTTTATAAACTTGCTCAATTCTTTAACAAGTAGCTACTGTAGAAAATATGCCAGTGTCATTAAGCATAGAGATAATACATTTTACTACAGATATTTCAGAGATGTCACTGAACTTTGTAAAACTTACCGTGTATTTTCTTCCTGTATGGCATATGAATTCTCATAAACTTCATTTTGTTGCAGTTGCATACCAATGCAGTTAAAAGCACAACCAACAACTTCTAGGTTTTTAGCTTCAGAATGATTTTTTAAATGCTTTTATGATATTTATTATACACACATTATTTTTCTTATCCTTAGATATATGTTTATAGCCTATATTTTAAAAATAAAAAGGACAGACAGGTAAGATACTCTTTTCATGCATACTTTTCATCAAAATAGGAGAGCTAGTGCCAGCTATTGATTTTACAATAAAGGATGCTGGCTCACTTGAAGGAAAAGGTGTTTTTTTCTTTAAGGCTAGGGAGAATATAATGTCTTCATCTTTAACTCTT